AAAAAAAAAAAAAAAAAGATTTTACCATATATAGAAATTATATTGACAGGTTAAAAGTCGGCTTCATTAAACATCCGCTACAGAATTTTGATTCGTTCATATGGATTCTGTAAATTGTTGAGCATCTTGCAAATCAAAATGTAAACAAAGAGTAAACATGGTAACAAAAAAAATCGATTTCTATGGAAACAGGTTCTCAATGTTTTATGTGCCCCCTTCTTTTTTAATGTGGTGCCCCTGTTTTATTACTTGCATCAGAGAGAGAGAGACAAGGGCAAACAGAAACAGAGAACAATAGAGGGCCTCAATCAGAGTCAGTATGCGCTTTTTTCTTGATTGGTTAAAACATGAGCCAATGTTTTCATATCTGGTTGAACTGATACTTTCGATACTCAAGTTTAAGATATGTGAACTTGATCTACTAAAGGAAGAACAGATGGATCATGACGTCAATTGAAGAAGTTAGAATGTAGTACTTGTATAGCTTATGGAGTAGTAATAAACAGACACCGCTAACTTTGTATAGAAAGTGTATTATAAAATGAAACCGCTAAAGGGTTTTTTTAATTTTAGTGATGAGTGGATAATAAAAAACCCTTTTAGAATCGAAAAAGTCAAGACCTATCAAATTACATCAATTACAACGTCAAAAAAAGATATATAAGGCGATCAACTTTTAACTCTTTCTTTTTCTTACTTTTTTCCAACTCTTACGAATCTTCTCGTACATACCTCTTTCTTTTCTTTCTTCTTTGCATTTACTCTAATTTAATTACACTCTACTTCAAGAAAGAGATTCAAAAACTTAGATCATGGCTGAAGAGCAACCACGAGCCAAGGTCAATGGTGATATCCACAACATCACTGTAGAAGATCTTTACGATAAAGACAAATATGACCTTTCTACTATGGAGCAGCAAGATGTTATGCAACTCTTGCAGTAAGTGCATGCATTTGTACAACCTTGTATGACGTTATTTACTTATGTGTTGTTTATAGAACTCAACCTGAAGGCTTAACATCTGAAGAAGCGCAAAGACGTATCGAAAAGTTTGGTCATAACAAGCTTGAGTCGAAGGAAGTTAATCCAATCCTTCAATTCTTGGGTTTTATGTGGAATCCTCTTTCATGGGTTATGGAAGCAGCTGCTATTGTTGCTATTGCTCTCTCTAACGGTGAAAACAGACCACCTGATTACCCTGATTTTATTGGTATCGTTCTCTTATTGATCGCTAATGCTGTTATTGGTTTCTTGGAAGAACGCCAAGCCGGTAACGCCGTAAAAGCCCTCATGGATTCCCTCGCTCCCGAATGTAAAGTCCGCCGTGATGGTGAATGGAAAACCCTTGAAGCTAGTGAACTCGTGCCTGGTGATATCATTAACATCAAGCTCGGTGATGTCGTTCCTGCTGATGGCCGCCTGCTCCAAGTAAGTTTAAAAAATTTTTAGTTTTCCGAAGTATCAAACCCATGCTAATAATAACACTAGGCTCACGGTGATGTTTCCATTGATCAAGCTGCACTTACTGGTGAATCTTTACCCGTTGGTAAAGAAGCTGGTGATGAAGTCTTTTCTGGTTCAACTGTCAAGCAAGGTGAAGCTGAAGCTGTTGTTATTGGTACTGGTACCAATACTTTCTTCGGCCGTGCTGCTAAGCTTGTTGGCGATGCTGGTGATGATATTGGTCACTTGCAAAGTATTCTCGCCAAGATTGGTAACTTTTGTTTGATCACCATCTCTCTCTTCTTAGTTGTTGTCATCATTGTTCAATATGCTCGTTTCCGTTACAGATACAGACGTGGTATTGATAACGTCCTTGTCTTACTCATTGGTGGTATCCCCATTGCCATGCCTACTGTACTTTCTGTGACACTTGCCATTGGTGCTAAACAACTTGCTGAACACAAGGCTATTGTGACTCGTATTACTGCTATTGAAGAAATGGCTGCCGTCACTATTTTATGCTCCGACAAGACGGGTACTCTGACTTTGAATAAGCTTATCGTTGACAAGCCAACCATCAAGACTTACAGTGAAGAATTTGATGGTGACGCAGTTATTCAATTATCCGCCTATGCCTCCCGTACTGAAAATCAAGATGCTATTGACTTTTGTATTGTCAACTCTTTACCTGAACCTGATCTTGCACGTAAGGGCATCAAGGAATTGGAATTCAAGCCATTCAACCCCGTCATCAAGCGTACTGAAATTACCTACACGAGCGAGGCTGATGGAAAGACCTACCGTGTGACCAAGGGTATGTCTCATACCGTTCTTGATCTCTGTACTCGTGACAAGACAGAGGCTACGATTAAGGCTCTTAATGATGATGTCGATGAATTTGCTCGCCGTGGTCTCCGTGCTTTGGCTGTTGCTATTGATGAAATTCCCTCTGGTGAAGTTGGTGCTGAAGGCATCGGTTTCAAACTTGTTGGTCTCTTGCCTATTTACGATCCTCCTAGATCTGATACTAAGGAAACTATTGACCGTTCTATTGCTCTTGGTGTCTCTGTCAAGATGATTACTGGTGACCAATTGGCCATTGCCAAGGAAACAGGTCGTCGTCTCGGTATGGGTGATAACATGTTCTTGTCCAAGGCCTTGAAGGAAGGCCCTCCGGCTGGTTCCGGCTATACTGATATTGATCAAATGGTTCTTCATGCTGATGGTTTTGCCGGTGTCTATCCCGAACACAAGTATGAAATTGTCGAACGTCTTCAGGCTATGGGTTATATGGTTGCCATGACTGGTGATGGTGTAAATGATGCTCCTGCCCTTTCCAAGGCTAACGTCGGTGTTGCTGTCGCTGATGCCTCTGATGCTGCTCGTTCTGCTGCCGATATTGTCTTGACCGAACCTGGTCTCTCTGTCATTGTCGAAGCCATCATTGGTTCTCGTCAGATTTTCCAACGTATGCGTAACTACTCTATTTATACTTGTTCAGTTACCATTCGTATCGTCGTCGGCTTCTCTATCCTTATCTGGGCCTTCCAATTTGATTTCCCTCCCTTCATGGTTTTGATCATTGCTATGCTTAACGATGGTACTATCATGACTATTTCCAAGGATCGTGTCAGACCCTCGCCTTACCCAGATGCCTGGAATTTGAAAGAAATTTTCTCATATGCCATCGTCTATGGTCTTTACCTCACTGCTTCCACTGTTGCCTTTGTTGCTGTCTGCTTAAAGACAACCTTCTTTACTCGCAAGTTTGGTCTTCAACAATTCTCTGATCCCAATGACTATGTTCTTCACTCTGTTGTTTACTTGCAAGTCTCCACCATCTCACAAGGTTTGATCTTCATTACCCGTTCTCGTGGTTGGTTCTTTACCGAAAGGCCCTCCATCCTTCTTGTTTGCTCTTTCATTGTTGCTCAGTTGGTTGCCATGTTTATCGCTGTCTACGCCAACTGGGGCTTCACTCAAATTCAAGGCTGTGGTTGGGGCTGGGCTGGTGTTGCCTGGATCTGGAACTTTATTTGGTTTGCTCCTATGGATTTGATCAAGTTTGCTATGCAATACTTCTTCAAGCCTAAGCAACAGAATCCTGAAGAAGTCAAGGCTGCTGCCAGTCGTCGTGCTTCTGCCATCTCTGGTTCAGGCTCTGGTCGTTACTATGCTAACCGTACTCGATCCTTGCGTTCCATGGAACGTCCTCAAAACTTTGCCAACAAGTTACTTGGTACTGCCGGAAAGAGAATGGATCCTAAGGAAATGCGTAGATTATCTTCTGTTCAAGCTACTCATGCTGGTAGAGTCTTGAGCTCTGGTGGCAATAATGCTTAATATGTATATTTTAGAAGTTTTTCTTGTTTGAATAATTAATAATAAATGTAATTAATTTATACTCTAAGAATGAACGATACAGAGACTGACAACAAAACACGTTATTAGCTAATAACGCGACATACTCAATTTTTATGGGTCATAATTAAATCGGTTAATAATTCTGTCTTCATATAAAATGACACTGTTTGTAATAATGAGCTCTCTCGTCTTATATACAATAAGTTATATAGAAAGTCTCATCGACTTATACTTCCCTTATCGCTTCTTCATATATTCGAGACATATCACAAGCATGAACTAAAATGTTGATAAAAAACTGAGCTCTGAAAACTATTTGTCGCGTGTCTCCACATGCAGAGACGATCCTGGACTTCAAGACACTCTGGTAGGAGCTTCAGACGTATTAATCAAACGGTAGCTTTCTTGTGAACGTTTTGAATTGTTGTCCCAAATTTCGGCTAAAAACCTCGTTTTTTGACAACATATGATTAGGGCAATCTGGAGAGCGTGCTGACTTATGGCCAGTTTGTTTACAACTACTACAAACAATCGATGAAGAACATGCTGCTGTTTTTTGTCTTTTTGCTTTTTGTTTTTCTTGCTTCACGCCTGAACTTTGTTTTCTTCTTTTTCCAGTGGATGTTCCAACTTTAATAAGAGATATAATAAGTTTTGAATATTAGTTTATAATGGTGAGTTACCATCGTCTACAGAAGCTTCTTTATAAAATTTGCATTTATAGTAACTTTTGTTGGCATGTCCTATCTCCTGACAGTCTTTACAAATCATATCTATATTATATACCAATGTATCAGTGAATATTTTACAAATGCCATATACATTATATGAAATTCACCTTCAAACGCGTCATATATGTCTTCTCTCAACTTTCTTTTATTAATGACTTGCTCTTTCTTCTTTTGAGTAATGTTTTTAAACATCTTAATGTTGTTGTCAAAGTCGATTAAAAAGAGAAAGAAAGAAAGAAAATAATAGGTTCATAATTTCATTTTATTTTGGGGTTTTTGATGAACAGTGATAGATGTTTATGTATGCATCTTGTTTAAGCGTATATCAAAGCAAGAGGCCTTATGGACTCCTCTAAGTCATTGATACATACCTTATCACATAGCTATTCTTATCGATAGGGTTTCTTCTTTTCACAAACAAGTCCTTTTCAGTTGCTTCTGACAATTGACCACAGCTACTCAACTGTGTTTAGCTCTGACGAAGAGGGTGATATACTATAAGAAATTATAAGCACTGTCGTATTTACTCTATAAACACTTAATCTTATTGTATGAGATTACTAATTACTATATATTGAATTGGGGTTTTTTTTTTATTCTTATTAAAAATACAAACGTAAAAAAAATATATATATGAGAAGTGTGGAAAGAAGAAGGGGGAAGTAGGAAGTCTAATGTATTTCTTTTTCATGCAATATACAATTAAAACAGATTGAATGAATGAATAAAAATGTGGTATCTTTTTTAACCTGTGAAAATCTTCATGAACAGATAGAGTATAGAACCGACGAATCGAATAGCTGATAAACCAGCAACAGACCACAGGATGAAGCTAAGATAGACTGTGGCACGCTTTTCGTAGTCACCAAACCACTGCCAGACATCTTGACCATTGATGATGATGGTCACCAAGATCAAGTTGGAGATGATCCAGCAAGTGACTAGAGTTGTTCTGAATGATTTGTAGTAATCTTCTTGTTTTGTCTTTGCATCTCGTTTCGTGACTTCGGGGATAGGAGCAACCTTGAGGTCCATGCATGCTTCCTCGTACTGCTCGTTCAAATCCTTCTGTTCTGTAGGCAGATCCACTTCGACTTCGTGCACACCATCCTTACCCTTTGTAGACTTGACAACACCCAAGTCGGTGGAGACACCGTTATCACCTTTGGTGCCCCAAGAGACATCGTGTGTGTTACAGAAGGCGTAGATGTTGAGGACATTGATGTAACTGGGCGACATGAAAATGTAAGGTATAAGACTGGTAAAGATGTGCCAAGGGTCAAGGAAAAGCAAACTGGATACAAAGTACATGATGTAGGTCGAGCATACAGAGACGATGACATCTCGGAATGAGTTTTGCTTGATAAGTGCAATAAACTGTGCATCCTGGTTGTGTTGTGCCGTCTCAACAGCTGTCTTGACTCCTTCAATGGTAATCCAAGCTGTACAGAAGAGTACGTAACCCATGAGAATAGCAAAAAAGACAATGATCATAAAGTAAGCCCACTTGTAGCCTTGAGGACGGTTACCCATGGCAATAATGATTTGAATGATGAGAAGCAAGACGTAGAGATAGTTGAGAATAGTGTGAATGACACTACCAGCATTTTTAGAGAAGGGTGGGTTAGGTACTGAGTTAATGGATGTGGTCATGATGTAAAAGACGAGGTAAAAGTTGCCAATGGCGAACCAAGAAAAGATGAGGTTATAGAGTTGATAAAGATCTTCAAACATAAACATGATGCAACGCAAGATATTGTGGTTCGAACTCCAGACCTTGCTCCAGTGAACCATAGAATAGATACCAGCAAAGAATGAACCGTTAAGCCATCGACGACGCTGTGAGATGAATTCAGCAACTGTATCAGGTACATCAGTTTCACCATAAGCATTTGAACAGTAATGCAAAACCCAGGCGGCACCTTTCTTGGCTACAAGTTCATAACACAAGATACGATCTTCGGCCAAATACATATTGGCAGTAAAGATATCGGCATCTGAACCATGCATCTTTTCACCCAAGAAGTATTTTTCGAGAGGACCGTGTCCGTTGACATCGTTTTGAAGTGCCTCATAACGATAGGCGGAAAAGGCACCCGGCAAGACAGAGATATGACCAAAGACAGACTCCAAAGGCTTATCCAAAATATTGGACATCTTGTACTCAAAATTTTGAGAAGCTACCAAGGGGTTCAGCAAATGCATACCGCCTGGACCCAACATTGCTTTAATTTCACCACATGCACCGGCCACGTTGCTGTTAATGTCAAAGCATTTCCAAAGATGGTAAATAGAGCGACCACCAGGCTTTGTACCAACATCGATCAAGACACAGACATTGGGTTTAAGAAGGGGACCAAAGGCTTGGAAGAACCAACGGTGAGAGTTGATCTTCTTCTGGTTTTTTTCCTTGAGACAGAACAAGATTTGCACAGGCACAACTCCTTTTTCATCCCCTCTAAAGTTCATATCGGCATCAATTGAGAGCTGAGTTGTATGCTACACAAAAGTAAGAGGGAGAATACCTAAATTAGCTAATGATCATTCCTCTCCCTTTCAATTATTTTTGCTTACCTCGTAAATATGAGCTGTTACTGGTTTACCTTCTACGATATTCTTGGCCATGCCTTCTTGATAAACACCCATGGCAGCTAAAACCGATAATGTTCGTGGATGGATTTTGGTACGGCCATCAGACACAATACAGACGACGACCTTTTTCCAGCCTTCGGGTCCCCATGTACTCGATCGGTTACGACTGCAGAGATGAGAAACGTTCTTCATGACACCATTCATTGTTCGGCAAAACAATACTTCATCTTCCTGGAAAATCGAAAAACAAGAAAATTAGAACCTCAAAAAATGGCCAAGATGTTAACATACATTGTACATTGTCAAAACTATAAATAACTCCGTTTCTCTTCCCAATAGGTTTTGTCTCAGCTTGTAATTCTCTCTCTCGAAATCAGCTGGATCGCAAGTAGCTGCCGTATATCGCATATGGGTGAATTCCTCTTTATCCTTTCTTTTAACCCTTTGTAGATATTTTGAAGGAACAGGGTTATCCAAGACCAAGTTACCGCCTGTCAGCTTGACCCTTCGAACTATAGTAATAAAACGATTAAAAAAATGAATCAATGAAAAGTATCGGTCTTACTTGTCTTGTATCGTCTTGTCTGTTTTCTTGGTGCAATACCAACATTGTCAGGACCACCACCAATCATATTGGACTTGGCATTTGTAAATCGAACGTTGCCTCCATTGCCGTTATTTAAGGTAACTGAGGACGCAGTGGAACCATTATTGACCAAGAGAGGTCTCTGTACGTCGTTACCATCATAGAATCCTGTATCATTAGGACTAGATGGAAATGGTGGAGGTGGAGGGCTGTTGTTATTAAAAGATACTTGCTGCATTGGGTACTCTTCTCCTCCGCCATAACGAGGCCTCGAAGGTAACCTTGCAGAAGGCATGGGACTATTGTTATTACTATTGTTATATGGATACATTTATCCAAAGAAAGCACACTAAAAAAAGGAACGTGAAGTGGAAAGAAGGAGAAGAAGAAGAAAAAGAGAGAGAAAAGCAATGGAAGAGGAGAAAGAGGGAATCAGCGTCTGTTTAAATATATAAAAAAACGTTTTCAATTAAAAAAAGGTTACACGAATCAACAAATCAGGGCTCACAAAGTATTTATTTTGTATGTACTCACCTTTATTTAAAATAACTTTTTTAGAAATAAATAATCCACCAATGTGCAACTTGACTCTGCTGGCCTAAATTGTGGCCAAAGCACACCCTTTCTGAAACTGGGATATTTTCTTTATTAAAGCTACTTTTTTTGGGCTCATATAGCTATAAGATGATCTTGTAACGTTATTTAACGTCTTAATTAACAGCAAATTAACATCCAACTCAAATCTGGTGAAAATCGCTTAAACAAGATTATTTGTGAAACTATAGAGACACGAGAACAAAAAAAATTAGAGACCTTATATGCTGAAAGGGTATCCATAGTAATAAAAACCCGTTGGTAGTTTCAGTTGCTAGGTTCTTTTTTTATGTTTGGTTGTTATGACGTTACACCTAGCATGAAGCATATAGTCTATTTTTTTCATTCTGATATTGAATTATTTTTTCGGCTCTTTTCATTTTTTTGTCCTAATGTCTACGCTTCGAACCACAGAAAACTATGTCAGAGGTGTCTCATTTGACACAATGACGGACCAAGATCAGCCTGACTATTCTTTTACGTTGAGAGGAAAAACACCTGGATACCAGCGCACGAGACGCAGTCGTACGTTCATGGTTGCTACTGATTTAGCCAACTATAGTGATTATGCTTTAGATTGGGCAATAGAGGTTAGTTTCATAGTGTGAATGCAATACAAGGTATTAAAAGTCGAGTTAGAACCTTATGGACGATGGAGATGAAATAATCGTACTGCGTGTATTAACAGCAGACCTAAGTGGTATATACATAAAATCCACGCTAACTTGTCTTATACTGAATCACATGCAGAAAATAGAGTTTATGTGCAGCAAACGTTACGTAAAGAAGAACAGCAGTCTAAAGAGAGAGCTTCGGTTGTGATGAATAAGATCATGACAGCTAGTGGACCAGATATGAAGGTAATTGTGATTCATCATAAAAAATAAGAAAAAAAGAAGACATATCGTCAGCAAACATTCATAAAAGGGATAATCTATAATAGATAAGCGCTGTTATCGAGTTTGTTATCGGGAAAGTACAGGAGACAATACAAAATATGGTAAGAAAAAAAAAAATTAAGGGCTAAAACAGAACAATCACTGATTTCAATCTCCCTTTGCCAGATCTCTGTGTATCAACCATCGATGCTGATTGTAGGAACGAGGGGAATGTCTGAACTCAAGGGCATGTTTATCAACAGTGTATCCAAATATTGCTTACAGCATTCACCTATTCCTGTTGTTGTTGTCAGACCTGAGGATAAAGTCAAGAAACAACAAACGAAAAAGACAAAGAAAGCCAACCGTTTAAGCGGCATGTTCCGAATCGGTAGCCACTCTAGTCTTTCAAGCTTGAATTCTAAGGGATCAGAATCATCTGACAGTGAAGTGGATGAAGATGAGCCGGCTGCAATTGTAGAAAAGAAGATGCAAAGGTTGTCTGTATTTGAAAAGATTGGTCGCAGATCAAGATCTCCTTCACCTTCCAGACCAAAGAAGCAACAATGATAACATTACGCCCTTTTTCAATAAAAAAAATGATCATTTTGCCTATTTATTTAAAATCACTGCTATTGCTTATACCATATCAATATCTGATATCGTTCTATAAGCAAATAATCTGTGTACACATGAATCTCTTTGTCAATGTAATAGGCAGAGACAGCAACCATGTGCTTTAAAATTAAAAAAGCTAATTTTAGAATCTCGGCTTGTGTGACAAGATAATCCTTGCATATAACGTGCAATAGGTAAAAAAGTCTCCTCTTAAAATTAAGTTTGGCAGACCCGAGATACAAGTACCTTTAAATACAATAACAAGCACTCTGCATTTCAGATCATATTACAACGAGTTATGCCATCTCCAGATTAAGCTATGTTCTTAATTTATGCTATTGGTCAAGTGCGATGAACTGGGGTCTAGTTGATGTTATGTATCATAGATTCGCAAGGGTACTGTCAAGATGGACCATTGTGATCAGAGCGAATTTCAACTTGTCTGAATAGCGCTTGCCTCTGAAAGCTCCACGAACATTAGCAAACTTCCCTGTAACAAATTTAGTCTCCTGAATCTCTGCCTTGATAATGATTCTCAACTTGAGATTCTTTCATATGTCCAGTACCTCAACAATGGCTGGAGCGGATAATTCCCGTAATTCCCATAAAAAAAGTCAGCCTACTTCGCTGTTTGGTCTGTAGCCAAGAATTCCTTAGCCGACTTCAAGATCTTCACTTGCACAGATCCATGTAAACGATTGTCAGTTCAAAGCATATATATAAACACGCATATTCACTCATCATAACCGCGTATTTCACAGTCTTACCTTCTTTCACGGGCTTTCAATATCGGCCATATCAATGCCGAGATCAGCATCACCACTCGTTTTCTGGGATTTGGATCGAATAACTTCAGAATGGCCCAACAAGTTCAATTGCGCTTATGCCTTAGTGTTTGATATATCAAAATACCATTTCTACTTATATAGATAAAAAAAATAGGAAAACTGCTATCTATTGCTAGCAAATTACAAATCAAGGTGGTGCTGCTTGAATGATCCGGCGCTGTCATATTGTTTATTAATGTCCAAAACACCTGACAGAAGTGTGCCAGAAACATCATCAACTTTGATCGTGCCCTTGCTGATAAATACCTTCGAAAGAAGCGATATCAATACGCTTTGTAATTCTTTTGTTCTATTTTTTTCTTGGCATAGAAAGCCAACTTAATAGAATACTTTTGCGCGTTTCTGTGTGCGTGTGTTGATCATACATAATATATTGGCTATGAGCCAGGCTGAACAATTGATGGTTAGAAAACAGCTGCACAAAAGTTCATATAAATTGATAATGCCAACAAGTCTTTTTGTTTGGTTATCAAAACGTTCAAAAGCACAGCTTAAGATGTAGATTCTAAAAGAGTATATGTTACTTGATCTGGAGCGTACATATTTGACAAAGACTTGGCATCAAAGGGAGTCTAGATCTATTTCCTAGTTGAACGGAACTCAAGACCCAGAAAATGTCAAAATCGAGTGTACGGCAAAAAAGCTGTCATGTCAAAAAATCACGTTGTGGACAGCCTGAATGGGTAGGAGCTAATTCAATACAACCGATGCATGCATAGTGATAAAGTAGGAGCTAGTACATAAAGGATTTCATTTTACTGTTTACATTAAAAATAGAAGTCTCCTACCAGTTCCTCTTTATCCTGGTAATATCTCTCGTGTGCATCAAGTATAAATGCAGATGGTTCTCTTCTCGATTTGGTTAATGCCCAGAAAATGTTAGAGCAATATCAGGGAGCACTGTAATATCCAAAAAAGGTAATCCTCCCATAACTGCAAAAGTGTGTCATTACCTTTATTATGTCTAAAGACTAAGCTTAAGAGCAATGAACGAATGTTTGGTTTTTTTTTTTTTCATGATAAGGTAACATACCAAGCCTTTGACAATTGAGCTGATGTTTGTTAAGGTTGTCAGATTTGTCATAGTTGAAGAAATATACCATACAATCTAATCACACTGGAAGTCTATATTTCAGACTTTGAGTGACTCTGTAAACATTAAGATACAGCTAGTAAAATAACATGGTTCTTTTCTTTCCTCAGCACTTCAGTGTTTGGGAAGACCATCGCTACACATCACTTTTTTTGCTACATCAGTCGTAAGGAAATCATAGATAAAATTAAATCTCAACAAGAGAAGCCATATGAAGCTGTGCTTGTGTTTAGTGAGCATGAATTCATGGAAATAAACAGAATCAGTCATTTCCTCCACTTTCAGCGATTAAGTACTGCTGGCGCTTGCAGTGTAACATCACAACGTGAATACCAGGAAAAAAAAAGGGGGGATGAACAAGATACCGTCATTGCGACCATCCATCTCATTAGGCGGTGCGAACCTGTGAAAGGTCAAAAACTGTTACGTTTCTTATGAGGCCTATGCGATGGTAACTTCAGTGGTCGCGATGCTTATTACTAGGTCTAGAGACAGTATGATGATAGACATGAGAACGGATGAACTGCAAATAACAATATGTATTACGATATTTAGAGCATCTAGAAACCATTGCTTCATCTGTTATGACCTATTTGAGGGCGCACAGCGTATACTTTGACCTTCCCTGGATATCTGCGTCTAGACTTGCTCAAAATAAAGTTATTTTTTCATGTGTTAACAGGGTTTCGGAACGCGTCTATCGTTTGCTATTACCATTTTTGGTGATGTATTCTTTTGATTTACGCATAACTTGCTTCGTTTCTTTATGCAAGATTATTACTTTATAGCGACTACTACAAAATAGTATTTATCTTGTCTTTACTTGCAAGAAGTCAAAAGAAAAAAAAAAAAGATTTGGCAGCAACACAAATAGTGTGTGATTAAGACTAGGAAATAAGCCCAAGGATGCGTAGTATAAACAAAGAGTGCATGAAATTTTTTATCCTTTTAGCTTTTTTACTATATAAACATAGAGGTGAATAACTCCATTAAAATATATACATATAAGGGATCATATGAATGGATATAAAAAGTATAAAAAAGATAGGCCAAACTTTTAAAAGACATGAAGCACTTTAGAAATAAACAAAAGTGTGAGCGTAGACCTTATTTCCTTGTAAGGGTGAAACCTTATTTATCGATAACATAGAAAGCAATAACTTCACATAACTAAGAAAAGGGTATAAAAAGAGAGAAATTTACTCTCATCCCTTTTTTCCCTCTTTCTTCTCTTTATACTTTTTTTTTCTTTTACTCTTTTTGGTTCCTTCTGGTCTTACTGGCTCTCTTTGGTCAATGTAAGTTTTTTTTTATAATACTTGCTTAGCAAGGCGATGATTGTGTGTTCAAGGATTTCTATGCAATCTCTTTCTATGATGCTCAGCACGTGTCCTGGACTGACAACAGTCGTTCGTTTCATCACTCAACTGGAGGCTTTCAGGCAGCCAAAAGGAGAGTTATGGACATTCGACTGGAGTCTTTACAGGGACTAAGTAATTAGTTGGGAGCTAGTTATCTGAGATCACAGCTCTGACAGATTATTGTTGATGCTTCTTGCTGTCTGGCTGGCGCAAAGGGGTATATAAGCTGGTTAACAATTGACAAGGCTCAGCTAATGTATACCCTAACGGTACGTCTGCTACTACGAGCCTTTGCAGGTTGCTTGGTATTTGATGGTCTGGTTTTTATGGGTATCTAATCCCTTGTTCTGATGGTCAATGGCCGACCTGAAGGATGTCACAGCAGCAATCAGAGCCTTTAAAAGTCTTTTGGCATCATTGCTGGCCTTTTTTTTCTTCTCTTAGGTTTTCTTTGCAAAACATTGGATTTCAGGAATAGTCTTTAATAAATAAATGTTTCTTGAAATGACTTTTACTGCTGTCTTTATTTATATTGAAAATAAATACTCTTTCTAAATCACTTTATGCTACTATCATGATCGACGGACTCAAGCACATATAAGGATGATTACACAGTTAAGAAGTGTTATGCTGCAATGAAGTTATTCTTATATATACACACGCACACATGCATTAATAATAAATTTATATTGTTTTAATAATAATATAATTATAGTTAATATATTTACATAAATTAAGCATTTTCAACTTCATTCACATTGTACTTGTTATTTGCTTTACCATCACTTTGACTAGAGTCTGTGTCATCAGATGATGCCTTTTTGGTATAGTCTCCAGTATCAATAGGGATGCCGTCCAATATGGGATCGGGCTCCATGCTTTTACCAGGACCATGGAACCAGTGTCGAGCACGGAATTGATAGTACGCAATGGAGGCGCCAATGACACCACAGAAAACGACAATTGCATAATTCATGTTGGAAGGCGTAACAGGGTATTCGGTTGGACAAACAAAAAGAACGGAGGTGAGTAAGATCCAGCAAAGACTGACTACATTGATCGCGTCAGAAAAGGGACCCAGGTGGAATGGGCCATGTTTGAACGCCTTGCGGGCCACAGTGAGCTTGAGTGCTATGGGAATAAAGTAAGCCATAGAGGAGGCAATAGTATTTACTGAGACAATAGCATTGAAGGCTGTTTCGTTAATGATGTACAATAGACCTACAATAATAGCAAAGATCACGTTGAACCACACAGCATAGATAGGTGTCATCGTCTTCTTGTTGACTGTGGCAAGATATTTTGAAAATGGAGTGGCGCCATCACGAGCAAAGGCATAGACCATACGTGAACTGCCTAACGTGAGAGCCGAGCCAGAGAAGAACATGGCTCCCATGATGATGGTGGTAAAGACGACCGTCCATTTGTATCCAACACCATCCAAAAAGATTTTGGTCATTGCTGGAGAGATGTCAGTATTGACAATTTGAGCTTGGTAGTCTTGAACACAAAAGTTCACAGATACAAGGAAAATGAATCCAACGATGGCAGCAGTACCAATAGCGTAAAGAATTCCTCTAGGTGCACTGCGTCCGGCATCACGAGTCTCATCTGACATATGTGCTGCACTGTCAAAACCAGACAAGGTATACTGTGATTGTAAAAGACCAATTAAGAATGCATATCCATTAGATGAAAAGCCAGTTTGGTTGTCAAAGTAAGTAAACTAGAGATTTGAGTTAATGTTTATGCAGTAAAAAAGGGAAGAGAGAAACTTACAACCCATTTGCCACTAGCTTTGTTAGGCGTCAAGACAAGCGCGACAATGATGAGAAGAAGTGTGCCAATCAAATGCCAGTACAGCGATGTTTGATTGAAAAAGCCATTGTATTTGACGCTAACTGAATTAATGACACCGTGAATAAACGCAATGACAAGGAAAATGCCGTATTGCCAATAGATACTGGGATTATTGTTTGGATCACTAATGTTGACAATAGATGCAATGAATTGCGCAAGGCCAAGGTCTGCAGATGTAATGGCAACTACAGAAAAAATGATGTTAATACTGTTGTTGATGTTACTTTCAGTAGTAAATCAATTAGGCACATACCAGTCTATAAAATATGGTATATTAGTTATTGAAAGTGTTAATGAGCGCACACGTACCAGACCAAGCCAATTGCACCATCCGGTTAGCCAACACATGATGGGCACATATTCTGGTGGAGATAGCTTAGAGACCCAAATGTAGAGACCACCTGTGATAGGATAGGCCGAGCAAATTTCAGCAAGCGACAGACCAACACCAAATGTAAAGAGGGACACAAGGATCCAACCCCATACGACAGCCACCGATCCACCAGCCAACATAGCATCACCCCACATCTAGACAAAAAGAAAGAGCAAGTTGAATTAGCAAATGAAAAGGAGAGAATTGAGAAACATACAGGCGTCAGGCCAGAGAGGATAGAACAACATCCGAAAGCAATAGAAAAATTAGAAATGGTAGACATAGTCTTATTCATTTCCTATCGAATAAAAAGTATATAAGAAAAAAAAGCATAATAGCATTCATATTTTTATATTTACTTGCTTATAACCCATAGAATGCAAAAGTTCTTCCTCTGTTTGGTATTCATGATAGACTCCTGTTTGTTCAATATCATTGTCAGATTGCTTTAGGTGACGGTCCATGCCAACCATATAATAACTATATTTGAACGAGGCGGAATTTTTGGTTTATAGAAAAAAGTAAAGAGAGTATAAAAGGTATAAAAGCTTTTTTTTTTCCTTAAAAAGTGTATTTAAGAATCTAGTTTGATTTAATTAGATTTCTCTCTTGTCTTTAGTGAATATCAAGAAAAAGAGGAGGATTTAAGAAAAAAAAAAAAGTAATAAGAAAGCAAAGAGAAAGCCTTAAAAAGGGGGAACAAATTCAGTTTTTATACTTGATCAATCTTCGCTACTTTAAATGGTCTGTGTATTATCTGATCTTCATTCATTTGTCCATCTTCTCTGACAGGACTCCGCTCTTATAAAATAGGTAAAAAAATCCATCGTGACAAAAGGATCAATTACCCATACTATGAGTGTTGTCCACTGATATTTCTTCGCTGACAAATATCGGGTTGCACTAATCCTTAATGAATAGTGAGGCTCTCTTTTCATTCTTTATGAATCCAATGAAATCAACATCCCCACGTTATTCCAAAATAAGCTTAACCTATGACTAATAATCTCTTATCTCTTTCTCTTTTTAACCATTTGTTCATATATACATCACAGCCTGCCGCTTCAATGGGATCATTCATTCAGTTACTGCCATCTCTTCTTCATAAACTCTTTTTAACAATCGTGGGAACTCTGCCAATGGGACGTCAACCATTATAAAGTTTGAACCATGTACTTTTTTTTCCCACCCATGATAAGTGCGATTAAAGATATTTTATTTATTTATAAGATACAAAGATCATAAAGGGCACGTGGTGTTTTCATTATATCGTTTTTACCAGGCCAGTTTAAGGTGTAAAAAGGCATCTACATGAGCTTTGGTGTGAAGATGAGTATATATTGGAAACTTTGGTCTTTCGAGAGAGGCTGTAGAAAGCAGGCAGCGGCTTCCAGTAGTTTGAAGATTTGAGATTCGTTTCCTCAAAGGTGTGATCAAGTATCTCGGCAATGGTAGATGTGCTATAAGTTTTACCACAGGATTTGCAATTGCAGCTGGGTTGAGGAGGGCTTCCAGGTGTATTACCGTTGCAATAGAAGGTGTTTGTCTCGTTACAGCTTTGGAATACAAGATGTCGGAGCAGTGAACTGAATTTCTTTACAAGTAAGCACATAACATACGTGGCAGTGGCAAGCAATACAAGAACGTAAAAGCGAATCGTTCGTCCAAAAATGTGAACCCCAAGAATGCCATCCGTCAACTGCTCATCCAAAGTTTTATTGCAGGAAAGCGCCACCTTGATAAGTTCCTGGCACACCAGGTAATGATCACTTTCGTGTGCAGCAGACTTAGCTTCTCCATATCCTAAACTTCTTTTCCACTTGAGACTCAGAATCTTAGTTATTGAGGGGTCAGGTCACATATTGTTAAAGAGATGCTTGGCCTCTAATGTCGGCCCATTCGTCCAGCGTAAATATATACCTTGGTCGGAATCGCCAAGCAAACCCGATAGGAATGGATCAACGATTCTTGAGCTTTGTTCAAACTCATTGAAGTCTTCGTCGAAGGACACAAGTAGAAGCTTGTTAACAAATGCGGCAATCACTTTAGCAAACTTCTTTTCATTCTTCGGTAGTTGCAGAGTTCGTAATTTAACCTCGGCTGCATCCATATCAATCTTGAGTCATATCAAGTCGTCTATTATGGACAGAAAATTTGTCATAGTGTCAATGGGTATTAATGGCTGTTGTATTTTGTACGTACTTTTAATGGTCGTGCTGGCAGCCGTCTAGTTCTGGTGATCAAAAAATGTTATATTTCACTGGGAAATGTACAAGGTGTCATGAGCAACACCGATATCGATGCAAGGTCCAGGTACAGGTGGTCTTCTAATGATAATTTCTATTGATTTTCTTTTAAGGAGAGTTTCATAGGGTAACTGGTATCCGTAACATCGAACCCATCGATAACCAAATGTTCGCCTAAAGACAGGTCTATAGAAATGCAGTTCAAAAGCATAGCATACTCATTTGAACGTTTTTGGCCCTGTGGCTGCTATTGTATTCAGTTTTGCTATTGAAAAAAAGGTTATTAAGTCGATGACAAACAAAGTAGATTCTATATAAAATGAAGAGAGGGGCATTATTAAAGTGGGTTTGAATGCGAGCTTTGTAGAAAATATCAATATTGTCAGTGTGATTGCTTATCATCAGACGTGATAGAAAGAGGCAGAATGTATGTTTTATTGTAGGATAGAGAGTATTACATTAATTCATATTAAACACATCAGCTGCGAATGGCTGGCGTCAGATGAGGCATATTTAGATGACGTGTCTTCAAGTGCGATGCCTTCAGATTAGTTACTTTCCAATGAAACCAATGTGAGGTAGTATTCGTGTTGGTTGATGAAATACGCCTCGTAATCTGTAAGCTCCTTGACGTACAAGGTGCAGCAAGGGCGGACATAGTGTAGTTCGATGTCTTCATTATCATGGCGATGTCTCAAAAATTAACATTTACTGTTGCTGTAACGTCGGATTGGATAAATATAACCATAAGCATCTTCAAGGTGCCACCAAAGGTCAAATGGAGATGAGACATTCTGCACATAACCGTTGACGAAGCAGTGATGCATGACAAGTATTTTCTGAGGCTTTTGGATGAAAAGCTGCTGCGTCGTAGTAATAGGTACCACGGATGAAGGGGTATTTTCTTAATCCGAAAAAGACAATCATTTACACATTCTTTCCTCTCCTTGCGTCTTACTTCTCCATACCTCTCTTTTGCACAACATCAAACTCAAAAACGGCGACTTTAAAATAGAAATTACAGCGGATGAATCGGATTCTGACCTTGAATCCTGTTTGGGTTCACAAGAGATAAGATAATGACTTTTACTTGTTCAGGGGCGGACATTCATTCTGTACATACACACACTCTCTCTTCAGTTTATGGCAATGTAAGTTACGCAGTCTATTTTATTATTACTACTACTATTAATGTGTTTTTACATTCTTTTCTTCTTCTGCTTCTTCAATTAGCACATCCTTCCATACATTTTCAGCTTCCTCCTTTGTTACATTCGGGAAGACAACATTGTATACATCTTGATAAGTGTCGCAAGGAATACCTGTCATACCTTCCTTAATATGTTCTGGTAATTCATCCCAATCAGCTTGGTTGTCCTTGGGGAATAAAATCGTGTTCACTTTTGATCTCTTGGCTGCAATCGTCTTTTCCTTTAATCCTCCAATCTTTAGCACCTTGCCTGTCACTGTCAGTTCACCTGTCATTGCAATATTAGAAGGAACTGGCTTGTTAAGTGCGAGTGAGAGTAAAGATGTGGTCATTGTAACACCAGCAGATGGTCCTAACAAGCAAATTGAGTATAACCATATTAGAAAGATATATAATCACATACCATCCTTAGGAACTGCACCAGCAGGGCAGTGTAAATGAACCTTTGCTTTATCAAAGAATTTGTTCTTTGGGAAATGTGTAGCCAGCAAGGATTTTGCATAAGTGTAGGCAATACTTGTAGATTCTTTCATAACATCACCAAGCTGACCAGTCTTGGAGAGATTAGGGGTTGATTTGGGCGTGAGAGAAGACTCGAGAACGGATTCAATGTATAAAGATGAGCCACCTATGTTATTCATCAGTTGTTGTCCTTTCAGCTTGTTCTTTTATACTTTACCCATGCTTGTCCATGCTAGACCCATCACAACACCAGGTGGTGTTTGTTCATAGAGGCGCTCGGATAAATAGACTTGAGGACCCACGTAATCCTTCAAGTTTTCAGAACTGATCTCAAGCTTGACATCCTTGGGCACAGTCAGAGGCTTTTGCGGTTCTTCTTTATTTTCTTTTACTTCATCTTGAGCCTTCTCTGTCTTTTCTTTGTTATTATCTGCACTTTGTTCTTCATCAGCCAATTGAACCACCTTAAGAGCAGCCTTTCTGAACACCTTGTCGATATGCTTCTTTAAGTTTCTAACACCGCTTTCACGGCAGTAATTCTTAATCAAGGTATCAATTGCGTCCTCTGTCAGATTGACATTGACATGTTCAAGACCAGCAGCAACCTTAGCATCAGGGGCAAGGTATTTAGAAGCAATAGCAGCCTTTTCTTCAGCAATATAACCAGATAACTGAATCACTTCCATACGATCCAAAAGAGGTCCGGGAATGGTATCCAATACGTTTGCCGTACAAACAAACAAGACCTTGGAAAGATCAACAGGAACATCCATATAATGGTCCAAAAAGCTACTGTTCTGTTCAGGATCCAACAGTTCAAGTAAGGCAGAGGATGGATCGCCTTGATGTCCTCTTCCCAATTTATCAATTTCGTCAATCAAGATCAAAGGATTTTCTGTTTGAACCTTCTTTAATGCCTGAATCACCTTACCAGGCATAGCTCCTACATAGGTACGTCTATGACCCTTAATTTCTGCCACATCCGTCAGACCGCCTACCGAGAATCGATAGAATTCACGGTCCAAAGCACGGGCAATACTTTTACCTATGGATGTTTTTCCCACGCCAGGTGGTCCTGAAAGGCAAAGAATTTTTCCTTCCATCGTGCCTCGAAGTTTACCTACTGCAATAAATTCCAAGATTCTATCCTTGACGTCCTTTAAACCATAATGATCTTCGTCCAGGACAGAGGTAGCACGTGCGATGTTGTAGTTTTCGTGGGAGCGCTTACCCCATGGTACCTGAGTAAGCCAGTCAAGGTAGTTTCGAGTGACGTTAAACTCTGAAGCAGCAGGTTCCAAATGAGCCAACTTGTTAATTTCCTTTATGTGACTTCCAATCAGTTTCATGTACTCTCTCTCTTTTATGTATTCTGTTGTTTACCTCATCAAATACTTTCTTTACAGATGCAGGCATGGCTAATTTAGATGCCTTTTCCTTGAAACCTTCGACGAGCTTGTCCTTACCATCACTTTCCAATCCCAGTTCCTTTTTGATACCCTTTAACTGTTCCATCAAGTAGTATTCTCTCTGTCGCTTAGCAATTTTGTTTTCTACGTCTTTGGAGATTTTATTCTGAAGCTGAGCGTTCATCAATTCCTTTTTGAGCACGACAAGTGCTTTCTGAAGTCTATCCTCTACGGGCAATGTTTCCAACACTTCTTGAAGCTCTGCTGCTTCTCCTGCAGAGACAGCGGCTGCAAAGTCAGCAAGCTTTGAGGGTTCCTCAAATACATTTCCTGCAGATTGTGACATGGAAAAGTTGGCAATTTGGTCTCTGAACAATGGGTTTAGAGAGGCGATTTCTTTAAATACGGACACAATCTCAGAGGTTACTGCACGAATGTAAGGGCTCTTTTTGGAATACTCCGGTTCGACAAAGTTTTCGACATTTGCAAGAGAGACGGCGTACTCATCAACTAGGAACGATGTTGCATACTGACGGGATACCTTCTCAACCTCTTCATCTGCTATGAATTCATCTACAAGATAACAAGATTAAAAGAAAGACCTTGCAAGTAAGTCAAGATCTAGGAACTTGCCTGATTTATGTGCCACGGTTCTTTCCGTTTCCGCCTTAGGCTTTACTTCTTTACTACCTTTTTCAATAGCATCGTCATGTTTAGAGACCTCTTTTACAGCTGCAACCGAGTGTTGCTTATCTTTAATTGGCAGCAAGTCCGTAATCTTGATACGCCTGTGCGGATACAAGACCGCGGTCAATCCTCCATCCTCTTTCCCAGACGAAGCAGGGAATACGCTCGTGATCTGTGCAAACACGCCCACTCGATGAACTTGATCAATACTGGAGATAGTATCCGTCTCTAATCCTTCCTCTTTCAGCAAGAATGCACCAACGTAAGGTTGCCCGCGTTTCATCAATTCTTTAATAGCTGCTGTTACTGTGGGTTCCTTAATGACAACTGCTTTATAGAACCCTGGGAACAAGGGTCGTCCGGAGATGGGAAGAGCCAAAACTTGTGGATAAACTTCGGGTACAGTTGGCTTTTGAAGCTGATTATCTGCCACGTCCCAAGAGTGGTTCTTTGATCTTCCATCATTCCCCCCATTTCCTCCTCCTTCACCGTCACCGTGACCATTTTCTCCGTGGCCACCTGGGCTGCTGCCGCCTGACGCTGGAGCTTGATCGGCTGGATCATCTTTGGGATTTCGCCTCTTGAATTCCGCAGCATTGCTGAATGAAGACACGGTTCGACAAAGTGCTGATGGGCTACGTACGGGTGTAATACCAATACAGACAGGACCATTGATACCTTCTTTTAATGTCTTTTTGACAGCTTCACCACCCCAGATAGTAACACTGTTTTGGCTTCGGCTGGTTGAAAAGCAACGTAAGCTGAGAGGTTTTGTAGGCACTGGTGACTGTAGCTGTGAGAAAATGGCCTGGTTTACTTTCGAACGTGGTATTGTTTTTGATACATGAATTAGGAACGAATGACTCATGCTTCACACGACAAGGGAATAAAATTAAAAAAAAAAAAAAAAAAGGGAAAAAGGAAGGCAGTAGAAGAATGGGCATTACTAAGAACTGTGTTTGAAATTTGAAAGTTTCTGTTGAACCCTGGTCCCCGCGCACAAGAAGATTACACGCTTCGATCAAATTAATTTTGCATAAATCTTGTCCCCCGTATAGAAAATTTTCCTTGCACCATGATGAATAATAGCGTATGTGCGTGTTTTTGTGTGTACTTAACGGTCTATTGTACAAGTATTTGTTTCTCTTTTCAATGCAAATAGGATTTCCCTGCTTTTAGTAAGAACGTCAGCAAAGTTCATTGAAGCAAGACGATTTTCTCTACTAAAGAGGCCAATGACAACATAGTGCTCCTTGTGTGGATATTTAAGCCTAATGACACCCAGAAAACACATGTATATACAAAATAAGGATGACATGTCTTTTTGCTTTTTTAATAACACCCAGTGTAGCTTTCCTTAATATATTCTTATTAGGTATAAATTGTTCCCATACTTTGTTAACAAAAGAATAGTTAAGGTACATATCCTCACCATGTTCTCTAAGGATAACTGCAAGTGATTATCAAGTATGAAAGGGTTTTATTAATGAACAGATATGGCATTGTATCTTCACTTATGGCAAATACATATGTAGTCTGAGCTGAGTACCTTAATTCAGTAAAATAACCTCCTACACAAACCTTGCTTAATTAACAAACAAAAAGCTCGCACCCTTTCTATAATTTCGTTGCAGCTATGCTTTATTGTTTTCAAAGTGATGGTTTACTACTTCAGCTACCTTTTACCTTGCTTCTCATCCATATTCTTCTTTCTATACGTGGTTTCGTGCCAATCGCAATGGTGCTGTGCTATCCCTTTCCTTGATGATGTAATCACGATCATCCATATACATTTCACGCCTTTTTTGAATTTATTTTTGTCATCAAGCCTACTATAAAAAAGGTTTCCTTACCTTTCAAAAAGAAAATGCAAGTTAAATACTTACCCTCTCTTTGCTAGCTTCTTTATTACTTGTTTTACGGCAAACCATTGTATTTAAGTTTACTAATTTCATCTGATTTCTTATCTAGGGAAGTACGAAAGATAGCTTCCCATGACTTGAAGACGGATCAATTTCTATTTATGGAAATAATCATCGATTCTTTCTTTGTTCTATCTCTCTCTTTTGCTTAGATATTCACTATACGTTTATCTGCGTTTCTTTGTCTATTGAGCAGGCAACATTTAGTAAAGAAATGGGTTTAAGTGTAAAGTAATGTTCATTGAGTAAAATGAAGCTAGGAAAAAAGATAAAAATAACCGTGGGGTGCAGAGCCTATTTTCATATGATCCACTCTATAATAAGAGAACAATAACACACTTATAACACATAACACACTAACACACTTATATGTACTGGAATTAGAAAAAAAAATATGCAACATCACATGATTTAACTGCCTTTTTATAATGCTTTTTTTCCGAATCGAACATCGACCCTGCGCGACAAGCATTTGGTTCCTGAAAGTGCATGAGCTTTCTTTCCTTTCTTTTCGAATATAAACATTTCCCCTTTTCTTATCGCATTAAGAGTTTCTTTTCTTTACTCATCGTATAAACATTTTGAAATAATTTAGTATGAATAAGGTTTCTTTTGATTCGAATATGTCTGCTAACATTGTCGCTCATTAGAACAATGGAAAACAATACTTCTAGAACAACTATATGCTCTTCCTGTGTTGCGACATTGCCAGCAGATTCGCGCTATTGCACCTGCCAAGCGTGTAGAGAAAGAGTTGCAGCATCACGCCGCAGATGTCGAGCTGAACAAGAAGAGCAGGAAGGCAGCCCAGTAAGACGTAGGGGAAGACTAAGAGTAGAACCTTCTCAGACTATTCCTGCTGCTTACATCTCGCAGCTTTCTCGCCTTCGTCCTTTGGACCTTGGACGTATGGACAAGGAATGCTCACACTGCCACGCCCTACATTGGACTGATGAAAGGCAAGAGACATCTTCAATGAGAAATCCTAGCTGGGAGTCATGTTGCAAGCAGAGATCAGTCCAGTTGCAACTCTTATCTGATCCACCTGAGTACTTGAAGGACTTGCTCGAACGTACGGACACTTAAGACCGTCACTTTAAGGATAACTTTCGCCAGTACAACGCTGCCTTTGCCTTTACTTCGTTGGGCTGCGATATTGTTTCGCCTGAGGATCGTGCCAACAATACCAGCAACAACAATAACAATAGAGGTGGATTAAACGCATTTCAGATCCATGGCGCACTTTGCCACCGTCAAGGCCCCTTGACTCCAGTTGAAGGCAGTGAGCCTTCTTACACCCAGCTGTATATCTTTGATCCATGCTATGCCGCTGAAAGAAGACAAGCACGAAGCAGCAACCTTGATCCTGAGATCGTTAGGGAGCTTTCGGTCATGCTTGCTCAATGTAACCCCTTTGCGCGTATATATCGCCATGCACATGAGATATTGAACAACTATGAGAACAGCAACAGTGTCAGTGATGGTAATGATCAAAGAGAAGTCAGTGCGCCATACATCATTATCAGCCCATCAATGAGAATGTGCTTAATTGAAGGAAGCGATAGACGCACACACAACCTTCCAACAATGGAAGAGATTGCTGCTGTTATACCAATTAAGTATAGTGACAGAAGTTTCCGTGATATTGTTCTTACCTTGAGAAGCAATAGCAGTCTTCGTCAAAGCACTGGATTTGAGCAGCGCTTTCAGACCATTATTCAGGCCCATACTGCATACATGCCAAGTCATTATTTACATTTGTTTCTTCATGAAATAAAGAAGTGCCTTGCATTATCTGAGAATAAAATAATTTGTAAACGAGAGTCATGAGTTGTTTTATCACTAAATAAAACAATAGACAACAACTTTACAGTTCTGTCTAAGAGAATTACACAAGTAAATAGACACTTAAAAGAAGGAAGACATTCTTCTGTTAAATTTGATATCATTTATGTATTGAACTTGAGAAGGAGAGAAAAGACTAAGGGCAAAATGAACATAGTATTGTAGATAAATAAAAAATGTCGACAAACAGAAACTGTTGTTAAAAATAAATCATGTCAAGACACCTTTTACAATTATTGTTATTCTTTATCTCTTCTTTCATATTTTAAACACAATGCGCGATCAAGTTCGTAGTATTCTTAAAGAAATGTATGAGAGAAAAAAACAAATAGAAAATGAGAAACATCAAACCTCATCCAAAGGTAAAATAATGGAAGTTTCAATCATCTTTGACTTCATAAATATCATCCATGTGCTATGGGTAAAGCCAAGAGAAAAAGGATGAGTCAAGCAGAGAAGATTGAGAACAAAAAAGAAAAGAAAAAGGCGAAATACGATCACAATGATGAGCAAGAAAAAGACATTGTTTGTACAAGTTGTCACCAAAAAGGACACAAGAATGCAAGATCTTCCTTATGCCCAAATCGAAAGTTAACAAAACAAGAAGAACTTCAGCAACTCATGGGAAATCGAAAGACAGCAATAGTCAAAACAAAGCTAGAGACTATTCTGTGTCCTGCCCATAGAAGCATAAAAGACATTAGGAACATTTTAGTTCGTGCTTGTGATATGCCTCGAATATATAAAGAAGCGATAGGAGAAGCCGATGGGTCTCTATATAACCTCTTTATTGTATATAAGACAAGAGAGAGCTCATTATTACAAACAGCATCATTTTATATGAAGACATAATTATTAAATAACCGATTTAGTTATGACCCATAAGAATTGGGCATGTCGCATTATTAGATAATAGCATGTTTTGTAGTCAGTCTCTTTGTATTACTCTTTTTTAGAGTAAAGGTTTATAGTAATCTCATGCGACAGGGTTAAACATTTATAGGATAAATACGACAGTGCTTATGATTTCTTAAAGTGTGCCAATAACTTTGAGAAAAAGTGTATCGCCCTCTTCGTCAGAGCTAAACACAGTTGAGTAGCTATGGCCAGTCGCCAAAAGCAAATGAAAAGGGCCTGTTTGTGAAAGAAACTCTATCGATAAGAATAACTATGTAATAAGGCAAGCATCAATCATTTAGAAGAACTCATATGGCCTCTTGATTTGACCCACATTTATCACTGTTCATCAAAAGCTCCAAAATAAAATGAAATTATGAACCTATTACGTTCTTCCTTTCTTTCTCTTTTTACTCAACTTTGACAACAATATTGACATGTTTAAAAGCATTATTCAAAAGAAGAAAGAGCAAGTCATTAATAAAAGAAAATCGACAGGAAACATAGATGATACGTTTGAAGGTAAATCTCATATAACGCATATGGCATTTGTAAAATATTCACTGATACATTGGTATATAATATAGATATGATTTGTAAAGACTGTCAGGAGATAGGACATGCCAACAAAAGTTACTATAAATGCAAATTTTATAAAGAAGCTTCTGTAGACGATGGTAACTCACCATTATAAACTAATATTCAAAATTTATTATATCTCTTATTAAAGTTGGAACATCCACTGGAAAAAGAAGAAAACAAAGTTCAGGCGTGAAGCAAGAAAAACAAAAAGCAAAAAGACAAAAAACAGCAGCATGTTCTTCATCGATTGTTTGTAGTAGTTGTAAACAAACTGGCCATAAGTCAGCACGCTCTCCAGATTGCCCTAATCATATGTTGTCAAAAAACGAGGTTTTTAGCCGAAGTTTGGGACAACAATTTAAAACATTCACAAGAAAGTTACCGTTTGATCAATGTGTTCACAGTTCTTACCAGAGTGCCTTGAAGTCTAGGATCATCTCTGCATGTGAAGACACGCGGCAAGTGGTATTCAGAGCTCAGCTTTTTATCAACCAGTACATTTTGAACTTAAAAGTCCATTCGAATCATATCTTTAAACAAAATTTTTGGTATTCAATATGTCAATTAGTTACGGATAAGCGAGTGACGAACAGTGCTGCACTTCCAGAAGGCTTACTTGAAAACTGGAATTTGTTTAGACAAAGTCATGGAAGCATCATATATACCAAAAAGCCTGCGAGTGGAACTAGCCAATGTCTTTCAGAATCATGTGTACAACTAGCGACCACATACACAAACTGCATAGCCGAAAACTTTGAAGCAAGATTGCTTAAATACCTTTCGTATCTTATTCAAAACACTTTTGTGGTAAGCTCCATTTTTTTGTGAAATGTTCTACTGGAATATGTAAATAATTCATGATATAGTCAATGGCGTACCAAGATGTAAAGAAAATAGCTTATGATTATTGTTATCAATCTGTATGCAAAGGAGAACCTAAATGGCCGCAAGGCGCTATTTTCACTCAAGAAACAAAAGCAGCAGTTGATGAGGCTTGCCTGCCATCGCAGCAGCTTATAACCACACGAGTAACACTAAAGGAATTGTCTGCGTCTCCAAGTACTTTTTTGCCTTGTATCTTGTATATACTATCGAAATATGAAGAAGAACATAAAGAGCACCATGCTTATGATGTTAGAAGACTACCTCTGCCTAGGCTTTTTTCTGTATTACCAAACCCATCGCTGCACTGGCGATTCATCAATATCAGCGCAAATTCTTTATCTGCCTTTGTTAAAGAGCCTTTACCACGGGGATACAACGATCAACTAAGAATGTTTTGCAGAGTTTTCAATTTCAAAAAACTAAGAATCAATAGGTAAAATCTTGTCTGCAGACTGCTTACTTGTACAATACTCAGTAACCTTTTTTGTTTGTTTGAATAGCATTGACGATTTGCTTCCTAATCAGAACAACAAGATCATGTTTGCAAATACTGTCAAGTCTGACGGATTTTCAGTTGATTTTGTATTCAACAAAAGAACAACAAAAGATACCTCTTTAATAGCAAACATTGATTTAAAGCTTGAAGATTTTGGCTTGGAAGAAGTAAAGCAAGCCTACCAGCCCATGTTTCTAGATCCTGGGAGAAAAAGCGTGTTCACTGCTGCAATTGGTTTAGATACAACCAACCATCAAATAAGACGCTGCTCAACAGCAGAGTAATATCACAGGACCGGATCAATAAAGTACATTAAAAAGCTAGAAAGGCTTAAGGCTCAAAAGGGCATAAGAACAATTGAGACCAATATACCCTCTCCTAAAACATCACAATGCGCTGCTTACCTCCTCTATATTGAATACATTCTTACCCATGTTGGTGTCTTATTCACATCTTATGATTACAAAACAGCAAAAGATCGTTTTTACTTGTATCAAGGCAGACAAAGAGCGGCAGAAGAAATGGTAAACATGCTTGTACATGGAGGCGCCAAGTATAATAAGAAAAAAAGAAAGAAGAGAAATAGGAAGGAAAAAAGAAGCAAGAAGAGGCAAAAACAGACGGCAAATCCAAAAGAAAAAGAGAATCAAATTACCAAAAACAGGTATGTGATCAATTTTAGCTTTGACAATCAAACCTTATTAAATTGTTGTTTTAAAGAAGCCAAAAGTGGAAGCCCGCAAAGTTCCAAACGGAAAGGGAGAAAGTGCCCCTTGTAGTCTTTGGTGCGGGAATGTTTGGCAAAGACTCGATAAAGCTGAAGAGAAACAGGTGTGGTGCCACTGGTGTTTTTTGGCGAGCGTTAAAAAGAAGAGAAGCAGCTGGAGATCTGATCGCCGTTACAATTGATGAATACAAGACTTCCAAAGTCTGCAATGCGTGTAATAGTGATTCCCTCACAGGTATGCCCGGCTTGAAAGGCTGTAGTATTCAGGTCTGCAGTATCTGCAAGACACTATGGCAACGAGATATCAACGCTTGCAAGAATATGTTGTCCATTTCCCTTTCGATTTGGGATGGAAGAGGTCGACCTTTCCAGTATAGCAGAAATTAATTGTTTTTTAATCACCGTAATGAACACGGTTTCCCTTTGGGATAAAGATTATTACTAGTAGCTAGTAAGAGAGCAATAAAAACTATAAAAAGGGGAGAAAAGAAAATTCCTTTTCCTTCTTTCCTTCTTTCCTTCTTTCTTTTCCTTGCTCTTTTTTGATGATAGATACAAAGGTAAGTTCATTTTATATGGCTTATTCAGCGCAAGATATGATTGATTCTGCTATGGCTTTCTATTGTGTGGCTAGTCGTCTGGTATGGTGGATCTGTTGCAGACCATTCTTCTGGTCTACACAAGCCACAAATGGTGCTTTAGTATTATTGCTGATTTGCTATGAAGGAAAGCTCGTTATGTAAGGCACCCATGGCTCGGTATCTTTTATATGTGGGCTGCATTGGGCTTACAGCGTAAGCAAGTAACTCTATAGTAAAATGTGACAATAATGCCTAGGGTGTCATAACCAACTTGTTATGGTGAAAGCTCCCAGTGCAAGCTCAAAGGTGTGGCATACTGCATATGTGGACTTACCTGTTCTTGCAGCGTAAGCAAGTAAACCAATAGCAAATTAAGCATGATCCCCATTACTGTTTAACTCCAGCCAGGAGCCAGTCTGTCTTATAGGTTCAAATATACAGTTGCTGACTCTTTTTTTGATAGGCTATTTTTTGGTTATGACTACTTTAAAAATAATAAACGCGTCTTTTTATTTCTCATTTATTGTACTTTTCTGCTTTAATCTTGATTTATCTGAAAGTAAATAATGCCATTTTTAGCATTTTACTTTCAAGTATGTAAACACAGTATTTTACTAGTCTCATTTGCAGTGTTTACCAGACTTTACTTTAGGTTAAATGCTGAGAAATATAAATGCGCGCATCAGCTGCGGTAAAAAAAGATAATTATCATAGAGATAGCTAGAACAGTAACATTTTGAAAGCAGCAAAAGAGCGGCTGAAGGTCTATTTGACTGGATAATAAAATGATAATTGCCAGTCTTATTGATACTATTTTCTCTGTCATTATTACCAAATTTATTAAGGAATAAATGTGCTTTTAGTACCTATCAATAATATAGATGCTTATATTATAATCAATAGCCAAACAATACAAGTGAATATGGTAAAGAACTTGAGAATCTTCTAAAGTCAGTTATTTACACGTTGTATTTGACATTTGATAGCAGATAGCTATCTAAGGGTTCATTATGACAAGAGTTATAGAAAATCAAAAGAAGAGGAAGGGATGTTCTCACAGTGATTGCTTTATATCTCTCTTTATCTGCTGTTTGTCAATTTCTCCAACAAAAACAAAGACGTTGCTGTAATCTTTTTTTTATTGTTGTATTTCTGATATTTACAAGATACATTATTAAAGGGTTATTTTCCAGATTAGAATCCCTTCATCATCAACCATTCCTTGATCTCATTGACATGATGTCCCTTGATTATGACATTTTGAGTGGTTGGATTGACTTCAGCTACTGCTTCAGGGAAATCCTTTTTCAGATCGTTCACTAAGGCGTTAGAATCTCCCTTGATTCTACGCACAATTGTTGAGAGATTCGTTCTGCCATTCTTATATTCAGAATAAACAGGAAGACCCTTGCTGGACGTACGAGAGACAAAGTACGAAGGTGTGGAATAAAGTCTCTTTTGATAAAGGAATGCACGCAACATGAAGAGCTTGTAAATGTATATTGTTAATAAAAGGGGGAAATAGTATAATCGCTTCATGCAATAATTTACCTAGATTATATATATATTTAGTTTGTCAAAAAAAAAGAAGGGGGTGCTTCTTTACAAGGCAAAAAAAAAATATTCATCTACAGTCCGAACGAGCTGAGTGGAAAAGCCACGCTTATGAAGCATAACGCATTCAGGGGCTTTAGTAGAACTATTCCAAGGTCGTATTCTGTGGTCAGTCTGTTATAGTTTAGTAGCTCAAATATACTTTTATTTATTGATTCTTATTTTGCAATGTTACAAAAGCTGCATCAACTCCTTCCATTATGCTAAAACTTTAAGAGAGGGATACGTGTTCTTGTAAGAAAAAGAAGCAATTGAATAATTCTTTAAAGACAATAAAGACAAAGCATCTTCTTGAGTGTTACATCAAGAAGACTTAATAGATATCCTTTGAATTAATGATGTAGCTTATGCTATTGCCAGATTTAGCGGAGTAACATAGTGTGGAGGAAAAAGCCTGCTGTGACTCGGCAGTGACTTTTTTTTATAACCAAATTTTTTCCAGCAGCAGGAGATAAACCTTTCCTTTTGACATTTGATCGATTCAACATGCCTACGACTAGAAAAACAGCTGCTACAAAGAAAACAGAACAGAAACCTGTTAAGTCGGAAGCAAAGAAACCTGCTGCTACTGTAAATAAAAAACAGGCAACCAAGGCACCTGCACAAAAGCCTGTAGCCAAAAAGCAAGCAAAGAAAATGAATGCTAAACAATTAGAAAGTTCTGACGAAGAATCTGAGGAAGAACAAGAAATTGAACAAAAGCCCAAGCAAGAAGAAGCTGAACAAGAAAATAATACAGAAGATGATTCAGAGGAAGAAGAAGAAGAATCAGAGGAAGAGGAGATGACTGAAGAGCAGGAGGAAGCCTTGAGAAAGAAGATTTTGGGTGACCTGGCTAGTAGTGACGAAGGAGAGGATTCTTCTGATGATGAAGATTTGATTGGTAAAAATGAAGACGTGGTTGCATTGGATCAAAAGCAAATGGAAGATAGCATGAAAGAAACAAAAAAGGCATTTGAAGAGAAGAAGGACAAAACAAAGAAGGTAAAAAAAAGGCTTGGAAAGTTTTTTTGAAATGCTTTACTCATAGCATGTCTTTAGAAGGTGGATACATCAAAACGAGGTGTTGTCTTTTTAGGCCGTATTCCTCATGGCTTCTATGAACATCAAATGCAAAAATACTTCCAGCAATTCGGTAAAGTGACTAGACTTCGTCTTTCACGTAATAGAAAGACAGGTGCTTCAAGACATTATGGTTTCATCGAATTTCAAGAACCAGAAGTGGCTGAGATTGTAGCAGAGACCATGAACAACTATCTCTTGTTTGGACATCTTTTACAATGTAAAGTGATTCCACCTGAAAACATCCACGAAAAGTTATTTAAGGGTGCCAACAAAAGATTCAAGATTAGTAACTTTCGCGGTAAAAACCGTAATCGACAGAATAAAAAGAGAAGCGGTGAAGAACTTCAGGCACAGCATAATAAGCTTAGAAAGAATGAACAACGTTTACGTAAAACCTTAAAGACAGCAGGAATAGACTATGATTTCCCTGGTTACGTAAGTTGAAATCATTGACATGTCTAATCTGTAGTTAACATCTCTTTTAGACCACTGAAGTTTAAAAGAAAGATTCATTTGATTGACATACAGTTAATAAATAAAGCATCTATGACTATATCATTTATAGATACACACTCGGTTACTTATTATTCAGAAAGGAAGAAGTAGGGGTCTAGACAATTATTAAGATTGCATAATTATTTGTTACTCCTTTTCTTTAGCTGAGATTCAAACCAGAGCCTGGGGAAAGGAGGGGGCAAAGGGGGTGCTCATCAGTAAAAATACCGCAAACTGGTGAATGCAAATCAGAGCATGCGATTTTACATTTCACAAATATTAAGTAAATGCTACGCAAAACGTCAAATATTATAAGGATACGGTCGTTATTCCAATTATCCGTTATTTATATAGCAGCAGATCACACTTTATTATTCATTAGAATCTCCTTAAACAGCCACGTCAATAACAATCAAAATATACAGAAAGATAAAATAGTTTATTAAATACAATCGCACACACACATACACATTTGCAAAATTAAACATTGAATTCCGCCAACTTGGATTCATCGTCATTTTCATGACGAAGATATTGCTTTAGCATCTTTTGAGCAATCATTCGTCCTCGAAATTTATCAAGTGTGACCTTTAGTTGCCTATTCTCTTTATGTAAAATGTTGACCTGGTGTAAAAGTAGTTCGTTTTCTTTGGTCAACCTGTGCACTGTCACTCTCATCTCATTGTATTGTCTATTCTTTTTGGCTCTGTATTTGGCTGATGCTGTCTTGTTTCGTAGTCTTCTTTCATGAAGAGTAACATCTGGCATCGAATCGAATAATAGAGGAGGTAAAGACTTGTTGGTCGTTTCCGAAAAATAGTCTGATCCGCTACCAGATTGTGATAAGGAACTTGGTGATAGACTAGACGCGTCGTCAAGGCATGTTAAAGGTGTATCATTAGAAGTTAAAGTGGAGATAGCCATAGGCTTCCAGTTGTCTGCAGACATAAAGTTTATATTTATAAAAAAAACCAGAAAGAGAGAGAGAAAGAGAGATGTAAATAAAAAAGAAAGCACTAAAACACGATATATATTCAAACCGACTTCAGAGTGACATCCCACGCCATATTCCTTTTTTATACACTATGTCTTAAAAAATCGCTCTGGGCGCTGATATATAGATCAATTGCCAATGGTACCGAAAGGATAAAAGATATAACATTGATTTCCTCTCTTAACCCGGCGTGCTCGAACATTATAGAACTCGGTTATGTTTTTCTTCTTCCCTTATTTTTAGCTCCTTTCACCACACCATATCGATGCTTACTTTAAAGTGTTTTCTCTTTATTCTTCTTTTCTCCCCCTCTCCTCCTTTTTCTACAATGTAAAATAACTCATTTGATGGGTGAGCCTTTCGTATATATATATTTAAGAGTAACACATTATAAAGAAACATCGGCAAGTAAAAAGAGACGCCATTTCTGTAACATCCTGTAATGACCGATAAAAATAAGGAGACCCATAGTTTATAATAATATTACAATGTTAATCCTTTGTAAACAAGCAATAGACAGATTCCTTTATATTTCATACACAAGCATATGTAGGAAAGGAAAATAATATGACTGAGTATGTACGATAGCCTTGATGCTGAGCAAAAATGTTTGATTTAGCCAAGCAATAAAACAAAAAGCTGTTTACTATAAAGCTGCATAGTACTGACCAGCCTTTATCGCTCGTCAGATATTGTGTTATCCCTTTTGAACCCCCATTCTTAAAGATAATTTATGACCCCCTCCCTTTTACTTATCTACTTTTTTATATATATAATAAGAGGACCACCTTATCCATTGTAGCTCTAACAATTCAATATGTATCACAAGCATTTGCATATCTGCACCTGTCATGCTTTTTTTGTGCTATGATATGCCACTAATATTTGGTCTGAAGACTATTAGCTCATTGATGATCATATTCCTTACATCAGTTTCATTTCGCTTAGTTGAGAAGAAAAAACTATCAAACGATACTCATGGGCGCTATTGGTACACACTTTTTTTTTCTAAAAGATATCACTTTCAAATATATAATAAGCTAAAGACCAGGTGTTTTTATGACTGTGCTTTAACTAGGAGTAAATATAACACAATGCAAAGGTGGTAAGGTAATATATATGCTCAAAGAGCATGAGACTAAATTTACTAGCATGCAGCGTATGCTAAAAGGAATGTTTATGTCCGATTCAAGCATACAAGTATTTCTGTCAAACAAGAGCATAAATATAAAATTTTATACATCACGTACGAACGCATATCAATACGTGTATGCAGAATCGTTATACTCTATTTTCTTTGTAGCAATCATGTATAAATTATTCTTAAAACATTATTCGTACTACTTGGATAAGACAAAAAAGACTAGGCCATCTTCTTCTATTTCCTTCTTTTCTTTATTTCATTTACACAACATATGCATTGCTTCTATCCAAGCTAAAAAGAAGAAGACATGCATGAAACCCTTTTCATGATAACCATGTGGCCCTCTTTTCTTCTTTCTTATATGTAAAATAAGGACATACAATGTAAAAAGGCATAGACTATCCCTGATCAATAAGTGGTAAAATTCTTCTAGTTGATATCAGCTGTCGTACAATGCGGTTGATACAACCTTTTTGGAAAAGCGCAAACAACATGGCAACAGGAATGACGTCTTGATTTAAGAAAAAGCCAATAGTTCAATATATGTTGCAACTAAAATGGAATAATTATATGACTTAATTCTAATGGGGGAAAATGCCTTGATTCATTAAAAAAAGAAAGAGAATTAAAAAATAAAAGGCAACTAACCGGAAATAGCCTAAAACGGCCCAGTTTCCATTTTAAAGCTTGACAGATGAATAGTGGCAAAAAAGTATTAGACCACTTGCTTGTATCACATCTTATTTAATGACTCTATTGTTAAATGGAGTCATTAATACAACCTTCACAGATTATTGGTTGCGAGTACTATGTGAATATTAAAAGAAATCGAAATAGACAGAGGTGAAGAAGACGTGGAAACCAGAATGGCTTATTTTACGAAAGACTTCTTTTCCAGGGTGGAATGGAATAATGAATTCGTTTCTCTTTTTGTCATACACACACGTTTGCCGATCTAGCACCAAAACTTTGTCATGTAATTGAACTCTAAATGACATGCATTGAAAGATAGAATGGACAAGTTATTGGCTAGCACGCTTTAAACACATGAGCGCTGAGATCTTTTATTATTTTGTACGCCTTTGATTGTTTTCACTCTAAAGCACTTGCTTATATAATCTTACTATAAATGATTTGCCATCTTCAATTTTTTCTTTTCTTTCCCTTTCTTCATTCCTTCCCCCCTTCTCTCTTCTCCTGTTTTCTGTACAATTTATGGAAAGAGTTTTGCAGCTGGAACAGCTGCCAGTTGATATTCTCATTCAGATCTTTAATTATCTTGATCAACCTTCACGCTTGCAAGTCTGCTTAGTTTCAAAATTCATGCTGAAAACCTGTATCTGTATCATGTGGTATGTGCCAAAGTGTACAACAGCATTCGCATTAAATGTATTAATGGCAACAATAAATAATGGCAGTAATAACCTTTATCCTTATTCTTCATATATGTCAGGCCTCAACTTATCCTTTGATCAAGCAGACCATATTGACGTTTGCTGTAACACCACCTTGTCATTAAGAACACTATGGATAGAGAATGTGGAATCGATATCACCTACTTTTCTGAATCAGATCGTGCGGGATGTTGCCGAACTTGGTCTCTCCAAATGCTCCAAAGAGACTATTAGAAGTGTTTCTGTTACTTTGGCCCAGTATAAACAACGATCGAAGCTTGAACAGATCGACATCTATGATTGCTACATGTCCGATCAGATGGTTCGTCAAATGGTGATATCAACGCCTATGCTAAAACGCTTCAACTACTATCGATCAGGATTCTTGTCCGATAGCTCGATTTTTGCTATTGTTGAACACTGTCAGCTGATCGAGTCCCTTATAATGACGTTACCAAGGCACATTGTACAAGCTAATACCGTGACCTTTGCCGCTCTGGAAGTACTTGCTCAATTGCCAGGATTAAAGATATTTGTGTGTAGAGGGCAGGTTAGGATCGCGACAAAACAAAACGAGGAATGGATGTATAAGCATTGCTCCTCATTAATACACTGCGATCTTTCATTTGATACATGATACAAGTATCCAATATTAGAATTACACATGTATGATAATAGACAAACAGAGATAGAGATAACCAAAGATGAAGTATAGAACAAAAATAAATCACTTCTTTATTCTTTCTATTCTTTATTCAATGTGCATGTAACAAATGAAGCTAATACTATGAATACTAAAGACGCCAAGAGACAAAAAAAAAAGAGAGAGGGGTGCAAACGCGCATTGACCCAAGATGTAGCATGAAAAGTGTAATGTTTATGAGATCTTATTGGCGGCTACCCCATATGTTGTGATCATCAAAAATCTCATCTACAAATTTTCTCTCACACTGTCAAGTATATAAATACACGGCCCCTTCCTTTCTTCTTCTCTTTTTTCCTTCTGCTTCCCTTCTCTTCTTTTATCTCTCTTTCTTATTTTCTTATCTTCTCCTCTACATTTCCTTTATTCTATTTTGGGATAAATATCTTAATTCTCTTCTCAGATTGGGTCAACGCTTCGTACTCATCATATACCTTCATTTGTATTCTCAGGCATGAGCCGAGACTTTGTTGAAGCAAACAATAAGATGTATGCTTTCATTCATTCGACTATCATGTCAACAACCTTGAGTTTCTTTTTTTCTAGCGGTAAAAGAATCTTTTTGGAAAAAGTTGGCTCATTTAGTTAGTACAATGCTGTATGAAACCAAAGTTTTTCTCCGCAAAACGAGAGTTTTTGTTCCTCTTGGTTACTAAAGTACCAAACAAGAATAAAACGGACAAAGTGTATGAAAAAATGAAAAGAAGACAAGAGCCGTAAAGTGTAGTGTCTTAAGACTCTATGTTTTGTTTTGTTTTTTTTTTTTTCTTTCTTGTTTTGAGAATGCAAGTCTCAAGAGTAACATGAGTTGATAAGATTTAACCAATTATCACAATTCCTATTGTAACTCGTTGTGTTAGTAACACTGAACCTTATTTCTGCAATTTTTTTTCTCTTACGCCCTCTTTTCAAATAAAAAACTTTACTGTATAAACAAGGAAAGTCATCCTAAATGGAAAAGATCTTATCACCATGACAATGGTTATTACTTTCTTTATCAAAGCTTGGATCAACACTAGGTTTAGACTGTGTAACATATAGATGATATGCTATATCCATGTTTGGTTGATAATCATTTCGATTACGATTGGCTAATTGTCTTATGAATAGATAAATTTAATTCCAGCCCCAATCATTTTCAAACTAGTTCACTTGGCGTTCCCCACTCTCTTCTGCTTTAAAGATTGTGTGAGTCACTTTATCGATGGAAGAAAAAGGAAATAGTTGCACAAACAACCATATGGTTTAGGGTAATAAGGAAGAGGAGACAGAATTAGCTGAGCGAATATGAGTAAATGTGTGTGTACTCTACGTTTGCTTGGGATAAAAGTTTATGGATTCACATGACGGGAAAAGTTTCTCAGTTTTTATATATAAATAACATATATACTATAGACTGTACAAGTATCTGTCATGGCAGCCGTAGTCATAGTGACAGAAGTCATGATATATAAATATTTTTTATATAAATATACACAACATAGTCGTATTATAAAAAAAATTGTGCCTCGAATCGTATTTATTTGGGCTTTTTGTTACCCTTGTTTTTTTTTTTTCATTTTCAGGTGTGTATCAGCGGTATTTAAATCTGTGGTATTACTCACTCTTGCACAAAACTCAACCCAAACAAAAAAATATAAGTAGTGAACCTTATTTTTATAGCCTTTCTTTCTCTTTTTTCTGTCTCTTTCTTCTTTACAATTCATTGATAAATTCACTTGTTAGGTTTATTTACCTTTCACTAGTTTAACGCTTTTATCTTTTTTAAACTCTCTACTACTCTTCCTCTCTCTCTCTCTCTGTCTCCGCGTTTGATGCAAATGGCTGAATCTGACGACTACTTGCTCATGTCCTCTTCGGATATGTTTGGAAAGGATCATCTTCTCTCAAACTTTTTGCAAGATCCTTCTCTTTCGCCGGTTGTCGAAACCAGTTTCCCTTCGCCTGCCTCATCCACGGATTCTCTGGATAGTCCTGATGGAAGTGATCGTACCTTTTCTATTGATCCTGCTGTACTTCAGAACTTGCCCCTTTCTGTTTTACAATCACTTGCTGCCATGTACCAACAACCTAATTCAACCGAAAATTTTGATCAATTTGTCAAGTTTGAAGAAGATAAATCAACACATGAGCCATCTACTGTTTCTCCTACGGCTTCTACTAGCACACCAGTTCCTGCTACGCAAACTCCTACCGCAAGCACTTCCTCTTCTTCCACTCCCAAGTCTAAAGGAAAATCATACCGTCCTCCACGTCAATTGGAGTGTTTCAACTGCCATGTTACTAAGACTCCTCTTTGGCGTAGGACTCCAGACAGAGCACATTCTCTCTGTAATGCCTGTGGCCTCTATTACAAACAGTATGGTACGCACCGTCCCCTTCATGTGCGTCAGAAACAGCAAAGTCCTACAAACAAAGAACAACCTGCTCCTTCTAATGATGTCTCTTATGCCGTTGAAGCTGCTGCTCACTTACTCCGTCCTCTTCTTAATCAAAACACAGCTCAAGAGAAATGCCTCAAGTGTGACCAAGTGAAGACTTCTCTTCAGAAAGGATCCAATGATGAATTGGTATGTGAGACATGTATTCAAAACGAATTGACTACTGTTGGTGAAAAACGTCGCTGCTCAGAAGAAATAGAAGGTCAAAGACCCAACAAGATGCCTATGTCGGAAACACCGGCCTTATTTCCTGCAACTACACATGCTGTACCACAATCACCACCACAAAGTATCATGCAGTCTAAAGAATGGGCCGAAATTGATGATACTCGCTTCAAGACATTGCTCAGTCGTATGAATACACAGCAGATGCATGGGTTCTTGGGTATGCTCGAACGTCGATGTGCTATCTTACGTTCTATTCTTCTTCCTCAACAGGAATAATCCTTTTTTTGCATCTCTATCTTTTTTTTGTAAATTTTGATTCCTTGTTTATTTGGCTTTCTTTTCAACAAAAGAAGCTTTGTATATGTTCAACACATACATAGAGTATTATAAACTAATCTCTATGCTATTTATTTATATATTTCTACACTTTCAAAAAATATCTGTTAATTTATTTCTTTAATATCATTTTATACCGTTCAACACTTCAATAAAAACATTTGTCATTTTTTCTATCTGATTCATTAGTAATATCTTCCGATAAATTTCTCACGATAAGAGGACCATTTTATTTTTCGTGTTCAGGAACCATTTGACTTATTGATACGACCTCCCATGACTCATTACTTGATTAGCAAACACAGCTTTACGTCAAGTATAGTTTGATTTATTTTTACGTATGATTTCATAAAATAATAATCTCACTGAGCTACTCGACTCTTTGATATCAAGGACTGTACTTTTTTTCAAAATTGATTTACAGACAGGATACCCCAACCACATGCTACTACCTATTAGGAAACAATCTGTTTATCCCAAAACTTGAAGCAAAGCTAATTCCCCCCCCCATTGTTCATGCTTTTGTAGAGCGTACACAAAATTTAGTACGACATTTCAATCTAGAACAAAGTGTAATTTAGATGTACCATGTCTCTCAACTCTTCACGGGGTTGCACTCTATTAGAATATACAAAGGCTTTATCAATACACTATGCGAAATCATACGGCAGAAAAATGGATGGCCTATGCTTAGTTACAAATAATGATCCAATAATCTGTCAAATAAAAATATCGATATTTTTTCTCTAGTCAATAATCTATCCCCAGACAATGGTTGTAACCAATTATACACGTATGATCAAATATAGCAAATGAAGCAAAGCTCGCTCGAAAACTTACCATGGAGAAATATATTTCAAATGTCGATACTCTAAAGAACTTAGTATGGAGCGTATATTTAATAACCTTGCTCTACAGTAAATCCAAGCAAAAAAGAGAAAAGCATCATTTACTGCCAAGTGCTTTCAAGTACACTTTATTCACAAATTATTCGCACAATGATAAAAAAATGACGATTTCAGACAACAAACGAAACAGCAAATAACAATAAAAGAGAGCCCATTAGAAGTAAAAGAATGAATAAAGAAATGATTAGTAAATCAGTTATTAATTTGATATTAAATACTTACATTATAAAAAAGAGGATTTATAAGAGAAAAAGAAGCAGGAAAAGTGAGAAAACTTATAAAGAAACTATTAATATCTTATCCGAAGTGTATCCTAGGTTGGGCCGGCGATAACCTGTTCGGAGAAAGAAGGGAAAAGAGCAAGAGAGAGCAAGAGAAGGTGGCCAAATGAGCGGAAGAGGTTGAGGGAGTGGATGGGACCAAAGTTTGGTAAGAACTAAACTACCTCTAGCTAGTACCGGTACTGTTTTCGATTTTAGGATCTATAATACTACGCGTCAGTTTCTTACAAGAGTAAAGAATATAACATACCTTAGGGCTAGCTGGGGGATAGCTGGTCTTACTTTTTGGTCCAAAGAAGAAAAGAAGCCAAGATCAGATTATTTATATGAAGTCTCTAGTAACTTTTCCAGTTACGTGTTATTCATTAGCGTTGACCACATTTATCTTTTCTTCTCTCAAAAAGACAGAACTCATTGCCTTCTTAATAGCAAAGAAGACATAGAAAATCAACTAAAGTATAATTGTTATTGGTTTTAAATTGTGTGCGAATAGTATCTGAATATGGTGTATATAAAAGCTTAGTCGTAATCAGTATCAATTGGTATAAGTATCTAGTACAACTAAAAGTCCTTTCTCTTTTTGACTTTATATTATCTTGTTTTATACTTTAGAAACTTTCCTTGTTCGTAGTTCAATAATGAGAGTGAAATGATAGCTACAGAAGTTCAAGCAATTCGAGAAACTAGGCTAGAACAAGTGACAACTCCGGTAAAAACAGCCGATGAGATTGTGAAGAGTTGGCTCAGAGGCTTTAAACGGCTCTTAACTTCAAAGAAAAATATATACTTCTAGTTAGTAAATATACACTCAATAACTCACATCCTCTGTTATGAATACGAAGGTTTCCAGTTCAACAGCAGACAGGAGTACCAGACTAGTTAGATATGATAGGAGAAAGACACTATGTAATATTAAAATAAAGCTCAGTTGACGCTTTCCAGAAGTAAACATCTCTCTTTCTTTTTTTGTTCCCTGAAGAGTAAACCGTATATACGCTTTCCCTGCATTTGTTTACAATAAAGGTTATCTTATAATTTGACGGAAGCATTGATTGCAGGGTAGATAAAGGCGTAGCTAATAAACGTAACCTTGAAGATAATAGACTGTTCCTGAATAGATATATCTCTTGTTTGCAAACATGAAACAACACATACACAGTGTGTCATATTTATAAAGATCAAAGATGCCAAATCTTTATTTTGTCTATTTAGTGAAACAGTCAATCAGGGAGGGAGGAAGGGACTTTAGTGTTTAATCATTTTCTAAATAACAAAACTTTTTTTTTTTACTCCCTATACGTTTTCCGTAGCCTTCTAGCATCAAATATGCATAGAATAATTACGTATTCTTTTTGTGACGACGATCATTCATCTCAATAAACTTTAACGTGTACTAAATACTAAACCTTGAAGCATGTTTATATATTAAACATAACTGCGCGCCCAAAAGAGATGTTGACAAAGATGCGATGAAGGAGCCAGATCAAGTGTTGCTTGAAAGGTGAATCATAAGCAATCGCAGATCAATTTGAAGCTTAGACCGCGCAATACTAGGAGTCTTGCAGTAAATGAAATTTACCATACTATACTATAAAAAGTCATATAAAATTCTTTGGTAACTTTCAATTCGAACTATATTATCTCATCTGTTTCACTAGAAGAAAATAACTGAAGGAACACACATATGATGTAAACTGAAACTAAGATCTCATCTTGTGGCAGTCATAAAGTTTTCCATTTGTACAAACAGGAGTTATTTCCTTAGATTCTTTACCCTGTTTGAAAAAAAAAGATCGTCTTCTCAAGCCGTTCGCCCTGTTTCCCTATGCGCAGTTGTGGCTTTTTCCTCTTACTCTCATGTCGTTTACTCGATCGTAAATATATGATCATACTGTCAGCCTCTGCATAACTTGCATGCTTATAATAAACTAAAAAAGCCATTGCGCCTTAAAATCTCTCTTTGATTTTTTTTTTTTGGAATCAAAATAGATCCTGCAGGAGCCGTACTAAGATAATAGGTAGTCTATCTTGTACGTGATGGCGCTAGGATTATGGCTTAACATGCTCTACTTTTGCCATCCGTAACCGATACACGAGACCCTTGAATGAAGCTTCTAAAATGAGCATCTTGTTCCATCCCCTAAGTACAGCTACTGTTTTAAGTATATTCCATATGCCGCGCCTTTGTTGTTATAAGAGTGACACAGATCTTCTCCAGTGTCGGAGGACTTGGTGTAAACAGGTATGCTGTTTAACTTAAATGGGTGTGGCCTTCAAACTCAGCAGATGGACGCACAGAGTATTTACTCCTGAGTGTAACAAGCAACAGTACAAAAATGACAATCTCTTCTTGGTATAGCGAGAAATTAATAACGTATAGAAAAGAAAATAGACTTAAGCAACCCCCTCTCTCTTGTGCGATAATATGGCTTTTATATCTCCTATATGGTTCGATCGCTGTCTAATATACAAATAATAAATAAAACTTGATGGTTTCTTTATCTTCTAACATCCCTTGTTGCCTCCCGCTCAGATTATCAAGGGGGGCTTTGTTATGATGAAGAGTATTATTTGTTGATCTTTAGTGATGTGGCATAAAATTGGGTCGAGAACTCGATCAATTGCCTTTAGGAAAAATTTTATTGAGATGAGTAATGGTTATACCTTATTCTCCTTTTCGACGAAACCTTTATTTTTCAAGATTATAATTTGACGTAGCAACAGTGCCTCCTATTTCAAGTAAACTTAGAAGCTAAAAGGGGAAGAAGAAGATTGCTATCTCTTAAAATAGGAGAAAGTATCTAGATTTCCTAATTCCGCATGTAGGTGTCTAAGAAAAGAGTAGCCTGAATTAAACACTCTGAGGACCCAAATGACCCTTTGCAGCTTTTGAATGGAAGCTTAATCTAATGGCTTATAAATTTATGTACTTCAGACAAACATTAGCCTACAGGTAAGCAAATAAACGGAGAGGCCATAGATACTTAAAAAAGATCTAATTGGTGCATCAAGTATCCTAGGTGACCTTGTTGATCAATTTCAGGACACATCCAGTCGGACAGTTGGTGTCTTGATGTTGCACAGCATTTATGCAATGATTTTCCTCCTACCTCACTGATGTGAAACTACATGTATGCAAGCTTTATAATACTAATTAATGTAGAGAAACTACGACGATCAGGAAAGAGCCAAAAAGGAAGACAGTCTAAAGAATAAGGAAATACTAAAGAGTTATAGTTTGCGCGTATACTCAATCATACAATTATTTTTTATTTGAAAATAGGAGAACATCATGTTAACTTGCTGCATGACGAACTCAAGAAGGTTTGTGATAGTAGAGCTATGCATCTACCATGTGTTTTTCTTTGTTGTAACCTCCCTATTCTTTCAATCTTTCAATCAGTCATTAGCCAATAATAACTCTTGTATATTTAACTTTATCTTGCTTCTGTTTTTTGTATAAAAGAAGCACAAAATATTCGTTCTTTCTCTTTCTCTCAACAACTTCTTTCTTTTTAAAAAAGTAATCTCTTCTTCACTTTCTTTATAAAAACATAAAAAATATATCAATGAAGGTCCTCTCTCTTGGTTTCATCGCAGTTGCCTTTACTGCTCTCTTGGTCGATGCCGCTACTATCCCTCAACGCCGAGGCCTTATCGATGTAAAAGATGTCAATGTTAAAGCTTCCTGCATTCTCAACAATGCTGCCAAGAACGCTCAAGTCAAGGACATTGGAAATGACGCAAAGGCTCATGTCTTGAGACGCCGTGATGCTGTTAAAGCGTCTGATGTTCATGTTGATGGACACAACGATGTTAATGATGCTGCCGAAAACGTCCAAGTTGGAGAAACTGCCAACCACGTCGATGTCAATGTTTCTAAGCGTGGTCTTATTTCAATCAAGGGGGTTTCAGTTGGCGTGAAAAAAGTTGGAAATAACATTGCCAAGAATGCTCAAGTCAAGAATATTGCTAACAGACCTAAAGTCAATGTTGCTAAGCGTGGTGGAGGTTCTGTTGCTGACGTGTCTGGTGTTAATGTTGGTGTAAAGGATGTTGCTAATGATGCTGCCAAGAATCTCGAAATTAAAGACATTCTTAACGATCTCCATGTCCATGTCTTAGATCGTCGTGGAGACGGTTCTGTGGCAGATGTTCATAATGTTCCTGTTAAAGTCAATGGTGTTCTCAAAAATACTGCTGAAAACTTGAATGTTGAAAATATCCTAAATGATGCCGATGTCGATGTAGCCAGTGGTGGCGGCGACTGCGATAAATGTTCTGGAAAAGGTGATCATGATGGTGACCATGACGGCGACCATGATGGCGACCATGACGGTGACCATGATGGCGACCATGACGGTGACCATGACGGTGACCATGACGGTGATGATGGCGATGGTGATGAAGACTGCGAAGATGGTGACGATGATGGTGACGATGACGGTGACGATGATGGTGACAACGATGGTGACGATGATGGCGATGACGATGGACACGATGGTGACAACGACGGCGACGACGATTGCGAATAGAGGGTTTTTAGATAACCATTGTGTCTTTACGAGTACTTCAATTATTTTATAAATTTTTAAATTGGCTTCATTTTACTTTATATTTTTGATTTTTTCTTTTAAATTAAAAGCCTTTTATAATAAAAAGACTGTAATCATTAATACTTTTCAATTTTCAGGAGAGGATGATCTACTACTGATGTTGACGATCAGGATAATCGTTTAAGCGCTGGTATTCAATTTACAATGCTCGAATTTAATTTTTTGTTCCGCTCTCTTTTCATCTGAAGAAAAAAAAAAAAGGCGTAGAAGCACTTGATATATTTAACATTATATAATTAAACATTTGAGAGAAATCAGAAAATAAACAAGTCTGTAATGAAGCAGGAACAAACAAAAACAACCTCTGCACCAAGAAAGAAGAAAGCCGCAAGAGCCTGCATTCACTGCCAAAAGGTACAATTTTAAAGATTTTGAAAATGACTAATGATCCCTTTCTTAAATATAGGCACACCTTACTTGTGATGATTGTAAGAATAAGAAGTAAAAAGAATCTAAAACACTCATACTAAATAATTAATAGCACGGCCTTGTCAAAGATGTATAAAAAGGAATCTTTCCACCACTTGTACTGATGGTGCTAGGAAGAAAGCAAAATACTTGCAGGATATTGATGGTAGATAAATAAAAGAAAAAAGGGGATATTCTACATGTTACTAACTCCTTTTATTCAAATAGAACCTGTGAATACACCTACAACAGCTTATAGTCCTCAGACATCGGTATCAACACCAATGAGTTCATTCACACAAGGGGAAACAAGCGATTTTCAAGCACAAAATTTTATGAGTGCTGGTAAAACAGATAAAAAGAGCTTGTATTTGTATTGCATTATTCACTTATATCTCAAACAGATGCCCAATCCATATTAAATGCAGCATCAAACAACGCTTTACTTCCCATAGAGAACTACAACTATGGATTCGGATCAAATGCAACCAATCTTGAGTACTCCATACTTTCCAACATGCTTGGATCACCTTTAGTTGATGCTGCAAGTACTTCAACACCTAATGTTCAACAAAACACTTTAAATAACATATGGGCTCCTTCACCTATAGTAGATAATGTAAACATATTGAGAGGGGATCCTTCATTTCTATCAAATCACAATACCACACAGCTCATGTCCAATGCGTCTGCCACCAATGCATTTATCAACCGAAACAATAGTGTCAGCAATAGCCCTAGTAACAATAATAGCAACAATGGTAATACAACACCCAAAGGATCCTCTGTCGCTTCCGTTGCTTCTTCCAGCATGGATACATCACAGATATCTGCCTCAGGTATATCTACTTTATCTGCATACGGTGACGGTGCAGTAGTTGCTAAAGTTGCGAGTCCGATTACAGCAACCACGGGTCCCGCTGTCAAAAGGAGAAATCAAATTATTACACCGGAAATGGCATACGCTAGTGCAACCAAACCATTTAGTTATGCGGAAGGATACCATTATCTTATCAATTATGTAAAGACAAGGTACAGAATTGTGTCTTTTTTTTTTATATGAAATAGATCAGTAGAACTTACAAATATCAAAGAATGGGTAGAGAGGATTTGATGAGAATTAGTAGAGCGCTGGCGCTTTTTCGGCCTTCTGTTTTGGCATCTATGATGAATTTGACGGAGGATGATTTAATATTTACAGAAAAATGTCTGCAGCGTACCTTATTGGTAAATGATGGCTTTTTTAGAGAAAATGTATAATACAATGGGCCTAATTCTTTATCTGTGTAGGAATATGAAAAATTAATTAGTTATTCAGGTACACCAACCGTTGTGTGGCGTAGAACAGGGGAGATCGCCCTTGTCGGAAAAGAATTTTCTCTGCTCACCCAATGGTCTCGAGATATGCTACTTAATAAGAAGACATATATTTATGAGGTATGTGTGTACAATAGAGCTTATAGTAAATGAAATACTGACATTATCATAGCTCATGAGCAATCCTTCAGCCGTAGAATATTGGGAAAAATACGCTCTACATGCATTTGATAATACAGATTCAGCAGTCTATAGTACATGTATTTTGATGAGCCCTACAAAACGAGTAGTGCCATGTACTTTTTGCTTTACAATTAAACGAGATATATTTGACTTACCAAGCGTCATTGTAGGCAATGTAAGTATCAAGAAAATGGTTCAATTGACTCAAACTAAACTTTTTACTGTATAGTTCTTGCCAATTTTGAGTTAAAAAACCGTGCACTTTTTTTATTTATTTACTCTCTTATAGAAAATACAACATTACATATTACAACCCCTTCATTAAAATTTTACTTCAATAGTCTTTATTCAACCTTTTCTGTTGCTAAGTTCATCAGAAAATAAATATTTATTTGTTTATATTTTACGACTCTTCACTCTTTGGCCAATGCGACATCAATTCACTTCTGGTGCGATTTCCGTACAGACTATGCGAGTAATAAGGGAATGTGTGTTGGTGATCATAGGTGTCTTTTCTCAATTGATCAATAACAGGAAATGCTACTGACATTCTATTATGGTCTGTGCTAGGCTGCTGCGGTTGCTGTTGTTGTTTCAGGCTTGCTAAACTGCTAAATAACTTTGACAGTCTTTTTGTACCACTGCCATTCGTACTATTTGTTGGCGTAATGAGTGGGCTATTGTTACTAGATTGAGCAACCGATCTCCTTTTGGCCAATTTGAGTGAATTAGATGAAGCAGTAGGAGTCGGCATAGGCGATGTCTTGGGTGTATGAGCAGGACTATTCCCAGCACTTGCTGGATATCTCTTTTGGTCAGCCTGTATCTGCTTTTGGGATCGACGCACTTCTTTATCTAGCATGAACTGCAACTTTTGCTCATTGGTGCGTTCCATCTTTTGTTTCTTTTGCTGTACTCGCTCCGACACTGGAGTCCGCGGCATATCCTCTTGAGGGATTCCTTTGCTAATCGAATCTCTTTTCCAGCTTGCATCGTCGGATTTATCAAGTAAGGTAATAAGCGAGATAAATAAGAGGAGCTCTAGCTCCTTGGATTGACTTAGTTCACAACGAAGCATATTATATCCAAGTAAAGAAATGATACCAAAGTATTCATCCTTTAGCACACGAGGAAGGTACTGAGCAACACATATGTCCCCTACCATGAGATCAAAGTTAATTTGTGATCATACTAATTGATTTTTTTCTTTACCTGTCTTTCTTACTGCTCTACATTCAAGATTATTACTCATACGACTTTCTCGAACCCTAAAGGCAAATATGAATAAAGAGAAAAAAGCATGCGTACATGTCTACACACCATCTATATTTCTCTCCTTCCCAAATAAATGTCCATTCAAAACCGACCCTTGACGTCTCGCGCAACTCTACTTGAACATCCGGTTTTGTTTCGAAATGCAAAATGATAAGCTTGGATTTTGTCAAGGCGTTCTTGGCTTGAACTTCAGCCATCACATCAAATGTGATTGGACTAACGAGGCTCACGGCATAAATGGAGAGTCTGTGTCTGATCTTGATGTACCGTAACTTGTTTGTCTTTTTCTCTTTAATATCAACTATGGCGCGGTTTCGAGGATGACTTGACAGTACAAAATGTGTTACTATATCATCGATCGTTAGAACCATTTTTAAAATAGAAAGAAAAAAGAGAGAGAAAGAAATGTTTTCTGCTCTTTGCTTTTTATAGACAAGTGTAACCCAGCACATCATCACACGGACCGCAGTTACAGAGAAATAAAGGATGTACTGTTTATTATTGTTACTGCTACTACTACTATTACTACTATTCTATCAGTTTCTGAAATAACGAGGTTCATCGAATACATGGTATCTGTGTCCACGTACTCCCTGTCCATAAAACATGGAAGGATATCTTAGTTCTGGTTTAACTTCTTGCTCAGGAATACGATCATAAGACGCCTTCCAGTAATCCTTTGGATTATCGACCACTTGGAATTTACCAGATTGAATTTCTGTATCTGTAATGCCCCCATGACTGATACGAGCATAACCAACACGACGCAAGCCTCTGTAACCTACATACTCACACCAACGATCCCAATCGGTAGGGTCAATGTCATTGATCTGACCACCATCAAAGAGCAAGTGATAAATTTCTTGTTGTGGCTTGGTGACTACATAGCCAAGGAACACAAATGGATTTGGACTAGTGCGCATAATCTCTGCCAATTTGGTCGTCTGTTGAATTCTATCATTGTAGTTTTCGTCCTGTCCGTTGTGACTGACAATAAAGTCCACAGGCTGACCATAAACATCCAAAGTGGCATGAATGGCGCATGCTAGTTCTCCTACAGGTGAAGGTAAAAGATGGTGTTCTGATTTGATGATAGGGAACTTGGAAAGCATTAAGCAACCCCAAGTATGTTTCATGCTTGCAGGTCCCTACAATTGGAGTGTTAGATTATGCAACATATATATATATATATATATATATACGATGGCTTACAAAATCAAGGTAGTAACCTAATTCCTCTGCAATAGATTGTGCCCAATCACGGTTACCCATGATAATTCTCATCGTATCAGATTCAAGGAAACCTAAGATAATGAATGACTATCAAACACACCTATTTCTTTCCTTCATTCTTACCAACAACATCCAACTGAAGGTCACGAATGGCGTCACGCATGCGGCGTTCACTAGCCCACATATCATTGTCTAAAGCAAAATGAATAGTCCAAATACCAGCAGTGAATGACTTTTCGGAGGTTGTATAAGGCGCAGGTGATATGGTATTCATCAGACGATGCGTTGACACCAAAGTAGAAAGTCCAATAAAAAAGGCAACTAATATACGAGTCGTGAATCGAGCGTGCTTCAGTATATGGAACTGGGCCAGTCTCTTTTGAATATCTTGTCTTGCTTGCTTGTTTGCGTTGAAGACACCCAAACCAATCAAGAGCATAACTGAGCAAAGGATGACATCAGTTCTTTCACGAGCATAGACGCCACCAGGCACAAATTCATAAGCAACAACCCAGACATGTGCCAAGCACAATATATTGTATGACATGAATGCAGAGAATAAGGTAATAAAAGGTGATTGCGTAGACAGACCACGGGTCATGGCAGGCGTGATGGATGTCAAATAAGTGCCCAAGACAAGACCACCATAAAATGCTGTCCATGAAGAATAAATGTAAAAGATTGCGCAAGAGGCTGCACCAACGGTGTACCATCCAAAACTGGTCGTCAGTCGTCGATAAGGTGAAATAGCAAGACCTATGCCAAGAGCAGCAATAGTGGCAATACCCCATGGTACTGGGTCAGGACCATAGTTTGGATATCCATCTACTGTCCAACGCATGATCGTAGAAGAATCGGTATACATCGAATGAAGTGCAAACAGTAAGCTACCAAAGCCTAATCCAGCGAAGAGAGAGCTACCAGGATATCTAACAGCAGATTCATTACTTGATTCTGAACGATGACCATTTGAAAAATCACGCAATAGGACATCAACGGATGCAACAACACCAAATACAAGGCCGACATCGTTCAGACCTCCATTTTGTCTATTCATGATTGGCCAAATGGGATTTTCTGTGTACCAGGCCATCTTGACAACGCAGTGCATGATCAGACCAAGTCCCCAGATGAGAACGGAGCGTTCAAGTTCTCCAGTTTGACCATTGGATTCAATCCATCCGGCAATCCAGGCCGTCAAACTCAAGCCAATGCCAATTGCAGACAAGGATAAGCGCCAGACAGGGTCAACTTTGAGATAGGAAGCAACACCTACCAAGGAAATCAAGTGAACAAGTCCACGATATTTGTATACAAGTCGTCTTAAAGGTCGAATGGCAAGGAATACTGGAAGTAAGGTGATAAGCAAGAATGCTTCATAGCCTGAAATACCCATATACCATAATGGGAAGTACCTAAGCATATGATCAGTTTAGACATACATACACACGTTCAAGAATAATTCGCGCATATGTTACCATATCAAGAGAGCCAACGAGGTAAGCATTGACCAGAATACAAATGCTGACAAATATCATGTGAGCATTCTTTTTTTTTTGGTGGACCATGTCTATCCTTACCTAAATATGTTTCTGTAGCAAATCCTCTAAGCATAGTCAATGTACGTAAAGTGGAAGCATCTATATTGCCTTCTGGGCTAATGTCATTTTTAGATTGTATTAGCATAAGAAAAGAGAGAAAAACAAGAAAAAAAGAAAGGTTACTTTACTTGGCTGTAAATGGAACAGAGCTTCATAAAAATAAAAATTAGTTTTCCGACCACTTTTTTGTGTACAGAGACGACTTACGAAGAAGACAAGGCAGCTGTTGCTAAATTTGGTGATTTGTCAGTGATTGTCAATTCAAAGTTCTGGAATTCAATGGCAGTAACTGCATCATAAGCGACATCATACAATATCAAGGACCACTCAAAGAAAGCATAGGTCGTGTAGGCTAAAGAATAGAGAAGATGAGGATTTCTTTTTTTTTTGTTCGAGTATAGTCTTACCTCCAGGTATTCTATGAACCTTGTGTTGAATAAAGAAATAAATCATTGGAGGTAATGTGATAAAAAACGCCGATGTAAGAGATCTTCTCCATTTGATAGCAGTTTGATTAGCCTTTGCGCTCGAGTAAAGAACACCGAGCTGCCATGGTAACGTACAAAGGAGATAAAGTATCATTGCAATGTCGTGAGTAAGATGATCGTCTGTAGAGGTGATATACACCCATCCACCACATGCAACAGTTCTAATGATGCCCACTGACAACAAAAATAAGCCAAACCCATTTGATACTGTCTTGGCAGATTGCGTTGTATAAAAGTACCAAAGGAATACAAGTGCAAACCGGGGCCCTGAGGTCAGTGCAATGAAAATTTGAAAGATGGCACGAGCAGGGTATCTATCTCCGGTAGTTGCGCTGACACTTGGAAACCATTCCTAATGAAGCAAGATTAAGCGTCATGAGCTTTCTCTTTCTTGATGTCTCTCATCTTACATCAGGGTATCCAAAGTATTCATTTTGTACAATCTTGTAATAATGTGTATAACAGCCAACGGCAAGCGCAATTAAGAAGGCACCTATTGTATATATCAGTTGGTGTGTAAAATAGCTGAGTCAATATATTACTGTATGCAAAAAGAGTATGCGAATAAGAGATATATTTGGCTCCAATCTATGTGTTATTGTGAGCATAGTTCGTTCTTGCCTATTTTTTTTTCCCTTTACTCTTTTGACAATGATTGGCTCCACTTCAGTCATCTCTAAAGCGCAAAGAAGAGATGTCGAAGCGCGCTTAAAGATTTTTAATTCGAAGGGGGTAATCTTAAAACCCCGCATTACTGTCAGGTACACACTCACATTTGCAATATGTCAATACACAAAGCTCCAATGGGAGGATCGCATAAGATAGTTATGATATGTATCATAGACGCATTTTGCACTCTGTAGTTTGTATGTGCTGTGTTTACTGTGTTTTGTATGCTTTTCATTGCTAAATGTCACGTGCTAATGTTAGAACAAAGAAATGGTACTGAAACCACGCCTGTTATGAGTGTGGCTGTATTGTATCTGAGTCTCTACAAGGCTGTAATTGTTGATCCTGTCACGCTCCTTATATCTTGCGTTACTACCATCACTGCTTCCATTGGACATAGACACAAGAACAAGCAATATTTGCATTGAACATCATTATAGCAGACGTAAACAAAAAAAAATATTACATACAAGTCGTCGTCCATATAGAAAAGATATCTATAATGGGCATATTAAATATGTAAACTTAAATCAATTGATACAAGAATAAAAAGGTCGCTATAGCATTCTTTCTTCTTCTCATTCAAGACAGCTATCATAATGCGTTCTACTTTTATCTTTCTTGCCCTGGCTGCTACTCTTGCTCTTGTTTCTGCTGTTCCCAGCAATCCTAATGATGACATTGTTAGACGAGTTGTTACTCTTGCCAAAAAGTCTAATGCCGATGCCATCTATCGTCGCACCTTGAACAGAGAGGCTTTGCTCGGTGAATCCAGATTTGTCCGCCGTGACGAAGAAGACGAAGAAGATGAAGAGGACGAAAAAGACGAAAAAGACGAAAAAGACGAAGAAGATGAACAGGATGAAGATGACAAAGATGATGAAGATGAGCAAGATTCGGCCTCTCTCGAACGTCGTGGTATCCTTGAGGGCCTTGGAGATGAACTCGATGTTGACATTTAACTATTTCTTGGTCCAGTCACTAAGATACCCAGTGAAATGCTAATAAATCCATCCTTTTTCACGTTAAAATATAAAACATCGTCTGCTTGAATGTTTATATTTTGATCTATCATCCTTTCATGTGATACAAGCGCCTTGTACTTTTGGGAGTAGAAGAGTGTAAATCTGTAGGATGAGAGATACACTCGCTTACCTTTTTTACCTTTATGTTGATGATACACTAATCATATAAGAAATATACAACGAGATTGTGCCAATAAGTAACGCGTCTATCTAACCTGTTCGTGCGGGGTTCTGACAAAATCGGTTGCGTGTATCTGGGGAAGTCTCTTTTTTTATTTTAAAAAAATTCATGAAGAAAGGAAACCCAGTAGTCATAAAACCACTTCCTATTGAAGTATATGAGGCGAATACAATTTATAAACGAGTAATACAACTATGCTTAAGCTGGTTTCACTATTACTTTAAACGTCCACCTTATCAAGCAACGTTTCTTGAATTTGGCAATTTCATTTGGATTTATAATGAGCATCGACATCAGATCTATAATCATGGCTTTTTTGGAAAGGGAAGTCTATCGAGAAGTGAACCAACGTGGCTAAGTAGAACAATAGAACAGCATAAACTATCTTTGGAAGATGTTACTGTGGAGAGACGCAAGAAGAGAAGAGAGAAAAGAAGAAATCAGGCCATTAAGGATGATCAAGACAAATACCAGCCTGATCAGCTGCTGGATTTAGTAGAGCATAAAGACATGGAAACTCTCCAATTAGATCCTTGCGAAGCATATTTTTTGATATTTGCATTAAAGGCACTTGACATAAGAAATAGTAAACAGAAGCTCTTATCGATTGAACAGTGCTGGACCAAGTTTTGCCAAAATGATCCAACGTTTCATTATACATATGCTGTGTATCACTACTATCGAAGCTTAGGATGGGTGCCTAAAAGTGGAATCAAATTTGGTGTAGATTTTGGTAAAAGAGAGCATATTCAGTACCTATTCATCTGTCACTTACAAACATCCCTTTCTCTCTATTAAAGTGCTGTACAAATTAGGACCAGCGTATCGACATGCTGATTATGCGGTAATCATCATACCGTTACAAAAGGGACAACCTGAAGATACTAAAAGCTGGCAATGGTTATTAAGACTGAATCGTATATGTACACAAGTGAAAAAGACACTGGTCCTATGCTATGTCACTATACCCGAATCAATCGATCGGATCGAGAACTACAGAATACAGGAAGTAGTCTATAGACGCTGGTCAGCTCAAAAGAATAGAGAGTGATACATATTTGTTCAAAGACTGTCATTGCATTTATTATACGTGTCATTAGATACCACGAACTCTATGTGGTTCATATATTTCTTCGAGGTATTTGATATCTTCCTTACTTAATCTTATTTCAAGAGAGCCTATCATATCATCTATTTGTGACTCATCAGTAATGCCTACGATAGGTGCAGTAACATAAGGTTTTGATAACAGCCATGCTAGGGCAATCTAGTTTGAAATAAGTAAACTATATACAATATTCTTTTTCTTTTTCTGCTGTACCTGGGCTGGTGAGCATTTGTGATTTACAGCAATCTTGACAACTCTGTTGATGATAGCATTATTGTTACTATCCTCTTCTGTTTGAAAAAGGAAAGGAATAGACATATCCGAACTTGTACGTGCTGTCTTTCTGTTTCTACCTGCCAAATAACCCTTAGCTAAGGGTGACCATGGAATGATAGCGATGCCGCTGTCTTGGCAGTAAGGGATCATCTCGCGCTCTTCTTCACGATAAAGAAGGTTGTAAAAGTTCTGCATAGATACAAACTTGGCCCATCCGTTTCTTTCAGCTATAGCATTTGCTTTTTGAAACTGCCAAGTATAACCTGAGCTTGCACCGATATATCTGACCTTACCAGAACGTACCAAATCATTTAATGCTTCCATGGTCTCCTCAATCGATGTTTGCTTTAAAAGGGTGTTCATGAGCATACAGAGATAAATATGCTACAATCTAAAACTCACAGGGTCAAATCTATGGATCTGGTATAGGTCAATGTATCCCACACCTAATCTCTCAAGGGAAGCATTGACAGCATCAAATAAATGTTTTCGTGACGTGCCTAGGGTATTAATATATTCAAAAGTGCATTCGTTTCGTTTATCCCATGAGCACTGCCTTGATACTTCATCAAAGACATTGAAGAATACTTTCGTCGCTATCACAATCTGAGACCGAGGTATATCAAATTTCTTGATGGCCTTTCCCAACAAACGCTCGCTTTCACCATTTGAGTACATGTCTGCTGTATCAAAAAAGTTGATGCCAGCCCTGTAAGCCTTTCCGATCAATTCCAAAGACTCTCTTTCGTCCTTCACCCAGGCTTTCCATCGAGAAGAGCCAAATGACATACAACCTAAACAGAAACGTGATACCTAAAGTCAAGTTTTTTTTTAACTGGTATATTATCTGCTTTTCGTTGTGATATAATTTACTTTCATTCCCGTTTTTCCAAAGGGAACATATGACATCTTTTGAGCTGATTTGGATTCTAACGGCATTTTAAGATGTATAAAAAATGAAAGATTCAAAGACTCCTTTTATAAGAAGAGTAGAATAGGAAAAGTGCTATCGTAAGCTTGTTTCCATTTTAGATATTCTTTAAAAGGGCACACGTATCCTTTTCCCAGTTTGTATCACACAATTAAACACACACATACACACACACGTATTTAATCCTCAAAGGACTCTTTAGAGATGATAATCATTCATCCACGTGAATTCCAATTCTACATGCATCATTATAAAGGGTAGCAGTAAGGTCAGACAGATTAATGATTTTACTACATATAAAGAGGGAAATAATATGATCCATTGAGAGAATATAAACAATAATGTAAGTTTGTGTCGTTGTTTTTAAACTCGCCCAAGAAAGAGAAGTAGAGAGAAAGAAAAAAAAAATCCCTTTTTTAACCTTTTTCTTTATTTTTTATATTCGAGTACAGTAACACATATTATATACACACGAGAGAAAGGGGTGAAAAAGAGTAGGAATCTAACTGATCATTTAGTTTAGACATGACTTCTGTGGACCAGTTTTCTGATCATAGAAACGACAATGTTGCTGATCAACCAATGATGGGTAAAATCAATAATGACGATTTAACCCTTCGAGCACTCGTGTCAACAAAAGAAGCAGGTGTCATTATTGGAAAAGGTAATAATAATAATGTAATAATAGTAGTATATAAAACGTGTGTACATCTGTAGGTGGAAGTAATGTAGCAAAAATAAGAGAATCAACTGGTGTAAAAGCAGGTGTCTCTAAATCAGTTCAAGGTATACCAGATCGTGTGTTGACTATTAGTGGCACTTTACAAGGTGTTGCCAAAGCCTACTCACTGATTGCAAACACATTATCCCAGACACTGCCTGCTAATAATATGCACATGATTCATCTTCGTCTATTGGTATCTCATAACTTGATGGGCTCCGTCATTGGTCGACAAGGTGTTAAAATCAAGCAGATTCAAGATACTTGGGGAGTTCGTATGGTAGCATCAAAGACATTGCTGCCTCAGAGCACAGAGCGTATTATAGAGATCAAGGGTACTGTCGATGGCATCTACAGCGCCATTTTGGATATGGGGCGTTGTCTGATGGAGGATAAAGACAGAGCATATGGCACTATTCTATATAATCCCATAAAGGCTAGTCAAGTTGCTCAGAATACTGCTACTACTGTTACAGCTGCTACTACCAACACTAATACTACTACTACTACTGCACCACAGAATAACAATTATTCACCATCTTCATCAAAACATCAACAACAACAACAACCAGCAGTAAGGTTGGATGATCCAGCAATACGTACTCAAAACATTTCTATTCCAGCAGATATGGTAGGGTGTATCATCGGAAAGGGTGGTGCCAAGATTGCAGAAATACGTAGACTTTCAGGATCTCGAATTTCGATCGCAAAGATGCCCCATGACGAGACTGGAGAAAGGATGTTTACGATTCAAGGAACTCCCGAAGCAAATGAACGTGCACTTTACTTACTTTATGAACAACTTGAAAACGAAAAGGAACGTCGACTTCGAAGTGTCTTGTCGGATAACTTGATTGAAAATGAACCAGTATCTTCTTTGCGCTCGTAATGTATCCCTTTTTTTTGCTTTTCTTTCTTTCTTCATCCCCCAAAAAACATGCTCCCTCAGAATATATGCACATAAACACACACATATCAATGCTGCAACTAACCAAAAAAATAGCTTCCCCCTCTCCCCTCCCCTCTTCTTTCCTCTGTCCTTCAACAACCAGTTTATTGTATGATAGTAAAACGACGAATTAAAATTCCTAATAATATTCCATAAATACAAAGGCTGCATAATCTGGCAAAATATACTATAATTCGTTTTTTTAAATTGGGTGCCTTTTCCTTGATCGGCATAAGAAAGAAGGCTAGGATGATACCAGATGCAAGCCCACCCAGATGAGAATAGCTATCCACTCTATTTGAGGAGGATTAGCTTTTGTTAAAAAATATCTTTCTTTAACCTACCCTGGCAATAAACCAAGCAGAAAGCAAGCAAAGGTTACCAAAAAGAGTTTTACAAAATGTTGTAACTTCTTCTTTGTACTATTCCAATGAACTAGCAAGTCAATATACAAATACCCCAAATAACCAAAGAGCGAACTACTACAACCAAGATACGCTATATATAATCAAAAAAAGTTGAAAAAGAAGAACCTTTTCAATATTTTTTTCATTTTATTACCGGTCAGAGGCTCTGCAAAATTTGCTCCAAGAGCATGTCCAAATATGCCAGAGCAGATAAATAAAACTAGTCAAAGAAGAGTTAGAGATACACAAGTGATAGGACTATAGTGGACTATTTGTACTAGTTATTCGGTTTTACGTGATGTTCGAAGTGAATTAATCGCTTGTTCGAGCTTAACGCTTATGATTAATAAGATCGCTCCATCCAAGCATAGATGGACTAGCCCAGTATGAAGAACCAAGGGAGTCGCAAACCTGATGACTTGATCAGGCACACCCGGCTGACGAAAGGGTGTCATTCCGCAAATGGTCTCAAGCGAGCAACTAGTGTTAAAGAGGGCAGGCGATGAAGGAGCAAGGAGACTGAGTGTTTCATTCATTAGTGTTGTGTTCAAGCAGATATATCGTTGACCTGTTGGCATGGTACTGACGGGCTTCATACAGGGCGCAAATCTCGCACCTGTCTGGATCATGGTCTCAATCGAGGGTCCAAACATACTGTTGAGGGGGTACAGTTCAAAAAATTCCCCTGAGGTTTGTCTGTTTAGCAAAAGCTCACCTGAAAACAAGATAATCAAGATAACTAGCCACAACCAGCTAAAGAGTGGCCAATGGTCGTTTTCGGTTGATGGTTCAATAGAAATGTATCGAAATATGTTGCATTCGTCTTTATTATTCTTTTCCTCAGGTGCTTGTTCTTCTTGCTGTTGTTCTATGGGTATAATCAAACTTGGTGGGCATTTTTCTGTTCTTTGTGTGCGTTTTATGAATTGTACATGACTCAGTTGACGGTTGTGTCTTGCTCGTCTTTTCTTGACAAGTTCCTCTAGAGCGGCTTGTTCCGACATATATATACAACATGTAAATAAGAAGAAGAAGAATAAAATGATTTATTGTCAAGTTTCTTTTTTAGTTCTACCCCTTTCCCTACCCCCTCTCCTTCAGTAGGATGCATTTATGATTATATGAAAAAACACATTGTTTATTTGTATATGTGTGAGAGATGCATATAATAAAAAAGGGAACAATTGATTAAGTAGATCTTTGTCGATAGCATCCATGACCAAAACTGAGAGGAATTAACTTGTTCAATTCTGATTTGGCAACCACTGATAAATCATGTGCATCCAAGACGAGCAAGAATGAGGTATCTCTGGTTGCATCCATCACAACACTAATCAACACACCCGAATCTTCTTGTTCGTCCTTTTCGTCTGATAACTGATCTTTAGGCTTTGGTACAAACTGTGCTTCGCTGGGATAACAATTATCCTCATGCCAAGTGGCAACAACTGCACTATTGTCCACATCCTGCATTAATTGTGATTAATAACTAGTCAAAGCATGTATGCAACAACAGAAAAACTTACCAATTTCACTATAGAATTCCATATCTTGCTGTTACCCGTGTTGCCAAGACCGTAGACAAACGAGTACTTGCGCATTCTGTAATGCGGATTGACTTGGGGTAACTCAATAACGGTATCTGATATTCTTTCATACTTGATGATAGGCATCCAAGCATGCCATCCGCTTGATCCTGTTGCATTCTCCGGAAGATGAGACTGGCCTGTGACATAGTTCCAAACAGAACCTATACGAGAAGTAATACCAACGGTTGATGGGATATAGGAGTTATTGGCCAGATAAATCTTGCTTGCTTCCTGTCGAGGGTTGCTTAGCACAAATCGCCTGATTTCAGAGGGTGGCAAGCGGTCCATGTTGGGGTCTCGCAGATTTTCTGTGGACAACTGATGAACGATCTTGTCGTCTTCATAACATACTAAATCCAGAACAACATTGCCATGTACATCTTCATAAGCATTCACCTGGTTTAAGGAGAAGCATGCACTAGATCGATAACAAGCAATGACGTCCTTGTCTGCACGAGAGATAACATAGAACAGGGTAGGTTCTGAAGGATAAAAGGTGAATGAGTCGAGGACACTTTCGTTCCATGCGAATCGAACAGCGCCCGAATTGGCCAGCATAGGATGAATGACCATGATGATATAATTTGATGTCAAGGCAAATCCGTTAACCCAACCTGTAGGTGCATTCCAGATGGAGGCAATCACATGTCCCTTGGGTTCTTCCTTTGATACAGAAAAGAAATGGTATCGGGTCGTTCGATAACCAATTTCCATTGTAAAGTTGATATATTCACCCGTCTCATGATCAATTTGTCCATTAGGGCAAGAACTGTACCCTTTAAAATCAGGGTTGACCTCATCCCAAGTCTGAATACGAGAAGGACTCAGGTCAAATGAATCTAGTTCTTGAATCTAACCAAAATGGTTATATTTAAGGCAACATTTCTTTATTCCCCCTTGAAACTTACATGATTAGCAAAGTCTTGACAAAATAAAAGTCCATCGAGACCAGGCATTTGTGTCGTCATACGTTGACCACAAGGAACACGGTCAGGTTTTAATTTTTTACCATTATTTAACAGTTTGATGAGCATCGTTTGGTTAGGGTTCGTCTTGAACAGACCTGCAGGGAAGTTGGGTGCGTATCCATGGTGATCACGAATTTTTTCAATGAGACGTTTTGTTGGTAAACGATGACGATATGTAATTGTGTTCCTTTCTCCATTAAAATCAAATCTGTTTACTAAAGGAAGACTATAATCCAATACTTAGTTTCACCCCTAAAAAAGAAAAAGAAAGAGGACAACTTACGCATCAAACCAATGGCCAAGAGTAAAAGTAGCTGTTGCACTCTGAAGGATACCGTCTATTTCTATTTTCCTTGTATATTTTATATCATAAACCCCAGGACCGATGGTATAATGTTCACTGATAAGCCAAGTAGGAAGGGTACCATTCACTGTTAGATCTTGCACTTGTTGAGATTCAGTTGTATTTTGAAAGCCCTTTTTTTTGTATGTAAAAAGTAATATGAGATATGTTTCAGCATATAATGTGTGTATATAAATTACCTTGGTATGTAAAGCACTAGCTGGCTCACTTGTGGTTGCGTCTGAAGCAGCTCGGCTTAGATTAGGTTGGTTTTGACTATTTAATAAAGATCTGTCTTCAACTAATGTGGCATCTTCCTGTGTCACAATTGGTTGAAGAGGATGTTCGGCTTCTGATTGAGGTTCAAGAGTAATACTAGTATCAATATCTGTCATTGGTGGAGTAAGGGAAAGAGAAAGGGGAAAGATATAAAAAAGAAGACCAAGATAAACAATAGAGAAATAGAAGGAAAAGCGACTTGCGGAGTTCAGCCTAACGACAGGAAAAAGCCCACTGCAGTTCTTTGATCCAAATTTAGACTATTTTTCAGCCTACAGAAAAACAAGACATAAAAACATGCATTAATACAGTAGAGCCACAAGCAAATTTGATATGTTTTTATATCATTGACAAAACTGGGTACCATATTGATAAGTAAGTATTTATTTATAAAGATAAACTTGAACTTAACGTCAAAGAGTGGTCACCTCATATTACAAGGCGGCAAATATAGAGGGATGTTTACTGACAATAATAATAATAGCAATACTGATCTATACCAGTAGATAGCAAAAAAATTGCAAAAGATATATGACCTGAAAGCGAAACAGGTCGAATTAGTGTATTTCCATTTACGGGAAATTCTAGATTTCGCAATAAATTGGCTTGTTAAAGACGTATTGAACATACAGTCTTGTTCACCAACTGATACTATCAATAGCCAAATAAAGCATTTAAGACGAATCACTACCAACTCTGTATTTACAAATACTGAACAGTAGGCGACTGGAGAAAAGTAATCTGGATAGACGAGTCGAGCTTTGAAATCGGCAAGCTGTCGTCATAGCCCAGAATATGGCGTAAGACGCTGGAAAAATACAACAAAGAATGCCTTACGCCAACCTTCAAAAGTGGCAAAACTTCCATCATGGTTTGGGTACCATAGCTGGTGGAAAGAAGTCGAAGCTTGTGTTTATGAAGAAAGGAATGAGGACAAATACCGACTTCATAAACCAGGTCTCAGAGAGTTAATCCTCTATACCCTCATACTAAAGCGCAACAAAGCATAGAACTAGTTTTGAAGATTATTTGAAGGGAGTTTACTCCAGAAAGCATCAATAAATTAATTGGCTTTATGCCGAAGAGGATCAAAGGTGTTATAAATGCTCGTGGTGGACCCACCAAATATTAGCTCAATAAAAAATCCAAAAGTTGCTTTACAGCTCTTTTTTTTTCGACATTTTAATATAGTTGACCTTTCTTCTTCACCTCTCTTATATTATAACTGTAGCAAAGCTACAAAAAGGTCACTTTCTTTACTGTTTGGTCTTTAGTAGCATAAAAAAAAAACTGATTTTAAAAAAATGGCAAAAACGTTTTCGAGGACACTGCACATTGAGAACAAGCTAAGGCTTTGCGGCAAGTTTCGAACTTTACGAGCAAGCCTGTTGTTCCTTCTATTTTGAGAATGTTTGCTACAGTCGTGCTGTTGGACTAGAAGAGCCACATAGCATAGTTGAACCGGTTGTTTTCATTGTAATTTATATGACGTTCAAATTTGCGAAAGAGCTGCTCTTTTTTTCTTTAAAAAAAAAAAGAGAAAATCGTCAATGTTTAATCAAGCTTGAGTATATTGTTGGGGAAGTGCTACGCACACGCGAAAATACGGATTTTGATATTTCCACAGTACATCTGTACATTATTTGCGCATTTTATGACATACGTACTAGACAAACCACGCCCACACTACACTATGTATAACACTGAAGTATAAGAAAAGTATGCATTAATAAGTCTGTAGTAATTCCTTTATTATGTTGAGAGAGAACGTTCATTAAAAAAGTGCGTTCTTTTACAAGAAAACACGATTATTGCATGTATTTATCACGGGCCAATGAGAATTGGGCATGATACGTCTATCAGAAAAATGCACTTTGTGGTCAGTCTTGTTTATATTTTTCTTTCTTCAAGTAATCTTTTACGATAAGATGAAAAACTTATAGAATAACTACAACAGATATGCTATTTGGTGTGCAAATTGAAAAGCTTATATTTCTTATTATGCGAACGTTGTGCAGATCTGCAATGCAAATAGAAAACCCGTACTATGGCATGTGCGTAGTGTTTCCCTTTAGTTTTGGTACAGTGGATTCTCGGTTACAAAATACAGCAATATGGGATACTCGCAATATAGAATTGTCAGTGCATAAGCATTATTACGGAATAACTTGACTATGGAGTGTCATTCGTGCTCCCGATAGATATTCCGCAATCGAGAGTCTATTGTAAGATAATTTTCAATAAAAAATAACTGTGCCAATAATATAATGAGAATGCTTTATTGAACAGCAAAAGAAAGGAATCATATTAAATCACTTGGGGCAATTCTTTACGATTTTGTTTCTGTTACGCACTATACAACAGTAATAATAAAATATTAATCCCATTTCAAAATTGTATTCCATTTGCCAAAAATATGAACATTGATATAATCAATAAATAAGTCAAATAGTTATTATTAAAAAAAAAACAGAATGCAGTTACTTCGAACGCCTTATACAGGCCGTCCTGCAGCTGAACTTTTTTATTGTATCATCATTGTTCAAGATTTCATATCTTGTAAGACACGAAACCTTGTGTCCTTCATCAACGATAATCTCTTTCAACTGCTTATATTTGCTTTGTTCATGATTGTTGAAAAAGAAATTATCAGTAAAATCATTAATATAACATTATCTTTTATTCTTACCTGAAAAAAAGTCTCACATGCTCTGGATTGGTGCTTAATCCAGCATAGTCAATGACCACTAAACGGATTTTCTTTGTGGACATGGAAATATATTCGATCATGTCTATTATTTTTGTTAGAAAATAAACAAACCTAATATTGTATTAATTTACCTTGTGCATCTCCTGCATTGTTTTTTATAATATATTTTTTTGGAGATCACGCACCTCGATGGGGTCATCCGCGTTAGTGTTGGCACTTGCAAAAACAAGCTGGCAAAGGCATTTGGCTTGTAATTTTTGGATTTGCAGGTTCAAGAACTTTCAACTGCTGGTTTATTTTCTTTGGTCCTCGACTTTCTTGCATATCCAATGGCTACAAAGTCATTGCTGGTGGTATCCATCTACTTCAAATTAATTGTATCACAATTGGCTGCGTAACACCAACCATCAAATTACTCTGAAGCATACTTTTTTGAAAGCAAACAAACCGCGGGTAGCTTACGGATGAAAGAATATGTCCAGTTTCCAGTATTAGCCATGAGAGAGAAAGAGACGAGCGGGATAATCCTACACCGATCCAATCGGTTTCCAAGGAACAAGGTCGCGAATTATCCGCTTACGTCCTTCATTACCTAAAGTGAGAGTAAAAGAAAAAGGCATACGTGAGCAGTTTACTTTGAAGGAAATATGCGTACGTAAACCACTGACAGGACTTTCTTAATAAATAGGACAAAGATGATTGCCGTTTTTACTAATTGTAAACTTTTGCTTATTTCTAAAATATGCCTAATAGCGATACACTTACTGGTTGGGCTTCTGTTGGCAAGGGCAAACCACTTGAACAAATGCAATTTCCAATGAAGGCTTGGGATGATAATTCTGTCGAGATGGATATCACTCATTGTGGTATCTGTGGTAGTGATGTTCACACTATTGGTATGTATATAAATAGTATGCTTTAAAGATCAATGACTGACCTTTCTATTTACAGACTCTGGCTGGTTCCCCACTGATTATCCAACTATTGTTGGCCATGAAATTGCTGGGGTTGTCACAAGAGTAGGAAAGAATGTGACAAGAGTCAAGGTTGGTGATCGTGCTGGTATGGGCGCTGCATGCGGTGCATGCGGACAATGTCATTGTTGCAACAAGGGTGCCGAAAATATTTGTTTGAAAGGATCAATTCCTACCTATAACGCTCGCTGGCCAACTGGTGAAAAGACATTGGGTGGTTATGCTGACAAATGGCGTGGTGACGAAACGTTTATTTGCAAGATCCCTGATAATGTTTCCAACGAAAATGCTGCTAGCTTCTTGTGTGGAGGCGTAACAACCTTTGCTCCCCTCAGACGATGGAAGATCGGTCCTGGTTCTACCTTAGGTGTTTTAGGTATTGGTGGCCTTGGTCACTTTGCAGTCATGTTTGGTAAAGCATTAGGCGCCACTGTGATTGCTTTATCATCCAGTAATAGGAAGCGCGATGATGCCATGAAGCTTGGATGTGATGATTATGTTATCACAAACAATGAAGAAGAAATGGCAAAATATGCAAACAAGTTGACACATATCATTTGCACTGGTGTAGGAGAAGATTTCAAGTGGGAACCTTACTTTAACCTCTTGCTTCCTGATGGCATCTTCATTAATGTCAGCGCTCCTGAATTCCAATATCCACCCATCCCCATCTTCCTTCAACTCATGAAGCAAATTGTTGTTGTTGGCTCTGCAGTTGGAAGTGTTAAAGATTTGGATGATATGCTTCAATTGGTATCCGAAAAGAACCTCAAGGCTTGGTACAAGAAGTACCCAATGTCAGAAGTTAACAAGGCCATTGAAGACTTTAGAGCTGGATTACCTAGATTTAGATTTGTACTGGAAAACTAGACAATAACTTTGTATTAAGTATCATTCAGCGCCTCTAATAAATTATGATTTAAAGGCCATGTTGTACTTTATAACTATTTTATTTATTTTTTATTTTTTTATAATCTAGAAACATGCACTTTATAATAATCTGCTAGCTTAGAAACCAAGTCTTTGACACCATCAATCTCTGCTTGTGTAGCTCCATTATGCGATGCACCATAAAGATGGCCTTTTAGTTGTAAGGGCACATTTTGAACCATCAGACTTGATACAACAACCAAGCTTGTCTCTTTTGCATTCAGTACGGATGATTCAGCAAGCGTTGGACCATACAAGTGATGGAGGGCTGTTTGTGCTAGATCTGGATAAGCATTATACATGTTATTGTACACCTTGTCTGTGTGTTTATCATAGATTTTATCAAATAATGCTTTTCCTCTCTGTCTCTCATTCTGGACATCCGACCAAGTCTCTTCTTTTCTGGTATAATGTTTAAATATAAGTCAGTGGCATATATGTCATCTTTACCTTAATGGTTTGTTTGGTAATAAGACTTTTATCTCTTCAGGAGTAACCTTGGATAATGTTTGAAGAGCATTAATGGTCTAGATAAAGCTGTTATCGCTCACGTTGACATATTTATATGCATTTTTGCTGACCTTGGGGAATCCAACAATAACGTGACTCTTGAAAACGCCTTCTCTCAGCCTTAGTATGATTTTAGAAACCAGTCTGTTTTTCTCTTCTCGTGTTTTATTTGGTATCTTATTCACATTATCTGACACAATATCATAAATATGTTGAATGTCTTCTGGGTGATTAACTGAAGACATGACCACTGCCTTTGAAATGAATGAGTAAGGACATGTCAAGCTTTTTTTGTTTGTTTGTTAGAAGCAACTTACAGAAGCAAGGTACCAAATATCTTTAATAATATCACCTCCTTGTTCTGAAATTTGTAATAGTATATTCTTGATTGACATTGTAAGATATTAGGAAGAAGGGAAGGAAAGACTGTGAGAATAAGCTTTATATTGTATTTTTAATGTCAGTTTAAATACAACCTTATGCTTTTGTTCATTCACGTTTCTTTTTTTTTTAAAGATATATCTAAAGTCCCTTTGGACCATAAACAAAGAAAGATAAAGTCAATACATATCATTAAAGATCCATAGACACTATACATTAATATCATCTTTTTATAAACAAATTGATCTTTATTACTTTGTTTATTGTTTAAAGAAATAAGTGGGGTGGGGATGATGTTTTACAGCAGACAAGGAAACCAATGCAATTTCTAATCCAGATAAGGGGTTTCGACTTATGGGGTAGCTGACATCGTATGAGAGTGAATAGACAAATCATCTAAAAGGACGTTTTACTCTGTCTCATTTACATCTGTTGGGGGAGGAAAGGTTATCAAAGGACATAGATATCAATCTGTCAGCCTGTCAGGGTCATACGTCACCTCAACTGTAGCCCCACTCTTAAAACCATCAATTGATAGCCATTAAAGTAATAGAATGTTTGACATTTATGAAGAAATGTACTGATTTACATTGAAAGAAAGAAAGAGAATCGTGTCTTAACAAGTATGAGTTTATATGTATAATCATTAAATAAATTTCCTGTGTAGTGATTTTTTTATCTACTTTTTCACTTTAATGGCTGATTCAACAACATTTAACAAATCTGACTTTTCTTTCCTTCAAGACTTTCACAACATAATAGATCTCATACTAACAGGAAGTAATCAAGATGCTATTGGCAAGGCAGTTGCTAATTTAGAAGAAAAGTTTATTCATGCCAGACAAGTTTTGGAAGAATTACCTGGTTTACAATATGTACAAGAAGAGCAAGAACGAATATATCAACAGGAATTACAGTTGCTAGAACACAAAAAGAAACAATTAGAGACATATCTAAATTCGCCACCTTTCAAAAAAGAGTAGCAGTAAAAAGAAAGTTGTTTATTTTATTCATCGCAATCATCAGAATCAGCCTCTTCATCACTCATGATACCAAAATCATTTTCACTTCGTACGTCTTCATCATAAGCAGGCGCGCTTTGCTCAACTGAAATGATAGGACTATGCTCTTTTGACATCTTTTTTGTTGATAGTTAATAAACAACAGCAAACCAAGTGTAATTCTTTTATACCTGGGTTATTTGCTCGCATAGTGAGTCAAACTCTTTAGCATTTCGGCAATAAAATCCGATAAGCATTGAGGGATCAATACTGGATATGTGTATTTTTCGTGGAATAGTGCAATGATAGGTATTAAAATCTTCTTTTGTGTACTGTGAAAGGCTTTTTGTTTCTAGTGCCGGTCTAGAATAATGTGGGTCGAGGTAGATGAGCTCATCTCCTTGGAGGCCGATAAAATAAAGAGAAGAGTTTGGACGTCCTCCTGCGATGCCAACGAATGAAGGTATTTCAAAACACGACTTTAAAGCATCATAATAGGTTGGATGAAGTGAGTCAATGCCCAGGCGTAAGGCTATGAGTATCAGCACAGGCTTGAAGCTAGTTGATTTGATGGATGCTGATTGAGGAGTACTGGCATCATATAAATGTTTGGCTTCCTCTCTTCCTTCTTTATCTGCTAACGACGATAAATAACTGAAATCTCCTCTTGGCCTTTTCCCTGTTGCGACATCATGCACATCATCCTTATAAATAACACCGTCCGTTGTGATATAAACAGATAAATTTGCTGGTGTAAAATCAGATACCAACGCTCTAAATGATTATTTTTAGTGAACCTAATTCACTCATATGCTCTGATGCGCATAAAAAAAATCATGATTTTTACTGTATCACTTGGCTAATTGTGCTTGGTCCAAACCATTCACCAATGTTTTTACCAAGTTGCTTTCCTAAGAGTGCGATTCTATGTATCGAGAAGGGTGCTCTGGGTGATAACTCATCTAGAAACCAATGAGCAATCTATATAGAATATAAGTAAAGATAAACATCATTATCCACCTGTCCCCTTACTCTGCTATACTGTTTCCATGCTGTTTGACTTTGATTTTGTCGTCTCCAATCTGTTACAATATAAAAAGAGTGAGAATTTACAAAAAGAAAATAAAACTCATATTATGATATACCTCGCCCCAAGAAGTGAATAATAAGCGTGTTTGCTAATAGACTTTGTCCACTCCTTAACATGCAGCCCCAACCTATGTCTGTCTTGTGACTCGATGGTCGAATGGGTGGATAATTATGACGATAAGTCATCCATAATCGGGAAGTAAAATCATCATAGAAATCAGGCGGCCACAACAGATACATGTTGTTGTTGTACTCTTCTTCTTGTTTTGACGCCTCTGAAGGGCTCTTGAACATGACTTCTCTTTGTGCTTCAAGTAAGGCTTGCTGGATGTTATCAGCTGGATTTATAATATACGAACGACCTAGTAACCAAATTGTATTTGAATCTTTATTATCCTGTTGTTGCTGCTGTTGCTGTAGGAAAAAAGAACTTGAAAGCTCTGATCCTGATATCCATAGATTAGACATAAAATGACCAAGTTTGAGTGGTATCTCTGCTGCCAAATAAGAAGAATTGGTTATCAGCTTGTCCTTGAGTGGTGCCGTACTAAGGTGGTTGCTATTCTGTGGCTGCGGTAACTCTTTATCATTGGATTCTGTATCCTTCCTATTGACGTGAATTCTCTTATTTTGTTGCTCAAAACTGGTCATATTAGTCATTTATTACAAGTGGTGATAATTATTAAAAAAGAGAGAGAAACGAAAATACACAAGGGAAAAAGAAAAAGATAGCACAGTCCAAAGGTTTAAATCAAAGGATTTTTGGCCAATCAGCGATGATTCGGTAAGTTAAAGTTTATCCAATCAGTTTGTACGGCATGCATGAAAAAAGTTCTGTTGCTGTGAGAAGCCTAAAAAAAGGCAATCACTTTTAAGCATTCTTTTTGATTTCAAAGGCTTCTGATGGAAAGTAAAAAAGAAGAATTGTATACCTCTTATTGTGCCGAGTGAAGAGCAGTTTTGAGGGCCATTAGCTATCATAGTAAATGATAGTAATAGCAAATACAATATTTTTCTTGGCAACAAACATAAAAAAAAGAGCTCGAAGAAAAGAAAAGTAAAACATGACAGAAATGAGCGTGTTGGGGTTTTTCTTACTGTAAAGAATCGTTGCATATATCAATTTCATAAAAATGTACAACTTGCTTTTTCTTATAGGAAAGGTGAGCTTTACAGGATTTCGTATCCTACATATGAATGCTGCTTTACCCATAAAGAATAGATCACTATATTCCTGCTTGAGAGCAACTTGAACCTGACAGGGGCAAATCCTTTACTTAAACTCAGTTACAAAACCCCAAACATGAATCAAATGTTTAAGATTAAATGCTACACCCCTTTGTTTTTGTTTTTTTTGGCCTGCAGGTTAAGAAGCTGTTTAGGGTATTGCATGCCTGAGCGTACCATGTTGGCATGGCTACTATTATTTTAATTAGAAATCAATGAGACCGTGTATTAGTTTCATATGACGATGGACTGCCAAGAAGTTAGCAAGTTAACATTAATGGCTATACGAGTGCAAGAAGGTAGGACTACTAGTATATGCGTCATTTTCACCTCATTGCTCGCCAAGGATAAGTTGGTATGTGTATGCTGCTTGCATTCTAGAATCTTCAACTTCTTGGTCTTACTGGTAACATTCAACTTTGATGCATTGCTTTACAAGGACCAAACCCATGTCCTAAGCCCAATTTCCTTGTTCTGTTACGCATGTTTAATAATAGCTATTGTGCATAAAGTAACCAAGTTAGTGCCTGGTAATAATGTACGGCTCATCTTCCCCAACTGGTGTATATCTAGATGATACCTTGTTTATTATTCTTCATCAAAAAGTATAAAAGAGACGATTTTTCTGAGCAAAGAAGTTTTCACTCATCCTCAGGATAACCAAAAAAAAGCTTCACTTGAAAAATCAGAATGGCCAAGCTGTTTACTCTCTTATCTGTTGCTGCTACTGCTGTACTCTTATCATTGCAGAACGCTTCTGCTCGTCCTCTTGGTCTTGATGGCAAGGATGGTCTTGGTGCCTTTAAAGAAACTACCAAGTCTTCTGTTGAATGCGTCGCTGTTAAGGACTCCAACGTGAAATTGCTCGGTAAATCCCATTTTTTCAAAGGACGCGGTGAGCCTTCAAAGGTTCTAGTTTGTAGCGGTACCTCAGTTACTGCCATCAAAGTCAAGGATGAGCATGGTAACGAGTATGACTTGAAGAATAAGTACGATGGTGACGAGGGTAAATATGACTTCAAGGAACGAAAGGGCAAGTATGGCTGGGACAATGACAAGGAGTACGATGATGAAAAGGATGACTATGATGACAAGGACGATGATGAGTACGATGATGAGTACGATGATGAAAAAGACAATTACGGAGACAAGGATGATTATGAGTACGATGATGAAAAGGACAACTATGACGACAAGGATGGTTATGAATATGATGATGGAAAGGTTTACAAGAAGCAAAAGGGCAAGTATGACCGGGACAATGAGAAAGACTACGATGATGAAAATAATGGCTATGAATGGGATAACGACAGGAACTACAAGGAACAAAAGGGCTATAAGAGCAACACAGATTGGAAAAACAAGAGAGATGACTCTGTATGGGACAACAATAAGGAAGGCAAGGACTCTAAGAAAGGAGTAGAGAGATACGACAAGTATTACAATAACGAAAAGGCCAACTATGAATGGGAATACAAGAATGATTACAAGGATGATAAAGATGATGAGTATGATGAGAAATACAAGGATGATAGGCATGACAATGAATACAAAGGTAATGAAGATGCGGAATACAAAGATGATAAGGATGAGAAATACAAAGATGACAAAGAAGAAAATGACTATGATGAATACAAGGATAACAAGGACGAACAGGACAAAGGAAAGCTTTCAAAGAGAAGCATCGTCTCCAAGGATGGTAAGGGTAGCAAAGGCGGCAGGGGTGGTAAGAACGGAAAGAATGGCGACAAGAAAAACAAATATGTAAAGGGAAAGAAGGGAAAGAACGACAACAAGAAGAAGGACAGAAAGTAAAAGCAGCCTTTGACCAGTAGTTTCATTCGGGTTTAAGTAAAGTTGTATTAAATATCCAAGTAAAACAATAAACCTATCCTTTATCACATATATTTTGTGTTTGTAACGTCTGAGGAAGAGGGCTTATCATACAAGTAATAGTGTTAATCAAACGATGTTACAATAAAAAGAAAACGCAGCTAACTTGAATGCCTGAATTATTATTATTATTATTTTTTTTTTTTCAATATTGTTTTATTTACAAAAGGTTTCAAGACGGTATCTGTTTTACCAATCTAGCCAAGTCTTGAAGTATTCACAGTTAAAGGGAGAGATCGGACCGTCTTCAACGCAGAAAGTAAACACTGGACATCTTCCACAGGGTGTTTCTGTCACAGCTTCTGTGGGTAATCGACTGACTGCTTTTCTGACGGCTTTATATGACCATTGGACAGAAGTATCATGCCCGTTATCATCTTCATCATCACTAAACTCTTCCATTCCAGACATGAAGGGCATCTTCTTTTCCACGTCACCATCATAAACAAGTAAGTCCAATATGCTCGTAATATCCTGGACTGACAAATCGATTGAAGAAATACGAGACTCTGTGATAAAACGTCTCACTTCAGTAGCTGTGGGATAATGTTCATGTTCAGCTCCAAATACTGCATCTGGCACACCTTCAATACGTGGAAAACTTCTTGATGCAATATACTTTAAGCAAGCTGTCTTTAAGCTGTCGATAAATTCCGTATCAAGTTCCTGATCCGTATACCAAGCACCACCGGTAACTTCACTTGATGGTGTCAAACTGAACAACATGTATATTTTACGCGTAGGATATTTGACATGCTTTACTGCCTTGATTTCTTGCTTTTGTTCCAATTGTTTGAGTGTACGGTTGAGTACGATAGTATGAAGGTTGGTTGCCTTTTTCAAATCCTTTGTCCAAATACCATTATTTCCTGCAGCACGAATCGTGTTGTAGACTAGACGAGCATCATCATTTAATTTACTTGCTCTATATTGAAATAAGAAATGAGTAAAAAAGTCATACTGTTTGTTATGAAATCTACTTTTCAGCATCTCTTAAATCAATAGCCTTGAGCATATTTTCATTATTTACGGTTATGATTTCTAATGCATTCTACAATAATACTGTTTAGGCTTAATTCTGTCTAGTTTATTTTATCTACCTTCTTCAATAGTGAGTTCATTGCAGTATATGCATCTTGAATATCCATAGATTCAGGACGATCCGTGAATTTAATACCCTACATAAAGAGAGAGTCAATATCTAGCTTAGGATCAATATGATCAACTAACCTTTGGTGAAGCAAAGACATATTGATAAAAGGCCCATTCGTTAACAGACAAGCCAAAAGGAGGCTCTTCACCTGGCTTGAGATCTGTCATTTATTTTTGTTTGATATCACCAAAAAAAAAAAAGAAAAATTTTCAGACCTGAAAAAATTACCAAAAAGAGAGGATGTCGTAACTGTCTTCTTTTAACTACAGGCAGAAATAAATCAGTGTCTTTCAAAGAAAGATTATACCAGTAAGATGAGCAATTGATCCTGTTTGATTAAAAATCAAGAGTTTTATGTATTTGATTTATATAAATAAAAAGATATTTTCTTTCTCTGCATAAATATAGATTGTATTCTTAAAGAGTTCTTTAAGGAGGAGAGAAGATGCTTTAATGGGGGAATATTAAGCCCTCTGTTTGTGCAAATAGAAGCAGCTGATTTCATGGGTTGATTAAACCAGCCTTATTTGAATATCACGTTTAAGGTATGAATGAAAAGGGTAATAATAAAGGGCAATAAAACAATAGGAGATAATAATCTCCTGGAAGCATGATTTGGAAATTGAATGGTGCCATTGTTAACTGGATAATATGTAAAATTACTTGACGTTCCATTGCCCAATCTAATGTTTGAACAACTGACAAACTGCTGCTGTGTTCCGTTCAAGTTTTCTGTCAGGGATATCAAAACAGATTTACCAGCTACCGTATTTCTTGCATTTGGGTATATTTGAGTATTTGTACTATTTACGGAAATGATCGGCGTTGTTGTAGTATAGCTACTAGAAGTGAGCGGATAAGAGCCTGAGAGTGTTTCGATATTAGAGCATGCATCTGGTAATTTGATAGGTGTTATGCATGGATTAGAAGGAATGTCGGGTATACACGCTTTGCTGCTTGTGTCATTCATAAAACTGCATTGATGAGTAGAGTCTAGCAGAAGGGAGGGAGTTCCTACAATCCAAGCTAAGCAAATGCTCGTATTCCAATATTGCACATTATTAGGATTTAAGTAAAGCGTATAGGATAAATGATCAGAGTACTGTACAAACTGAACAGTGGCTGACATGCCATCACTCAAGGGTATCTGGGAAAGCGCTCCTGGTAGCTGACTTGTGTCTATCTGCTGTTGTTGCAGGGTAAACGGAGTGACTAATATCAAGAGAAATAAGATAATGTTATACATGTTATGAGGAAAGAGGATCAACATGTAAAGAAGAAGTAACCTTTCTCTTTTTACTATTTGAAATGAGGAAGGTGAGCACCTTCCTTTTCAAGAAATTATGAAAACATTGCTTTGCATTTTATTAATAAAGGCTGGAAAACAACAACAATTAATGTACAAAGTACCAAACTTTGTCTGAAGAATCAACTGGAGCAGGAGGCTTGGGTTTTGCCTTTGGAAAAAAAAAAAAAAAAAAAGAACTTAGTTTTTTGATATAGATTGGTTACTGTGTTATTTTTTTACCTTTGGAACTTTAGGAATTGTCTTATTTTTGGGATCAACAATGTATATAGACTCGTTACATCTTCTGTTAATACTAAAGAATAGACTTAGCCTATGTTATTTCACTATAAAATAACTATCTTACGTTTGAATCTCCCCTCTGGAAGTGGTACCATTCATTAGGCTCTGCCAATATTCATGCGTTTCTAAAACAATGCTTGTAGCAAAAGCCTATTTATATATCATGACTATTAGCTATCCTCCTTTTGGATATTAAAAAGAGATAATCACCTTGTCTCTTGGCGCGTCATTAAATGCAATCGTATTTGGTGGATCACCACCTGGTGTCTTGTACACCTTGAAAATGTGACACGTTGCATTTAAATAACCAGGCATGTGCTTCTCAACATCTTGAATGTCTATATTTGAAATAAGTAAGCTTTTGTATAAATTATTTAATAAAGCAGTTACCTGTGAGATTGTTTGCTAATGGATCATTGTTGTCAATAACCACCACCTTCCAATCCGTTTCGTCTTGATCTATTAATCCAAGGATGCCCAATATTTTTACTTGTTTGATTTCGCCAACAGTGGCCACTGATTGACCGACCTCGATCACATCGATTGGATCATTGTCACCTTTCTTGTTTGTATAAGGTGAGATATAATTAGGATCTTCCCAGGTCTAAGCGGTGTTAGCAATAATCAAAAAAGTATTCCAACTATAATCCTTACTTGAGGAAATGCGCCATAATTCCAAATGTATCCTTTATAGGGAAATATATTGGACACAAATCTCGGTTTCCCATCTTTGGTATCTTGTTTAATAGGATTAAATGGTGTCTCTTTGTTAATCTACCAAATATAGTGTAAGCTGGGCCGATGTCATTCTGATAATGATATTACTTCATTCTTTGCGTTTGTCCATTTTGGAATTTCGACAATCATGTTATAAAGTGTTTTCTCTTCATTAGCAAAGAGTGGAATATCATGAAATGGAGAAATAACTTGACCATTTTCCTCTATTTTTGAATATAAGCACATGTTTTAATGGGATCGCCCCCCTCTTTTCTTTATTCTTTCTACTACATACCAAAATATAGAGTATAGTCCATGGTGTTGGGAGCACCCACTTGTCTGTGAGTATATGACGCCAATGTCAAGGATCCAAGCGAGAGTATGAGCGCTGTAGTAAAGATCATTTGAGGGATAAAAGAAAAAGAAACAGAGACAAGATGGGATTCTTATATATTCTGAACTAGAATGTTTCCCCGTCAACAAAATGCAAATCAATTATTTCTCCACAATCCCAATTTATAGTTGATGTCAACTAGAAATTTTCCTACAATTCTATCTTTGAAATAATGTCAATAAGATTGCATTCATGAAAAGGACTTTACGATAAAAGGAAAGTGATGTAACCCCATACTCTATTTTGTGTTGGATAAACGTTCTATACTCTTGTCTCATTGGACGTTGACTTTTACAGACGCGGATATTAAATCTGTACCCATAGAAAAGAAGGCACCCTATGAATGACAATAAAGTAAAGAATCCATTTGTAATAGCTACTTTTTGTTTCAGAGAGATTTGATAGTTGGATTATTAAGGTTCATTGTTTCAAATGAGTCAAAATGGTGTGACAGCGATGTTTTCTGCAGTAGGAATGGTTCCACAGCAGGTTCACTTTGACAGAAGCTAATTTTGTAATCTGTGTCTAGTTTTGTTGCAACGATTAAGAAGAATAACAAAACAGAATAGCAAAAAACTACATGTGGTTACTATTACATAATAACCAAGTTTAATACATTAGTTCTATAACATGGTGAGATTGCTTTCAATAAGTAGGCTCAGTGACAATAGGTTGACGACAATGAAATCGGAGACTGGACCGATGATCGATGAAACATAAATTTCGAGAAGCTGTCGTTCACTCTGTTCTTGACCATTCCTAATACACTCAATACCATTGACATTGCCCAAACCAGTCTCTATTTTTTCTCAATAACCCCAAAATTCAGAATCCCTTAAAGAAGTGTTCAGAGCATAATGTAGCCAAAAAAAAAATGACTGCAGGCTATAGGTATAAAGGATCAGTATTATCACCAAATATGAGGAAAAGAGCTGGAAACTCGCTATTGGGCACCTTGGTGTTTAGTGCGTTGATTATTTCAAGCCTAAGTTTGAATAATACTACCGAACCTGAGGTAGAAGCCTCCACTTTTCTTTTACCTCATCCTCATCTACAAGAGCTTTTTTGACTCTAAGCAACATATAAAAAGAGTAAACACAACGATAACAGATATTCATACAAGATAAGAACAAGATTCTATCAAACCTGTTTGATGTTTGGAACCTGTTTACGGGTCCTGCTGGCCATAGTATCCCTTGTCTGTAAGCCATGTCAGCGGAAACTCTAGTGATCCGAACATTATAAAGACGACTGATATTTAGAGAGGCAACAGCTTTTGAAAAAGTATACATTTTTTGAACTATCGGTTACTAAAGCGTTTAGTCACGACGTATCTCAAGCAAGTCATATTCATTTCAAAAATGCCTCGATCAGTAGTGTTTTTATAAAGTATGGCCCAATCATGTACTTGTTAACCTTTCATCAAGTTTATAAAAAAGGTAATCTGCGTTACTTTTGCAGGCAAAAAAAAAAGAAATAGTTTAGTGCCCAAAGACCTTTGGCCTGCCCATTGCTGAAATACTCCAAGACTTTTACAAAATGACCAGACAAGTTCAAAACCGGTACACACCGGTCTACCTACTGTATCCCTTTAGATACTTGAGTGTGTGGCTGAAAAGACCTGAGGGGAGGTTACAAATAAATTTCTGAGAATAAAGTGCCTCACAACCCTCTCTCTGTCTTTGTCTTGGCAGTATAAAGACTGAGAAACTCCGTGCGCTATTTAAAGAGTAACGGAGATCTCCAAGATATTTCATGATGAATATCATTTGATATAACAGAGTCAGGATGTGAGCAAGTGATGAAATGATAACTGTGTATTCAGAAATGACAAGGCGGCAATAGAGAGACTGATAAGATAGCTTTTTATGTCTTCTCACAGTACCGTGGTTAAGTTGGATATTTGTAACACTGTAACGGTTCAAGCCATGCTGATACACTCATCACTTGTTAATGTTTATCCTTATGATAGGAAGAAGGCTGCACACACGCGGGAAAAAATTTTAGCTATTCGGTTTATACAAATGAATAAATAAGAAAAAAAAGAGGACACGTTCCCCAGTTCGCGTACGACGACGATGGATGAGCGATATCGGTTAACCTTATCGATATCAGTAACATAACAATCACTGAAAAGTAAAATAAGAAAGCAATCTATCCCATAAAAATTCTTTATGCCACTTTTATAGTACAGATATAAAACAAAAGGCTGTCTATTGGCAAAGTGTCCTTATTTCTGGACTTCAATTATTTTTAGGGTAACCGTCATTACGTTATGAACAGGTCAGTAGCAATCATTTTCCATTTATATACGTAATACTTATGCCACACATAGAAATATATTAAGCACAAGAACATCCCGTTAAGATGATTGCTCTTGTGTAGCATCTAATTCACTAATTGGTATATAAAAGTGACCCTACATCAGGTTCCCATTTTTATTTGACTTTTTTTATTTATTTCTTTATACTCATTGATAAACACATAAACCATGGTTTTCCTTTCAAACGCTGTCTCTAATGGTAATCTCTTTCTATTTGAAGCATATCATTCACATACCCACTTTTTGTATGTATAGCTCGTATCGAAGAAGTAAACAGTAAAGGTGAATTACACCATGACTCTGTAGGCACAACTGTCTATGGTACTCGTTGGGCTTCTGAGGATATACCAAGGTAATGCTAGTTTATCATATCTGCCCCTTTTTCACTGTATCTAACATAATATTCTACAATAGATTTGATTTACCACAGGTACACACGATATAAAATAGTATGCTTCAATGCATGAATTAACTTGTACATTTATTCCGTAGGATGAAATGCCCTCAAGCAAGTATATGCGTATACTTTAAATTATCCCTTATCAACTAACCTGCTTGGATAGATGTTGCATACAGATTAATCAAAGACGATTTGGCTGTAAGTTTTCAAATAAATAAAAGGTAATTTTGATATTGACACTATACTTATAGCTCGATGGCAACCCTGCCTTGAATCTTGCCACATTCGTTACAACCTATATGGAAGAAGAAGCAGAAAAGCTAATGGCTGAGAACCTTTCAAAGAACTTTATTGATTATGAAGAATATCCTCAAAGTGTTGAATTATGTGTAAGTATATTGTTTATAGAGAGGAACGTATGTCCCTTATTGTTTATGATAGAACCGTTGCGTCAATATGATTGCTCGTCTTTACCATGCTCCTATGGATAGTGCTGAACAAGAGGCCCTCGGTTGCTCTACCGTCGGTTCTTCCGAAGCCATCATCTTGGCTACGCTTGCTATGAAACGCCGCTGGCAAAACGCTCGTAAAGAAAAGGGATTACCTACTGATAAGCCCAACTTGGTCTTGGGCGCCAATTGTCAGGTGGCCTGGCATAAGGCTGTTGAATACCTTGAGATCGAAGCGCGTGAAGTCGAATGCACTGAGGATTGTCTCTGTATGGATCCTCACAAGGCTGCTGAACTCGTAGATGAAAACACAATTGGTGTCTGTGCTATCCTGGGATCTACCGTAAGTAGTACAGCATGATTTTATTGGCTGGGCGTTGACCCTTCTCTCCTTAGTATACAGGTCATTATGAAGATGTAAAGACCTTGAATGATCTTTTGGAAGAAAAGAACAAGGAAAACGGTTGGGATGTTGGTATTCATGTGGATGCTGCCAGGTAAATGCTTATTTTAAAGAAAAAAAAAAAAAGGGAGGGGACGTAACAGAGTGTATCCCTTAGTGGTGGTTTTGTTGCTCCCTTTGTTGTTCCTGAACTTGAATGGGATTTCCGATGCAGTCGCGTTGTCTCTATTAATGTGTCTGGTCATAAGTATGGTATGACATATGCAGGTGTTGGCTGGTGTATCTGGAGAAGTCCTGAATACCTTCCCAAGTCATTGGTATTCAACATCAACTATCTTGGCAGTGAACAAGCATCATTCACTCTCAATTTCAGTAAAGGTGCTGCACATGTGATTGCTCAGTACTATGTGCTCATTCGTTTGGGCAGAAATGGCTTTAGAAAGATCATGTCTAACCTGACTGCCACAGCTGATCATTTAGCCGCACGATTAAAGGCCACTGGATACTTTGAAATTATGAGTGAAACAGGTGGCCGTGGTTTACCTTTGGTTGCCTTCAGATTGAAGGAAAAGCATCATTTTAACGAGGTAAGAAAAAAAAAAGATGATGAAGATAGTGTAAAATAACATGGCCTAGTTTGATATCTCTTCTAAACTACGTGAACGTGGATGGATTGTCCCTGCTTATACTATGGCACCTAAAGTTGAGCACTTGAAGATGTTGCGTGTTGTTGTCCGTGAAGACTTTTCTAGATCACGTTGTGAGATCTTGGTAAAGGACATTATCGCTGCAGTTCGTGCTTTAGAATCTGTAGACGAAGAAAACATCAACAAACGACGGTAAGTAGTGGATATGGAATTTGTTCAAAATGTACATAAAATTCTAAATGCTTATCATTTAGTGAACATATTGAAAAACACTCCCTTACTTCACTTCATGCCAGCCATGAGGCCACTTATAAGCCAAAGACAGACGACGGTGCTGATGCAGAAACAACCGAAGAACCTAAAGCTGCCAAGGGCATTTGTTAAATTATTCAATAAAAAATATCCTTATTTATATGTCTAATCTAGTCGCTAATGTAAAAGATAAAAAGAAAAGCCATTTATTTACAACTGCTATCTTAATAATTATATCTGCCGCATGATAAACAAAATTGAGGGAATACTGATTATGTAAATGCATTAAAAAAGGGAAAGGAATAATATAAACATAGATGTAAGTGTGCATGATTTTGTGAAAAGCCTAAGTGTTGTATCATTTGAGCATCTGAAGTGGGGACAAGTATTGTTTGTATGTGTATATAGAAGAGGGGATGTATAAATGGGACAGGTTAATTTAGATATGCTTCTTTTTGAGCTTTTGGTCGTCCTCTTTTACTAGATGTATTCATTTTCTTTCTAGGTCTTCTTTTCTCTTCTTCATCTTCTTCATCGAATCCGTAAAATGTCTTTGCTCTTCGAGAACTTCTTGTATCTGAAGAGTACATCTTCCATTCTCCAATAAGTCCTTCCTTTATCGGCTCCTGTCCAATCCAGTCCAAGATATCTTTGGCCGTTTCACGATCTTGTGGTCGTGTTCTGAGGCATTTCAGCAATAGCTGTCTACTAAGCTCTCCATGCACCTCTCCTTCCAATGCTCGCTGGATGCGATAATCATCTTGTGCAACGTAACGTAGGCCCTGAAGGTCTGTATCCAAGATACCTCGCCATGGTTCCGTATCTGTAAACACCTTCCACATCATTACGCCAATCGAATACATATCCTCAGCTTGAGGATGTATTAACCAAGGAAGAACTTGGTTATCTGACCTTGTCTTTGGTAACGTTTGGATAGATCTGTAGACATATGCTAAGTATGCAGTAAACACTATTGCCCGTAAAACTTACCTATACATCCTGTATCCATGATCCGGCTTCCCTTTCACCCAAGGTAACGTTTCACACCAACTATCCAACTCTTCCTTTGTCTCTGGTACAACATCTCCATCATATTCCCATTCTGCGCGAGGTACATCTACAAACCAATCACGGACATCTTGTGGCTGGCAAAAGACGGCTTTACCGAAATCAATCAGGTAAAGGCATACTTTTTCGCTTCCATCTTCCAGATATTGACCATCAACTGGGTTGACCATAATATTGACCTCAGAAAGATCTCGATGCGCAAGCCCTGCTTCGTGTATGGTCTTCATACAGACAAGCATCTGGTAAATAACGTCGTATTTTTGATAAGCCGATAATCGATGATGTGAATGAACGTGCGTATACTGCTTGAGGGTTGTGTGATATCTAGCATTTTTTTTTTCTTAGAGTTCCCCATCATCTTTTTTTTTATTTTATCTTTGATTTACCTTTCCATGGATAAACCAGCGACATCCCCGTTATCGTTATAGAGAACCTCTCGTACCTGCGCCATGTGCGGTAAATTTCTCAACTTCCTGATATTGCCCCCCAAAAGCAGTTAGTATACATATGTGCTCAAGCGCATACATGCACTTACATCAAACAAGCAACTTCTGTGATACGTTGATACATTGTCATTTGCCTAAATGCTTGTACGACCGTATCTTGAAAAAAGTAAACACGTTTGAAGAACCCTTCAGAGTTGGGTAGATGCCAGTTAATATGCCCATGCTCAGCAATATTCCTGATCAAGATTCCTTTACTAGCACACACTAATAAGAAAAATATGAGTTTCATCTCTTGATCATCCTCTTTTTAATTTACCACTAAACAGTCTCTGCCAAACGTCGTGCGAAATTTCCTTTTTTCCAAACCGTTGTAGGTTAGACATCTCCTGAGGGTAATCGTTAATGGTCGTTCTTGGGGTAACAGCCCCGTTTGCCCTTTCATCATCCGATCCTTTATCAGCATCCATATCCTCCTCTTCCTGTGTCTTTCTTCTCATTCTTGCAAAAGGTTTTGTTGTCCTTTGCTTGCCCTCTGTTGGACGAGCAGTAGTAGGTGTGTCTACAGCAGGTGATAGAGATGCCGAGTTGGGCGTCGTCACATCCAACGTCTCGGGCAATTCAGGCAATCCCAAGATCTGACGGACGACGCGTTTGAGTAGCTTCTTTGTGACCGACTGTCCTGTCTTATCATCTATGGCCATCTTGGAAGTTGCAAACATTCGCTTAAAATAATCTCGTTCGATCGCCTCATTCACTTCAAACACGATCTGATTCACAACTCGGAGTGGTCTGAGATGAATCCAGGCTTTAGGTGCAAAGTCCTCAGTGCATTCGTTGATTTGGTCAATGTCAAACAGGTCGCTTGCAGGGTAGGCGAGGATCATGTCTGTCTCGATACGAATCAGCTTACTCGACTTGATACGGGTTGACTTGGTGTTGTAAAAGATAGCCAGCACGCCCTGAGAGCGGATCTGGCGGAGCAATGTTCTGTTTTTGGCAATGTAGAAACGAGGTACCATCGAATGGTTACCTTGAGGATCAGCCTTCATACGCTCAACCGCCTGAAAGAAAGGACCGTTGAGTTGAAGGTAGAGTAGTTTTTCGTCGGTGAGACCTACGGGCTTTTGGCCCTTAGGCTCGAGTGGTGAGAGTGCAGATATGCTATAGACTGTACTATGTTCTGAGAATACTTGTTCGACAGGTGGGTATGAAAAATCGGATTCCTCCGGAAGTGTGTCGGCCGGATCAAACTTGAAGTCTTGTGAACTCACTGATGACTGTGACTTCCGACTAGTTTGATTACTACACGTATTGGTAAATTTTGCAAAATGTCTCCATGTTATTATGCTTACCTGATTTGTTTTTTAATGTCTACTACAATCCTGTTGAAAAGTCTTTCGAGATAATCTGCATGTTTGGGAATCGTTCCTGTATTTCGATGAAAAGCCCGTGCATTCTTCCAAATAAGTCGAATGTCTTTCTCGAATCGAGCAAACTTGGTGTACTTTCCTTTCCATACGTTTTCTTCAACTGTCTGCAAATCCATGGGATGTTTGATTTCTTGGTGATAGACAAATGCAGAGGCTGGCACAGGTTGAATAAATGGCCAGCAATCAGGCGTTGACAGAAGCATGTTGATAATAAATCGATAGAGTCGCAAAAACAGCCGTGTAACATTGTGTGGCGGTTCATATATAACTTGTGATAAATCAATGATATTGCTGGGTAAAGGCGGGTTCTGTCCCGAATTGGTATTTGCCTTGGCTGCGGAGGGAGGCTGTTCGGTAAGTACTGTATGGATCACAATATTTTTGGTGCGAAGGCCCGCCACAATCAGACGCTGAAGGGCTACCAGATCACCATTAGAAATCTGTGATGCCAGCGTCTTGGACACATCTTTATCGCCTGAAGTCCCTAATACCATGGAGGTAATAACGAGCATGGCTGCAGCTGGTAGCACTTGTTGCGAATCTGTTGGCATTGCGCCGTCGATATCAACTACAGGTAGCTCCTCCACTCCAATTTGAACACCCAATGCTCGAAGGGTGATCATTGTTAGTCTCCGTAAGTTGTAGACATCTAGATCAGGTTTCATTGGGTCCTTTGGGTCATCATAGAATGATGGATCTACCTCCTTGTGTTTGGTAATGTGAACACGCAGCTGCGGCCTAGGAGGGACTGGCTTTCTGACTGGTGTAGATGATCCTGTGCCCATACGAATATATCCAGGTAATATGGGTGCTGTAGATAGCATGGGTGGCGCAGAAACGGGGCTACCGTTTGTCACTGGGGTCATCTTGGGTAATGTCGGTAAAGATGATGTTAGCTGTCCAAAGAGCATGGCAGGAGGTAACACATTGGGTGGATGCATTGTCATAGGTGGAGTATTATTGTAAGTACTAGGCAGCGGTAATCGTACTGTGGTCAAGGTGGGTGTTGCTGATAAAGGAATTGGCATTGGTGAAGCAACGGGTACAGATCCACGATTGTTATGACTGTTCTGGAAAGTAGGGGCGATTGAAGCAGTAGGACCAGTTGTTGTCACAGCTGCGGGAGTCATGGCTGTAGGAGTACTTGTAGGCATTGGTTGATTGCTTGTGTTCATTTTATCCTGAATTGGTTTATGAAGCTGAATGGGCGATGCATTAAAATAGCTAGCACCAGGACGCTCCTGCTGCTGCTGTTGTTGTTGTTGTTGTTGCTTTGAGGTTTGTTGTTGCTTCTGTTGCTGCTGTTGCTGTTGATGGTGCTGTTGTGGGGATTGCTGTGGATGTTGCTGGTGTTGAGGGATCATAGGTAATGATGGAGTGGATAGTAGTTTTGGTCTCATTGGCTGAGTTCCATCACTGCGGTCATCAAAGACAGGTGAACTGGGTTGTTTTCCTTGAAGGATGATTGAGTCTGAAGGTGAGGAAGTTGTTATGTCATTATCTTTTGTATCATTTAGTATTCTTTCTAACAATAGGTTATTCGATGAGTTCTCTTGGTTTGCTTCGTTTTGAATATCGGCTAAGCAAAAGGGAAAATAGTAAATAAAGGTCCTTTGTCTCTCTCTTGTGTGTTTTTTAATACCTTGTTGCATTGCTAAGCTTTCACGAAACAGTTTATCTACCAAGTCGTCTTCATCAGGAAAATCAGAAGTTGAGGCTGACTGATTAAATTCATTAAAGGATTGAGAGGCGTCATTATCGTTTGCTGGTATTAAGGAATCTAAAGACTGAAGCTTCCACAACAACTGCATATTATCTACAAAATTATTCACTCCAACAGAAGAGTCGTTATTATCTCGTAAAGTCCAATCTTCCATTGTTTTTTCTTATAAAAAGAGGGTAGATCGCTTGGTCTTTTTTTTATACTTTTGATTAGTAAGAAAACAAGAATAGCTGCAACAATTTAATGTTTTCTTGCTGTACGGAAATAAAAGGAAAGAGGGAAAAAAAGGATAAATTTTTTTGGTTTGAAAAAAAAAAAAAATTAAGGGAATAACCTTTAGAATAAAAAAAAAAAGGAATTATTATTATTATTATTATTGTTGTTGTTGTTGTTGTAGAAACAAAATGTAAAAAATCTGAGACGTGACGCAATCAATAGAGAGAGACGAGTTTTTAAAAATCAGATAATATGTTTACAGTTTAAGTAACCTTACACGACACAATTGACAATAGCAAAAAAAGAGAACAAGGAGATGAAAATATACAATGACTTCTCTCTTCAAACAAATGATCTCTTTCAAAAAAACACCCCTGAAAAGCTGATTTCTTAATAAACTTATTTCTGTATCCTTTTATTTAATTGTTTTGTTTTTCTTTTTTTCTTTTACTATTTTAAAATGGAAGTAAATGAGTTCCGATTATGTGGTTTTAGTCAACATAATCATGGCAGTAGTAGTAAGATCATAATAATAATTCATTAGCTTTTGTGATCTTACTCTCTTTTATAGAAACTATACCTTTAAAACAATCGCCCAATGCATTTTCAAAGGTAATTCATTATACCTGTGTTCTTTACCTCATTTCTTTCTTTGTAGTCATTAAAGTCATTCTTTAACAAGCTCAGAAGTGTAAATAGAAATAAAAAAGATAATATATAAATATAGATATTCAACCCATCTTTATAGATCCATCAAGGAGCCGATACTTGTGCATCAAATCAACATGATACGCATTCTAATCATCATAAACCGACTCTTGTTCCGTCTCAGTCTCTCTATCTGAAAAGAAACAATGGTCAGTCTCTCGTCAGAGACAAGCGCTCTTTTCGCTATTCACTTGACCTCTCCACTATTTTTGATTCAGACTCAGTAATCCGTCAATGCCAAAACAATGCAGTGATTGACAATGGTAGTACAAAAAAAGGAAGAAGGAGAAGTAGCCGCCGATCAAGTATTGTTAGCTCTATCTACAGCGTCTTTAATTCTACTGAAACCAAAACTTACAACAGTCAAGGAATGATGGATGAGCCTATATTGGAAGTAAACGAAAACAAGATGGAGAACGACATAGACGATTCATGCGACTCCTTGACCAAAGACATACAAGACAAATTATGGAATGAGGATATATCGTTTTGTCCAAAAGAAAAGATATCCGAATGGTTAGGCACAAAGTAAGGAAAATTAAAAAAAAAACAAGAGGAGAAATCTGATATTGTCTCTATAGTGAGCCTTTTAGGGCACAGGTGCTAAAGTTGTATATGCGGAACTTTGATTTCACAAACAAACAATTGGATGAAGCATTTCGTATATTATGCTCCAAACTCTACTTCAAAGCAGAATCTCAGCAGTTGGACAGGATCATTGAAGCCTTTGCAAAACGATTTTATGACTGTAATTCTACAACAATCTTTCATTCCGTCGATATCATTCACGCTGTTTCCTATTCTCTACTCTTGTTAAATACTGATCTGCATGTGGTCTCGGATCAAGGGAGTAAAATGACGAGATCAAGTTTTGTTAAAAACACGATGGACACTATACAATCCCTAAGATTCCCTCATTTACACAGTCAGCGACAGCGTGTTGGCAGTTTTAGTAGTTCTGATTCATGCTCCATGAGAAGGAGAAGTGTCAGTATATCTTCCCCTTCTTTTGGAAGTCAAAGCTTTAAAAGCATCATGGACGATCCCAGTGTTCACTCATTTAGTAATAATGGCACATTGTTTCAAAAATTGGATACACTTAAATCAAATATATCTTGGAAGAGCAGTACAAGCAGCTATTATAGATCTACTCAAGATGGATTGACTCGAATGCAAAAGACATGGCTGTTGGATATTGAAGCTCTTTTGAAGGTAATTCATTGTTCCTAATTCACACCCCCTTTGTGGTCTTTTTTTTTTTAATTAATTATAACTTTATAGGACATGTACAGTGCAATCAAGGCACAAAGCATCAGTCAAGCAGATATTACGGAAAGTGAGCAAACAGCAAACAATCAAATTTACAGATCAAAGACATTACCAAACAATGAAGAACGTAGAGCATTTCGGAGAAGGAGAGGACACTCTGTCATCAGTGAGAAATTTAATGCCTTTAATGAAATGCCTCCTCAGAGAAGACTGACAGAACCATCGCCCATTGTACATCACATCACTTTCCATAACTGCAAGCAAGGAATTGTTATGCGAAAGCATGTCATGGAGACGACAGATAAGAAGGCCAAACATCGACAATGGCAATTATGTTATCTGATGATGACTGAAACGGAGATTGTGATGTATAAGCCCATACAAAAAAACGATACCAAAGGCAAGAAACGAAAAAGTATGAGCTTGTGGACCAAAACAGCTAGTACACCCTTTTCCTTGCAAGAAGTCATCAGTAATGATACAAACGAATGGCATCCCGACTTGAGCCAGCCTCCAATGGATGTTGTTCAACTTCACCATTGCTATGCAACAAGTACCTTGCCACTTGGTTGGAACGCGAACCGACCTCATGTATTTCGTGTTGAAACGGCAGAAGGCGGTCTTTGGCTGTTTGAATCCACTGATGTATTTGCCAAACAGGCCTGGGTGGAATCTATCAATTTGGCTGCGGCTACCATCAGTAAACCACCTATGCAGGGAGCTGTCTGCAACATTGACTATGGCTGGGGGACCCAAGGCATGACAAGTACTCATATTCCTGTTTGGTATCCACCTACACCATGCATGATTAAAAGTAATCGGACTTTGGAAGAGCAATACCAGGACTTGGAGACTCAGATAAAGACACTCATGCAAGAATTAAATCAACACCGTTCATTGAAACCCTGTGTTGATAAAAAGGTATTTTTTTTTTCATAAACTGTGTACGTATAATAATACTCCATTTTAGTCAATCTCGCCTGTAGGAAACCAAGCTCAAGCACTAATCAACTGGAATAAAAAATTACAAAACATCACACAAGAATTGTTCAAGTATAGGTGCTACAGAGATGTTCTCAGGCAAAAGATTACTGTGTAAATCTCGTTCAGATTGCTTGCTGGTTCACGCATTCTATTTTTAATTTCTTGATTATACTTGCTTATTTTGTAAAAGGCTCCTTTATTTCTATATATAAAAAAAGGAGAAATATTACATCTAATGTTTAAAATAAAATTAATTCCATTTTTATATTCTGCAATGAGAAATATATATGCAAAAAGACAAGAGAAGCCAAGATAGAGTCTGCTTGGGCGCACCAGAGACGTGCAAGTGACCATACTTGCCAATTGTATCATCTGGGAGAGGAGCCGATTGTGATGGCCGCATACTAGACACCGCAGATGTGTTTAAACCTTTTGTGTGAGTTGGATAATGTGTAAAAATAAAGGATGTTGGCGAAGGTGACAGATAAGAAAGGGTAAATGTGACTGATCCATTCACCATGGTTGTCATGTTGCGAATATCATTAGACTCTCCACTAACGTTGTATACAAGAGGCGTAGGTGTCACTCCATCAACATTGGAAATATTGAATGACGTGAAAACGTTATGAATTGGTACAGTTGTTGTCGGCACATGGGTTGAGAGCATTTCTTGTGCTGCAATGCACCAGAAAAATAATAGTAATAAAGAGATAGACAAGCCAAGAGGTTTCATTAAATGGATAATAATTTTTTAAAAACTAATCATGATTGAGAAAAAGGAAACAAAAAGACACTTATTCTATTACTCAACCCAAATAATAAAATTTAAGGAGCAAAGTGAAAACATCCTTCGAAAAAAAGGAGAAAACAAGAAGCTAATTTTATCCAGAAACAATGCTTAGAAAACAAGATAAAGTTTACTGCGTTAAATTCGAGTTTTGGGAAAAGTAGAGATAAACAAAGAGGTATCGTATTTTAAACTGAAATTGCATTCCCCCTGATCAATAAAGAAGGTAAACTGATATATTGTTATTATTTGTACTTTTGTGCAGCCGCCCAGTCAACAAGAGGACTTGCCAGAAGCTTTGCCCAAAGAGCCGAGTAACCAAACCAAGAAGGTATATATATTTCTCGTTCACGTAGATCAGACGCTTGAATGATACGGTGAGCCACAGAACCAGCAGATAGTTTGTTCTTTTTTGACCCGGATATGGTTCCTTGTCCAAGTGACTTGTCAACAGCAGACTGTCGCAGGTCGGTATCAACCGTACCTGGGCAAATCAGTCCGATATGCACCCCCAATGGATGTAACTCGACCCTGATGGAGTCAAAGAAACCGTGTAAAGCATGTTTAGATCCCGCATAAAGAGATCGTGTAGGAGCACCGACTTTTCCCGCCATGGATGATACGACCAAGTAGTTGGGTGCAGCAGATGATTCAATCAACACTGGCAAGAATAACCTTGCAGTCCACACTGCTGCATAATAATTGATTTTAGTAATCGTGTCAAGCGCTTGGCCGAGAGCATTCTTTTCAGTTGGCCTTTCTGTTACTGTCTTTGATTTGATATCTACTTGGATACCACATGATTCAAGGAAAGGTCGAACAGATATCATGCCTGCACAATATATAACTGTATCAACTCCTTGTAGCTTTTCTCTTGTAAAACTTGCTAGCTTTTCCAAATCATTTTCTACTGTCACGTCGCCTATCATATAATACACTGCAGAGGCACCCTTTTGTTCACATTCCTTTTGAAGATCTTCAAGTAAATTGACTCGACGAGCAAATAGAATGAGTTTGGCACCACGAGATGCATATTGTAAAGCACATTCTTTTCCGATTCCAGACGAGCAACCTAAAATCACGACTCGTTCACCCGCTGGCTTGACCAGCCTTTTACGCTTATTTAGTCTTTTTCTTAGTAACAAGTAATGACTAAAGACTATGGTTGCAATTGCCAATAATATTTTTTGCATTATAAAGAAAAAGCTTTAAAAAAAATAGTATGCTTGATATAAGTTTCTTTTCACTTGTGTAACAGCTTTCAAATTAGGAAAAGTACATAGATTTCAACTCACTTTTATATATGCATTTGCATAATATATTCATTAGTCAATCTGGTATGTATACATATATAATATGCTTTTGATTTTGCAGAAAGGAAGTCAAAAGAGATAGATAGAGAGAGAGAGAGAGAGAGCTTTGAATAGGGTAAAACGGATGATGAATAATGTATATAAATTATCATATGCTTTAAAGAAGAACAATGTGTAAATGAAAAAGAATATATCTAAGGTGATATATTGACTGTATGATTATTTAGATTAAAGAGAAAAAACTCAATCAAGCTATTATAGATCTTTATTCTCCACCTTATTATTTCTAAAGTTATACCTTGAATGAGTACGCGTTTTGATCTTGATGTATTCTGTTTTAATCTCGTCTTGTTCTTCATCTTCTTCAACTGTTGTACATCTTTTTTTCTTGGTTATCTTTGTGGTTGTAGTAGTAACCGTAGCCTTAGTTACTTTTGTCTTTCGTAAGATTTGCCTTGTTGGAACAAACGCAGATGTTCTACCACCAACCTAACCAAAAAAAAAAAAAGGTTATTATTCAATACATTACACCTTAGTGGAATAATACAGTTTCAAATTTCAAGACTTGCCCATTAGGCAATATACCCTTTCCAGCCCCTTTCCCCTTATTCCAGCGATACTTCATCAACCAATTGTCTGGAAACTTTGAATCATCCCCCTCAACAGCCACTGCGGTCTCACAAACGTACTTCATCTTGTCATAGAGCAGCTGCAGTTCATCTGTGGTTAGTGTATTCGAATACTGAGCAGGATGGATCTCTGCATGATATAGTATTTCATCTGCGACCCAGTTACCAACACCAGCAGAAAACGACTGGTCCAACAAGAGAGCCTTGATGGGCACAGATCTCTTGAGAACCAGCTTTGAAAAGTCATCAAAGGGTGGTAAGTTAAGTACAGGGTCAAACCCTAACTTACTGATCGGTTCGGAATTTAATGGATTCCCTTCCACCAGTCTTAATCTTCCAAGCCTTCTAGGGTCCTTGAATCCAAAATTAATCACCTTTTTTGTAATGGGATGCTCAAAGGTGATCAAAAGCTTCCAAAATCGAGGCGGCCATTCTTTTTCTTCATGTTCAAACTACTTGTATTAAAAAGAGATCGATAGACACACTGTCGAAAATAAACTTACACGAATGCCTCCTGTCATGCCAAGATGTGCAACGATATGAGGTCCCTTATCAAATACTGAAAGGGTATCAGAACTGAACTTTATTAATGGGTGAACTTACATAGCACAAAATATTTCCCCCATCGTTTAGTATCAGCCAATGTCTTATTCGTGATACTTTTTGAAAAATCCTCAGAAGATATTCCATGGTATACTAGTGCATCATCAACCTATATTGCATTAAGTGATAACTGTGTCGTGGTAAAGTCAGTAACTTACAGTTTCTACGTTGATAACTTTATATTCTACCAATTGCCTATGAATCCTAAGCCTTGCACTTTCTACCTAAGTAGCTATGTTCTTTAGTCCATATCAAAAAGGAGTCAATAGTAAACATACTTCTGCAATTTCAGGCATGGTTTTGTCAATTTATGAAAAAAAAGAGCTGCATTTCTACTGCGTAAACTGACATTACACTTTTATTCGGACAAATGAAAATTAAAATTCAGATGATCTTCTTACCTTTTTGGACAAAGGGAAATTACGACAGTTGCCCAAGAAAAGTACGATTAAACAGTCTTTTATTTACAATTAAAGCCTCAAATGGGTATATGATAACAGCAACATATCTTCTCCGCCTGAGTTAGATAAAGAATTGGTGACTAAAAAAGCCCATAGAAGATCAGAGTAAAAAAAGGTATTGAAGAAATGATATTGAACCAAGCGTAATAAAGTCGCTGTGATTTGACTGTTTCTTGGTTTGTGTTATGCTTCTCTTTTTTTTTTGCATTCATTTTGCTTTTGACATTTAAACAATAATTCTACATAACAATATACAGCGAGTACAGTAATTCAGTAGAGACATATTCGTGTATATCACATACTTTAAATATATCAAGACCATTAATGTATGTTTCGACGTCTCTTTTTTTGATTGAATCAATACTTGCAGGAACATCAACGCCAACACTTTTTTGAAGTGCTAGCCAATTGTTGTCAAAAGGAAACAGGATAAACGCCTCACCTTCAAGGCCTTTTACAAGTATTGAAGGTACTAGTTTTAATTCAGATATCGATGTGTGTTTCTTTAAATCTGAGACCAGACAACACCAGCTTGAGTTTGTCTTTGTAATATTTGAAAGTGCCAAGCTCGTTTGCGTATTCAGCAGCACTTAGGTCAATATATTTTAGAGATTCTGTTGTTCGTAAATCAATCCTGCAATTGTATCCCCTATTTTTGCATTCTTTGGGCTTGGTATCTTCCCTAGAACCAAAAATAGGTTCTTGTTAATCGACATTATATAAAAACGATACAGCGGTGAAGCAAATTAGAAAGAACACACTTGTCATCGTAATCCAACATCCGTCTCTCGAAACTCGCTTTCCATGATTGGAGCATGTAGTTTTACGAGAAAATCGTTCTCGCTATTTTGTTCATTTTGGTCGAACAAATGCTCATCACAGACGATGATTTCTAATCTATAATATAAGAAATTAATAGAGTTCTTTCTTGTCGCCAAAAGTTATACTTACATTTGTAGATATATTCTTTGAAATATTCTGTTGTTAGCTTTAATATCATATATTTCTTTAATGATTCTATATAAAAACCTTGGTGTACACTACATACACCCGAAGTTAGACTAATTTTACGAGCACTACCTCTACCCACTACCTATGATGTGATCCAACAAAACTTTTGAATGTGTGCTGCCACGCTAAGCATGACTTTATAAAGTTACCGGCCTGTTTTGTTTCTTTTCAAGAAGAGGAAGAGATAAAAAAAAATTGTTATTTATCCTAATTTTATGTCGTCAGTTGATCAAAAAAGACTTTCTGAAAGACTGTAATTTCAAGTGGCGGAGAAAAGTTGGCATTTTGATCTGACCGCAGTTAAAAAAATGTTTTTTTAGTATTGACATGGCAACAGACGATTTATGTGATTCAGTGAAAAATCTAAATGTTACAGATAGCAACGAAACACTAATAAAAGAAAAAACCAAAGCTGCCTATGATAAAGCAGCACTCAAAGAACGCTGGAAGATTTTGGGGAATGAACCAGAACAAAGTAAATTAAAAGAGGTTTGAACAAAAGCCGATTCTAACATTTCATAGACATTCTGTCAATGATCCGCAAGGCCTGTATGAATACATTTGCTCGAAACGACTTTATGAAGACTTTACAAACCATTAAAGCCAGCTTTGTGCAGCGTGACTATGAAGGTATTTTTACAGAGGCCACAAATTTAGAAGTCTATGCAGCCGCTTATGTTCCTGGCAGAGCGTTGTGCTATTACGAAATATTTACTCGACCTCAACTATTGAAATTCTTGATGAAACGTAGCCAACTATATTGTGTTGGCTCTGGTTCCGGCTCAGAATTAGCTGCAATTGCTGCTGCCATGACAAGAGTGCCTGCTGAACGACAGAAAGTGAAACTCGTAATGCAAGATATCGGGGATTATGAAAGTGTACTAGCATCGTTTGAAAATACAATACGAGAGAAATGGTCCATTACAGAGGAACAACTGGAGTGTACCTATGAAAAAGGAGATGTACTTGATCCAAACAACGCCGTCATTCAACAAAGACTGGCACAAGCCGATTTGATCACATTTATGTTTGTCATGAATGAATTATTTGTCAAGAAGGCAGCTGCACTCGCATTAATAAAGACAATGGTTCAATCCATGAAAAAGGGAGCGCACTTACTGGTATAGTGACCAAATATGGTTATAGCTCGAGGGAATTAACTCCATTTCACAGGTAGTCGAATCCGCAGGATCTTTCTCACACCTAAAAGTAGGCAATAAATTATACATGGTATATATGCTATTGGATGCTATACAAGATTTAGAGCTGGTGATTGGAGAAGATTCTCGCTGGTATCGGTACGTTGCTATATCAGCACTATCTCTCATTATACTGATATACTATATAGTCATCCTGACCATATCAAATATCCTATTGATGTACAGAATATGAGATACTTTATACGTTTATACAAAAAGAAATGAGTGTAACAGCTTAAAAATTGATTCTATCTCCGATCAAGGTATTTTTTTTTCAAGTATATAATTACACTTAGTAATGTGGGTTATTGTTGTCCCTTTCTTTGTAATAAACAATAATGTCTAATAACGCAAACGCACTCCTTGCGTGGTATCTTTCTAACCTTGTCGCTCATCCTTTACGCACAAAAGCATGTACTTCAGGTTTATTATCTGGTCTCCAAGAACTGACAGCTCAAAAGTTATCTGGGGCAAAGAAACTCGATAAGCGTATTGTACAAATGGCTTGTTATGGTAATAAGAGACATAGAAAGAGTACACGATAGTTATATTCACCATCTACTATGTAGGATTATTCGTTTCAGGCCCACTTAACCATCTTTTGTATGAAATTATGAATAAGGTTTTTGCTGGCAAGACAGGGCCCAAAGTAAAGGTGGGTCAGTTGCTTTTCTCAAACTTGATCATTTCCCCAGTCATGAACTCGGGTAAGTTTGCATTTACTTTAAAGATATAAAAAAATAACATGGACTAGTCTATTTGACCGCCATGGCCGTCCTTGCTGGTATTCGCTCTCCTGCCAAATTAAAGGCAACTGTTAAGGCTGGTCTTTTGCCAATGCAGAAAGTGTCTTGGGTTGTCTCACCATTGACCTTGCTGTTTGCTCAAAATTTCTTACCACCCACAACTTGGGTACCCTTCTTTAATCTCGTAGCATTTGGTAAAAGATACATAATATCATTCGTTATTTCTTACTTATCTTGTGTATATATAGTATTCGGTACCTACATCAATACCATGGTTAAGCGTAAGCGTATCAGCGAAGAGGCAGCCAAGAAAGACTAAGAAAAGTAGAGAGATCACACAAAAAATAAAATCTTTTAATTTATGAGCAAAGTTACAATTGGGCTGTTAAAAAATGTAAATTATTTCATTTAGAAATAAAGCGAAGAGTTTCTTTTATCTCTTGCAGCTGTTAAAAAAGCCAGAAGCAATAGAGTTTGATGAATCTTTAAAACGCAAAAATTTATTTTGATGGAACCAGGATGGCCTGTTCTTCTCGAATACTATGTAACAGATTCGGGAAAAGTCCATTTTAAGCTCGTGAGACAGTGACATTAACTTCGCGTAATGTTGAAGGCTATTTCGCGAAATATATGAGCTAGCCTATATACAGTTAACCTTGAGATAATACTCGCAATGTCAAAGTATAAGAGTATCATTCTGATTTTATACGCGACATGATAGATAATGAAGCATAGTGTCACTAGAAAATATAAAAAAGAAGGCTAATGATGACTCCATCAGCTTATGTGGCCATTTGAACAAGAAACTTTAGTCCATACTGAAAGCAGCATCTCCTGTAGAGCAAATGCGGTCCACTGAAAGAATACAGGAAGAAAATAAAGAACTATTGCATAGGGCTTTTCAAAGTAGAAGCTAGCTATTTCACTGCATCTTTGTGGATGAATCAGATTTCAACACTTGTGTGGTACCTGACCAAACAAGATCAAGAAAAGGAAGATAAACCCATGTGAATACAGCATACAAGAGCTACAAATATATATATTGACCATTGAAACAATTTCTTACAAAAGAACAAATTAAATGAATTTATTAAAAGACCAAGTAAAAGAAGAAGAAAGCCATTTCTTGATGAATAAAGCCTAGCTTCTTTTGATGTCATTAAAGCGTGTTCATTCGGTGTTTTAATTAATGTAAATCCCCCAATTTAAGGTCCTCTGCTGCGTTCTTTTTCATCACCCTTTTCTTTCTCTTTTAAACATGGATTTTTTACAAAAATATTTAAAACCCCATCAGCGTATCGCCTCAATACTATATCCTGCTACAGTAATATTAGCCTTCTTATATTCTTGGCTAGGAAATCCACCCGACAGCTATTTTAGTAATAAGCGTAATATCTTGAATGTCTATTTTGTAAAGATTGGATGGTTTTGGGTGACACTAGTTTATTTCAGCTATCTTTATATTGTGCGATCCAAATATCTTCAAGACACTAAACAATTTGCACAAGGCGCCTTACGTTATATATTGATGACCTTGTACTGGTATATCATGACACAGCAATTCTTAGGACCCAGCATTATCGATCGTATATACGTCCTAACGGGCGGTAAATGTGTATCATTACTGCAAGACGTTGAAATGTCTGAAAAATTAGCTACTGTGTTAGAACAGCAAGTTTGCAGACGCTTAGGTGGACAGTGGTCTGGAGGTCATGACGTGTCAGGTCATTGTGTCATGCTGATACATGCCAGCCTTTTCTTTTGGGAAGAGCTTTGCTGGATGTTTTATTCACTTGATACATTTATCAAATTGAAGCAACGTAATAGAATTCAGTACCTTTCTGTGGTGGCCGTACTTTCTATCGCTGCCATATGGTGGTTCATGCTCTTTATGACAGGTGTTTATTTTCATGGACATTTTGAACTAGTATCAGGTACAATCTTTGGTGTACTTGGCTGGGCACTCATGGTAAGTGGTAGAGGTATTCACACACATTCATTTTTATTAATAATGTATACAACAATAGTATCTGGGTGTATTTCCTAAAGTTGACATGATAGATTTACCTCCTCTTTCACTTTGATTTTATAAATGTATATACCAGCTGTAGATTATTTCTGTCGTCGTAGAAAGTATAAGTAGGCCTCTCCAACAGGTGGATTAGGCGTAACAGCAACTTTGTTATCGTTGAATAAAATCCACTCGTTATGCTTGTATACATGGGATACATAATGACCACAGTGGACTGAAGTGCCCTTGTGGGATACAAAAGAGTCTAGCTGATAATTAAATGGTGGCGTAGAGTCTATATATTAACAGATTAGATTTTTTGATTTTAAAAAGAGAGAGAGAGATAAGCTTACCGCCAGCCTCTTGAGCTGAAGTGTTTGGTTCATCTTGACCACTATCATCCGGATGACTAAATAACCAGTCAAGCGCTCTTTCTGTATCATTTCCCTATTATATAAAATTAGAAGTGTTCAAAGTGTATAGATTATATTTACAGTTTCTCTCAAAGCCTTTCTGGCTTGAGCAGCAGTGAAGCCCATGTCTTGCAGCATAGCAGTCTGTTCGTCTGAAGGGTTGTTGTCGGCTTGATTATCATCTGTGGGCAATGGATCATCAATATCTGGGTCTTCCATATGCTCAAACATCCAGTTCATGGCAACCTCCGCGCCATTATGACCAGTGTTCATCAAAGCACGTTTACAGCGGTTTTCTGAAAAACCCATTGCCATAAGCTGATCAATGTCGTTCTGGTTAAAAGTGATACCCCCTGTATTTGGCTTGCTTTCTTCAGGGAGTAATTCCTCTCCTGGTTGCTGACCAGTCCCTATATACTTATCTAACTGAATGAGCCCTTCAGGGAATGTGATGGTTACAGGAAGTTTTTGAGGAACCCAATTGATAAAAGCAAATCGACGAGGATTAATAACCAATATTTCAGGAAACGTGCTGAATTTGTTTGACCTAAATAAGAAGAAGGGATGAGTTTGTGTACATAAAACATAAAGTCGCATGTCTTTACCTGTAGGCTGTTGTTTTTTCCTTACAGTTAGGACAGTCGTATCCTTCAACAGGTTCTTCGCTAATAAACGTATCCAAACACTCGTAAAAATCCACTGGTTCATAGGTTGAAGATCCTTCATCATCACCTTCCTTCAGTTTACGAGCAGGTACATTTACAGAAATGCTGCTAGTTTCATGCTTTTGGTATCTAACCTTTTTGCATTTGCCACATTGAAGTCGCTGTTCGACCATAAAATCAAATAGCTTCGTGGGGTCATTGTTGGATGAATGCTCCTTTTGTCGGACAGTTTTACAAAGATATTGAAAGAATTCAAACGCGTCCTGTTGACGCATGGTTGAGAATTCCTCATGTCCTTTGCCAACAAGGTCTTTAAACATTCTAGGGGCAATACCGTCCTGGTATTGCACATTGTCATCAGTGGTCTTTGGCTGAGAGTATCTGCCTGATAATATACCATCAGCTAACTTGTGAAGTTGACAGTGCCAGCAATTGGCAGGATCATTTGTGCATGTTTTGGCGTGGTCTTTGAGTTGGCTGCTGTATCTATCTTGGAAACTTTCAATATTAAAAATAGACTGAAGAACAGAAGCCATATAACAGCTATATAGCAAGGTAAGTTTCATATAGGCAGTAAGGCTTATACACATAATACCTGTTTCCTAAGTTCTTAAGTCCAGTATAACCCGGGCCAAACTTTGGTTCAAGCTGTTTACCATCTTCTGTAGTCATGCTAAAGTCGAACTTTAAATTTTGCTCCAATGTCTATTATTACAGCTAGCTTAATATCGCATGTCCTTCTATAACGCCATCTTACCAATTCAGTCATGCTCTTTTCTGTCTTTAGCTGATCTGATACATTAATTCCCCAATTAGCAAGGTGCGTAGCAAGGTCGTGATCTAGCCTGGAATCATCACAACTATAACAATAGATATCTGGTTCCTGATCAGCTCCGATGCAATTCCATGATGACAAAAATCTGATATATTACCTGCAGTTCCTTCAGGCGTGATGGTGCCCATTTTAACATTAACAGCGTGTCCAGTCTGCTGAAAGTGTTCAATGGCATGATTGTTTCCTCCCGAGCCATCATATTGTTTTCTTCCACAACCCAACTTACCACACACCAAGCATAACCACAAGTTTTCCTTCAGGTCACAACCAGCACAATGTGCAAGATCTTGCTGCTCTAATCTTTTAGGCGCTTCTTGAGAAAGACAGAGTGTGTGCTCGCATGGTGTGATCACCTCCTCCCAAGCTTTTACTTCAGACTGCTTGGCAGAGGATAAAGCAGAGAGAACAGCATCTACAGCAGCTTTTACCTATTGTTTCCCAAAAAAAAGAGGCCATATGGTCAGAAACAAAAACTGTGTCTCTCGTTTTTGCTGTTTACCTCTGGTGTACTCTCGACAGAAGCTTCTTGTCCATCACATGCATAGCAACGTAGCATTTTTTGGAACTCATACAGAGGTTCTTCTGCCGAAGGATCGATGGCAAGCTTGCTTATTTTCTGTGGGGGAATTCCATCCTCTGATCGCTTACTTTGATTGACAATGATTCGACGAATGTTAACAGCGAGAGGATGTCCTGATAGCTGGTGATGCGTTAAAGCGTGATGTCTTTCTTCAGAAACACAGCCACCATTGAAACATGTCAAGCAGACATCAATACCGTTGGGTCCATCCTATCAAGGTTACGTCAGTTATTATTGATCGCTCAAGAGTGTAAGTCGAACCTGATCGTCAAAGCACTGGGTACATTCTTCTTTATGCACTTGGGTATATGCAGTGGGTAGATTAAGTGGAGCGTTTTGAATATGAGAACAAGTCATGACAGAATAAAAAAACTGAATAATGCTACGTGTTCGAAGATTTGCTTTCTTTAATTAATTTAAAACTCAGTATGAGAGCTAGTTTTCATTATGCATTCGTGCCGCGTATCAAGAAAAAAGAAGTGTTTTATTTTTGGAAACAGCGTGGGTCAATCAAATCAAGGTCTTCTTTACCGGTAATATTCACTTGAAAGTTCTTTAACCTAATTTGACGAATTAAGTCTTTGTTGTAGTCAAAGTTATCAACCAAGTTTTGCAGATCTTCACTACGAGTTGCACTGGCAGGCCATACATTATCGCTAATAGAGAAAAAAGTCGATAAGGACAAAGGACTTTCATTAGGTATACTTACGGGTAGCAACATTGGAGTTGGCGACGTACAGTCAAGAACCTTGTCAAGAAAGCCTGTTCGGTTTCATTTTCTTTCCTACCGCCTGTCAAAGCTAGCAAGCGGACAATGTTTATGTCTGGTTCTGTGTACTGAAATCCATGTTGAATGATTGTATCTATTTTTATGTTAATGATATGCTTCCTATATACATGCTTTTTCTTTTTACCATAAAATATAGCTCTTCCCAGTGCTGAGTTAACTCCATTTTGAGCAGCGTACCGATTACTAGGTATCATATAGTTTTCATAGACCCATTGCCTCTGGAGATGAGCAAAGCTTTGGTCTGGGCTACATGCTTCTTGCTTCCAAGCCTCAACATAGCCTTCCAGGCCGTTTGTCTTGCCACGGTTTGGTCTATCACAGGTTGGCAGCTGGCTAATTTCATGCAGCCGGTCAAGGTATTTTGACAAGGCATTTCCAGGTTTTATTTTTGCATATTGATCAATTAGTATTTCTGCATCTCCTGTGCCAGTCTGTGATGGTATTAGACATATAATTGATAATACATGTGCATATATGTATAAACTCACAGTAAATCCCACATATCCTGAAGTGTATCCTCGACTGTCACCAATATCAGAGCATTGGCTATATAAAAGACAGATTAGAATCAAATTTCGTTCATACATGCTTTAGTTACGCATAAGCAAATGAAGTACTAGATTCCTCAAAGACATTTGTAATCAAGCTTGCCATCTTTACTGCTTGAGGATCAACTTGTGCTATTTCAGGTAGTTCGCTCAAATCGTAAAAGGTAGTACCGTTCTTGGTTTCCATGCAACTTCCTTGAACGGCCTGTTATTATTAGTACGTCTATAATTAAACAACTGACAACTTTATCATACCTCGGGATTAGTAATAAAGTTAAACTGTGCACAGATCTCAGGGCGACGTTTGAACGATCCGTGACAGGCTGGAAAAGGATCTCTTTTGGCAGAGGATAATTGAGTCAAGAACAAAACGCATAATAATGATAAAAGATTAACCTTCATTCTAGATTAAAGAAAAAAGAAAAAGAAAAAAGCAAGTGATAAAGATGCCTTCTCCTATTATTTACACTATTTAAGGATTCCCCTTTATTTGCTTATTTATTCTGGAGAATTTGCTAATTAAACAGAGAGAACACTTTTATACAAATTGAGTCCATTGCTTACACATCTGTAAAATCCAATTTAAACAATGGACATTTTATCAAAGATAGCTTATACTCTTTATTCATGGGCTTTTGCTCTGTTATTTTCAAACAATGAAATAAAAAATTTATTTGTCTCGACTCTTTCAAAAAGATGCTAGCCTCACAATGGCCCATGACACATTGTATTAAATTTTTTAACTTGCAAAACTCTATTTATGCAAAAAAAAAAAGAGAGATCCTTAATAGATTATAATAGTTCTAAATCAGCCTTCTTCTCGCTAAAGTACTTTCTTGAATTTCTTAAATGACTCCCTATTAAGCAAAGGTCCTGCGTTAAAGATATTATGAATTGCTCTGCGTTTTTATTTCAAGTGATTACAAGTTGGATAAGAACAAATATACCCCTTTAAAAGCTCTAGGCATTGTCCACGTGGAAGTGAAAAACTAGATAACTTGTTTTCGTTGCTATAGAAACTACGAGGCAATTAAGCCCAAAAGATCAAAGCATTCCCAAAAGCAATATATTATATTTTTTTAGGACAAGTCTAATGGACTATTCATCAATTACGAGGCTATGAATAATTCACTGGTGTTTCAGAATTCAAGGGAAAAAGGGCATTCAAAATCAGGGATGCACTGCAAATGACATTCCCTTGCTAGGATAAAGGAGTTAAATCTGGGGCAATGTTATGCGCTGAAGATCAAAGGGATGCATTTTACTTGTACACGCTAATACACAATCATAAAGAACTCCTTTACGCTGAGAGAACTTTTTCAGCTTACATAAAAGGTAAAATTTGTAACGGAAAATCATTTTCTGACTACGTGTTTAATTTTCATTTATTGGGGGAAAATATAGATCATCTCTGACTATTTTAGGAAATAGGTTACATTTGCTAGATCACACAAAGCCAAACTATTTCTGTGAAGAGATTTATGGAATGCAAATGTAGTCTATGATTGTTTATTATTTCTATTGTCTCTTCTGTGATGGAATCCTTAAACATTGAATGCCGAGAAACTGACAGAAACTATTAATCACGACCAATGCCCATCTGACATAGGCTACTAATGCAAATAAGAAATAGGCCCAAAGAAAGATATATTCGGATTGTGCTGTCAACAAGGGCGTTCTATGAATAAGGGTAAGCATATATCGTTTTGTGCTTAATTATACATATCTAGTCTTACGTGGGTATAAGACGCGGTACGTTAGTCAGAAGGGCGCCAATGATCAGTGGAACCAAGAGGACTGTAAATTTGGGGAAACTGGATCGCGTGAGATGGGCCAGGATAACTTTAGTTGCCATTCTACCGAATACAATACCAGTTGTAATGGAAAATAGCATAAAATGGTGGTCACTAAGTATAGTAGAGTAAGGAGATGTGACCCAAAAGTAAAGACAGATGACATAGGTAGCAATAGGCATATTCTGGACAATCATTGTTTTAGCAAATGGGATCTTTTTCTCTTGACAGGCTTTATACATGGCATAGAAGCTAAATGAATTATTATTATTATTAAAGATATTAAAGTTGTAAGTAAAAACCTACCAAGAAGGTGCGTGTGTAAGCAAGAAGAGAATACCAATACACCAGATCAAAGCATGTGAACGAGGCATTTCTGGAATGGATAACCATGAGATCTTGAGTGGTGCTTGCCACACATCAGGACCTAACAAACAAGGCAATTATTGTATGATTCTTTCATTTTTTACAAGAGCTTACCATAGATTCCGGAAATGATAAAGACAATACACGATAATATAACGCCTTCGGTAGGAGCATTTACATATCCTAAATACAGGATCCCAGTGTGATATTCCTCTACAGTCGATAGATAGAATCCCAACATGGCGATCCCGTAGAGCATAACACTTGCCTTTGAATGTCCTGTACCTAAACTGGTTGCTTGTAAAATAGCAGCAAATGAACAGTTGATGGCATCACATCCATGATCAAATAATTCACCCAAAGGAGAAGATGAATTTGTTCTTCTTGCTTGCTTTCCATCAACGTTGTCAAATGTTGAATATAGCCATATTCCTGCTGTAAAGCTAAAATAGATCCATCGAGGACCGGCTTCTGAACCAGTACCCATATAAGGAGCCAATAGTGAAGCAATGGCCACATTGATGATCATGAAGATCAAACCTATCAAAGTGATAAGGTTGGGTCTATGTGTAAATCATTAGAAAAAGGAGGTTAGGGTTTCAGTTTGATCTACTTACGCCATACTTATCGGAAAAAACTGAACACACCAATTCCAATAATGGCTTAGTATATATTTTGTAGTAAACGAGCGATCGATGGCTCTGTATTTATACAATCGAAGCGCTTCCAATTGCTTTTGACTTAAAAATTCTGACTTTAGAAGCATAAAGAAAGAAACAAAAAAAAAAAAATTACAAAAAAAAAAAAAGACTTTTATACGGTTACACTCCGTCAAGCCAACCTTTTATATATTCTTGTTTATTTCTTCACATGCAACATCAATCAGAAACTGAATAGAAGATCACGTGAGCTATACTTTGCTCTCATCCCTCTTACTATCTCACTCTTTGTGCTTTCTCTTTCTTTTTTACTTTCCTTCTTTCTTGGTAAGCCTAGCCATGTTTATTTTTAAACTCCACTTCTTATTTTTCCCTTTCAAAATCTAAAGCTTGGCTTTTTTTTATTTTTATTTTTGTTGTAAACAAACATATCCTTTTTCTCCCTTTCTCTTTCTCTTTTTTATTTTCTTTCTCTTTCTTCTTTACTTTGATTACTTTTTTGAATTCAACACAAAAAGAAGAGAAAAGAGATTAACTCCATTAGTCAAGGCATATATTCGTCATAGTAGATTATTCATTGAAATGTACTCTCAACATCCACATCATCCACTTCGACCTCAATCACAGCAAACACAACAAGTACCTCATTATCCTGCAGTGATCGATACGTCCTATAACCCCTCAATAACAGCATATAATACAGGCAATAATACCATTGTACGACATTCTCAATTACCCCCGCCTCCTCCACCTCACCATCAAGGCTTTGCACTTGTCGTACCACCACCTGAACCAGCACCGAATGCAAGCGATTCAAATACACCGCCCTTATCAATACCTGAATTAGCAGATTTTGCATCCATTATGGTCTACCTCATGTGGCATGCAAGAAGACCTTCCGTCATGGCCTTACATGATTTATCAAAAGCCATATCCAATACGCAACAGACAACAAGTGATCATCAATTAGGGCATTCTAAAGAGACAGCAACTATCGCAAATAGGACAAGCGCTGCATTCAAAAAGTTCTGTAAGCAGGTAAGAAAACTAAACAAACAAAGATGACATGTTGCTTACCCTATTTGCAAGGTCTTGACGGCAACACAACTCTCAGAATCAGTGATATTATTGGCCTTGAAATATATTGCCATGCTATTACAATACAATCCTAGCATACAAGGTGCAGAAGGCTCAGAATATAGATTATTCACTGTGGCCTTGATGTTGGGTAAATTAGAATGAATGATATGAATATCTGAGCTCATTCTTTTTATAACAGGAAACAAATTTTTGGACGATAATACATTCACAAATAAGACATGGTCGGAAGTTACAGGGATGAAAGTGACAGATTTAAATATAATGGAATTAGAATTCCTAGATGTACTTCGATTTAGACTGTTTGTAAGGAAGGATGAATTTGAAAGATGGAAATCAGTCGTATTATTGTTTAGAAGCCAATTATTGAACGCAGATGAAGCACAGAAACAACAACAGCTAATAGAAGAAACATTTAAGGGAATTGTCAGCATACAGCAACAACAACAACAACAGCAACAGAATCAGCAGCAATATCAGCTCATGCTCATGCTATCAAAAGCTCAATTACCTCACTTCCCTACTCAACCCTTAAATAGACCTTTAACCCGTGTACCTTTACGTATACCACTACAGCCTGTTTGGAGACATCATCACCCGATACCAAATACAAACACATCTCAAAATACATCCGACTATTACCATTATCCAACAAGCGCTGCACCTACACCCTCTCTTACAACCACAAGCTCAGTTTCCAATAATATGCCTTATCATCCTCATCACCCTCACCATCAACAGCCACAGACACAACACCAGCAGCAAACGATGAGGCCTATGAATGCTTATAGTAATGGTTACTATGCAAGTGCGCCAACACCAACAAGTATAGATAGTTATTATAGCAATGGTAGCAGGCAACAACAGCCACCACCACAACAGCAGCAGCAGCAACAACAACCAATAAGACCTAGTAGAACTTCCTATTACACTGAACCAATGAGTGACTATACTCCACCTGCAGATATTTATTCAAGGCCAGTGACTACGCCCGTATCAGCAAATCATAATCCAGGTTATCAGCAGGTAAAAGAAAGAAAAAATGAGACATATTGTAAAATATTCATGTGCAATGATAGCAGGCTTATATGCCACCACCACCATCTCATCCTCAACAGCCACAACAACAGCCACAACAACCAGTCTACAACGGGAATAATGGCAGACAATCCTATAGAAGGCCGAACGGACCGGTACCAGAAGATCCAATGACAGCTATTGAATCTTATCATAACCACTTGAAGTAAAATGAATGTGATGACAGAAGCAAAGTTTTTTTTTTTTTTTTTTCCTTTAGTATACACACATATTCATATATATACAACATACACACACACGGACACAAACGCATATTTATAAATATATATAATATATACATATATACTCAGTTTTATATTTTAGCGTAAAGAATCGCTGTAGAAAATAAACTATAAAGAGCCACAGAGCGAAAAAGATAAAACGTGGCTGCAGTCATGGCAACCATAGTTTATAAATTTTGTTCTTTGTGTGAATAATGACTCCTTTATGAAATAAGCTATTCATCCTCGTTGAACTGGTCTCACAAGTGTTTTCAAACGACGGTTCATCACGTCACTTACCATTTGCAAAAGAAAAACTTTTGCTATAAATGGTAATTTTGTTGTTTATTATTGTTTACTTTGTCTCTTCATCTTATTCTTGTTTTCTTCTTCTTCTTCTTTAATACTAAAGCTTTTACAAAAATGCAAAAAGTGGCTAATTTATCTAATATAAACCTGTCCGAGGAAGATGCCGTTGCAGGTAAATATATTACAAGTAAATTATGTATTGTTACTCACATACTAAAAATAGGCATGTCAAGTAAAGTTACTTCACGTTTTCTTGCCGTATTTTTATTAACGTGTTTAATAGATCGTATACGTCTAGCAAAAGCAGAACAGGCAAAAAACGATAGTCGATGGGCAGACAAAATGAGAAGTCTGGTTCAAGTTCATGAATACCTTTGTCATATTGGTGAAGCCATTGAGTAATAGTTATAAAAACAATGGACTATATTAGGGAATACTTACCGTGTAACATAGATGGATAGAAAGTTTTCTGGGTGAAAAAATAGACGATAATGACAATAAAGAAGCCTCCATTGTTCATCTTGAAAAGACACTACATGATGGTGTGGTGTTGGCAAAACTAGCTCAAAAGATACACCCAGGTATCATTTCAAGTATTATTTCAGGAGTAAGTTTATGCATGAATATATATTGATGTATTGACGGTCTTGCATAGGATGCCAAGTTTAAGTTTCTTAGATCGAATAATATCAATGCCTTTCTACAAGTATTAAAAGAAGTGGGTTTACCCAGTATATTTTGGTTTGAATTTGTAGATTTATATGATGGAAAAAATATGCCCAAAGTAATTTATTGTATACACGCTCTCAGGTAAATTTAGCCCTTCCTCTTTAATCCTAATTACTCAAAGTTTAGAACGAATACAGTCATCTTTTATACTCAACTCAAGTAGCGCCAGCCATTAAAAATCTACATGGTGAATTCAACTTTTCAGAAGACATCCTTGTTGCTACTCAGCGTAGTCTCGAAAAATCAGGTGCAACCATGCCCAACTTTAACAACCTTGGTTCTTCTTTACAAAAAGAATTAGATGGAAAAAACAACAAAAAGTACGCATTTAGGCCTATTGAAGAGCCTATTCTATTGGATGATCCCATCACCATGATACCCGCACTTCGCAACCGCAATAGTATTGGTAATAGCAAAAACCCTACGCCGGACCTGATTGCCTACGACTCAGATACAGAGTCTAAATTATCAGATGCTGACGAAGACGACGATAGCGTAGATTATCATCAACACCCCATGACGCTTCAGACCCTCAAGTTCCTAGATGCTACCAACGACTCTTCTATCAGTAGCTCAGAATCAGACCTAGACGAGTACCACCATGGCAGTCTTTCGTCGGACGAAGAAAGTAGCGATGGCGATGGTATACGAGAACATACGCTCGAACGGCATTTTTCAAAACCCGAAAACCAAAATTTGCTTGTCACCGCTCAAGGCTGTATTCGTGCTTATATGGCAAAGAACAAGATGCAAAAGATCAAGGATCAACACTACTACCAGTCCTACCACGCTCAGACACAGCAAAGCAAGGTCAATACGTTCTGGATAAATCAAAAACTAGGCGAGAAACGAATGCAGTACTTTGCCTCACCCGAAACCTGGGTTATCTCGCTGCAAGCTATGATTCGAAGACACTTGGCTATGAATAAGCTGCGGTACCAGATCAGAGATGGCTCTCAAGGGCTCAATTATGCACGTCAACAAGGTTTAGCTAGCGCTCAGCTCCATGAAAATACACTTCAACAACTCAAATCCGAAAAGAATCCACCCATTGGCGTTGTCAAGAGCGTACTTCATATGTTGAGTAATAATGATGTGGATTTCCATGAAGATCTAGTGATTGAGGAGCTGCGACAAAAGGTCATCGAATCAATTCGTGAAAACAATCAGCTAGATAGCCAAGTGAGCATGATTGATGTCCAAATTGCTCTATTACTCAAAAACGTCGTCACTCTTGATGAAGTAGTCAAGCTGAGCAACGCCTTCTTTCACCGTAATCGCAAGATGCAGCAGCAGCGTAAATTCTCTGAGCTCGTCTCGGGTAATTCCCAAAACCACGATCTAAGAAGTGTAGACAAGACCAGTCGAGAGAAATTGGAGCTCTATCAGCAACTTGTTTATCTCTTACAGACCGAGCCCATGTACCTTGCAAGATTGATGTCTGTTGCAGGCGGCCACAGTGAACGAAAGGGGCAGAGAAAGCTCGATGCAACGGTCTTGGCCTTGTTTGGATATGGTACAAACGCTAGAGAAGAGTGTCTATTGATCAACCTTTGCAAGGTAACTTTTGTTGTTTCTTTATGATTTCGTTCTTATTGTTATGTAGGCTTGCATTGTGCAAGAGATAAAGCACGTTCAAAGCATCCAGGAGTTTATGCGAGGTAATTACACGTTTATGAAGCTTGTTGTCCAAGTGAATAGGTAAATGTCGAGTTCGTGCTTACAAGCATCTACTAACGATTTTTATAAAAGAGGAGCAAAAGAAAGAGCCTTTTTCAGCAGCTTATTTAGCCCACTGGTTAAGAAGGTCATCAACAACCGAGACCTAGATTTAGAAACCAACCCTATGGTGATCTATCAAAAATGCATCAATCAGGAAGAACTGGCCACAGGACAGCCTTCCAGCCGACCTTTCAACGTGAATCAATCTGAAGCTCTACAATCTCCAGATGTGGTTCAGATCTTATCAGAGCATGTTGAGTCGCTACGTCTCATGACAGACGAGTTCTTGAATGCTATTATTCAGACTGTAAACTCCGTGCCTTATGGTATGCGTGCTATCGCTCGTGAATTAAGAATTGTTATGGAGGAAGCATTTCCTGATGAACATCCAGAAGAGATCATCAAGACACTGGGCAACTTCATTTATTACCGTTACTTGAGTCCAGCTATCACAGCTCCAGAGCAATATGATGTCATTAACTGTGAAGTGTCTCCTATTCAAAGAAGAAACCTGGCAGAGGTAGGAGGCTCGTTTGTATTAGTTTTTTTAATGCTTATATATATATATATATTCTATGTAGATATCAAAAATGCTTCAACAAATTTCGAGTGGAAAATCATTTGATTCTAGAAACACACACCTAAGTGTTCTGAACGATTATATAAAAGAAGCAAGCCAGAAACTAAGTCGCTGGTTTGTAGAATGTAAGTGAACAAATGATTGTAAAGGCCAAGTCGTAATCTCTTATTATTGTTAGTGACGGATGTGGAAGAACCTGAAGATCATTTTGGCATGGACCCCTTGGCTGATCACACGAGCACGCAGAAGCCCACGGTTTACATTCATCCTACAGAACTTTATCACATTCATCAACTCTTGGAAGAACATGCCGATTACATTGAACACCAGAAATCAGGTATTCTTCACGCTATCTTGCAAGACTTGGGTGAAGCGCCTACCGATGTCAATTTGACAGTGCCCCTACGTCTTCTTCGTCTTGAACTTGTGGATCGACGCGATGGGCTACCTGATGACACCAATGGCGGCGGCGATGTCAAAAAGTTGTTACTAGACACCAAGCGTCTGATCATCCTCGTCATTCAAGTTCAATCTGGTCCTACATTGGAAGCTATCCTGAACGAACCTGTTACAGAGGAGCATGAACGTATATGGGAGATTGTACGTGAAGAACAGTTCCCATCAACAGGTACAGACAAAGAAATTGAAATGGCAAACCGAGAAAGAAACTTCAAGTTTGGATACAAGAATGCATCCATGGATGTTAAAAGGTAACTGTGTTAAAATACATCCCGAGGAACGGTATACTGATATGTAAATAATAGCTTAAGCTTTGCCAAGCTAAAATCGTTTGCAACCAAGCTCCATGCCTACTTGATGCAGCACGGAGTCATCGCAGAAAGCCCTGGTTACCAAAGTATCATCAACATGATTGCCATGGATATCACCAAGAAAGGAGAACGTCGTAAATTGAGAAATGCAGAGATCAAAAAGCTTCAAAACATCTTGGCCCACTTGGAAGAAAAGCGAAACTTTTTGATTGGCCAAGGTGAGAGCTACAAGGAATATCTTGATAGCTGTATGAAAAACATGGCAGAGAAGCGAGGCAAGAAGCAAAAATTTGTGTTTCCCTTCACTCGACAATACTTTCATATCAAAAACTTGCAAAAGAGAGGCCTTGTACCCAAATTTGGTTCATTCAAGTACTCAGCCAAGACACTGTATGACCGTGGTATCATTGTGGATCTAGCTGGTGTTTCTCCAAAGTTATATAGTCGTATCACGATTATTCTGTCTATGGATCGTGCTGGTATTATTACATTTGAAGGGTACTTTCCTTTGCTCAATACCCAAGATCTCCATGTGGATGTGCATTATGAAGATTTACTGCAAACTCAGTATGAAGGTGTGCAGACCATCAAGGTGTTGGATGGTATGGCAACTGTTAATGTCAACTTGCTGATATATTTAATCAATAAGAAGTAAGTTTTTTCATATTTCAATTGCGCATGCATATTAATTTGTCTTTAGGTTTTATCACACTGCTTAAACGTAAATACCTTTTTAAGAATGGTGATACCCATGAATACCCTAATAAACTTAACTTTTAACTGCATTTTGAATATATTTTTTGCTTCTTTTTCAAAAGCTTTTATCATACCATCAAAATAAAACAGTATCTCCTCAAAATATGAGAAATTTGTAGAATTTACAAAAAGCCGAATTATTGGCCAAAACACGGGTGGTAGAAGTCCACAAGAGATTGATGGGTTCCTTGGCATTCCGCAGTGGGCAGTTGAACTTATCGTCAAGGAATATGAAGAAGAAAATGTTGATACTCCTTCCCCTGGGTCTAAACATCCCAGAAAAGCAACATAAAACCGACAAGGCTGGTCCTTGTTCTCAGTGTAAAGCACAAGTATTGATAAAAGCGGTGTCTATCTGTCGAATTTGATATTGATGACTGAGGTAATAATCAACAAAAGAGTACGATGGGTCGTAAATTTTAAGAACTTAAAGCGCATTGGAGTTTCTTTAAGTTTTTGGTTATCATGGAGCTGTGAATGCAAATTTACGCCATTCTTAGGTTCACACATTAAATTCTGTAATAAGCTTCCTTGGTGTAATGGAGGGGGTATATTTTCTATACTTTTATATTTCTTCCCAGCGCCGTACCCAGCTACATAGCCGACTATGAAGCCTGCTGTATCAATAGTAGCCATGTTTTTGATATACATTATCCGGACCGCCACCTTGTTGCCTTGCTTATCCACAACGACTATGAGTCTGATGACGTGTTTGATTAACTAATCATTATAATACTTTATAATCTTACAATAGGGCATATCTTTTACTTTACATTTCTCTATCGCATCTGAAAAGAATAAAAATAAGCGTATTGACAATAATGATCACATTGACCACATTAAATGATGCTAACAACATTCAATCTCCCTTATAAAACTAACACGCATCTTATTTCAATCATGCTCCTTTCTTTTTATAAACAATGTAACTTGTAAGCTGTCGAATTAATAGCCTTTTTACAATAATACAGCTAAATACAACAGTGAGTTTACACATTCACCTACTATGTATAATCGTAGTCTTAACCTGAATCTTCTCTTTTATAGGATAGCCGGCTTACGAATTCTGTATATTGATGATAATGGCGTGAAGTCTATGCTGAACAAAGAGATGCTAGAAGGCCTAGGGCAACAAACAATGCTTGAAAATCATCCTCTGTCATCTTCAGTTACTCTTCTTCTAACATCTCTAAACCAGGCAAACCCCGACTTTTATGCCTACAGAAGCATCATCAAAAGATTCAATCTACCAGAAAATGAAAGATTCGACACTTTCACCCACACTGATCTAAACTTCGTTGAAACAATGGGCAACCATTTGTAAGTATCAAGTTTTTGTTTAAAATATTTATTATTGATATCTTCGGTATACAGTTTAAACCTGAATCAAAGCCCGTCAAATCCTCTACTACAGCCAACACTTGAGAGAATAGCTGCGATCCACGCTACGATTGCTTTATTAAATAACTTGTTTCTATCAACAAATGACAAATCACTTTGAGTCAAGAGAGTTTCTATTTCAATCCTAGAAGAAAAGATATCAGCAATCAGTCTCAGGTTGCAAAGCATTTACTAACTTACCAGTCAAAAGCACTAAGTGAGATGGCGTTGGCTTTAGAGCTGGATCCGATCAAAAAATAGGCTTTTGTCTAGTTGAATTTTCTGGAGGAATTAAGAAAAATTGTAAACCAGAAAAAGCTAACTATGATGAGAAGATTGAGAAAGGAACAATCGACTTTATCGAATACATCAATGTAACAAAAGGCCATTTCATTAGGTTTCATGATAAACTATTTGCCCTCTAGAATGTCGTATGCATAAGTAAACTGAATTGTTCTGAATATCTAGACATGAAACTCTATTTTAAGCTGGTATTTATCGAGAACAATCATATTATTCGAAGGACACATTCTATTGTCAAACTACCTACTACTCGTTTTCAGTTGAAAGATTCCTTCAACCAAACAGGATCACTATTTACTTGAGAAAAATCCTTAATCAATAACATCAACAATGCAAAAGTCTCCAAATGTGTTGCTCATTACTTCTTATACATACATAAATACACACTTTCTTACTTGCTTCTAAATCTTCTTGATTACATATTTACTTGCTTACACACATATCTATATCTTTTTCTATATATGTACACACAATAATAAAGATATATTTTACATATTCACAACTCAAGAAAAAAAAAAAGTTCAGCCCTCATCTCATGACGCTTACAACTGCTTAGACCGACAAGTTGTAGGAATCACTTTTCTTTTTGTAATGGATAGGAAAGCCTTATCTGTGCTATTTCGTTTAAACATGGTATTTTATTTATAAAACAAACGTCCGCCCAACCCGCTTAATGCGTTTGAAAGTGAATGGTGGAAAAAAAAAAAAAAAATAAAAGGAAAGTAATGAGTGGAGTTATCGATAGGAAGCTAAAGGAATTGATTTAACCATACAAGAAAGCTTTCGGTCATGGGGATGCTTAATAGGGATCAATTTGTCATGGTGTAGTTGGTCTAATTCATACTGTATGGGACATTCTTTTTTTTTTTTTTTGATAGGGACAAAATATACCAGTCATACTGTATGTAAAATATACACATGTTTCTGTCTCTTTCCTGCGTATCTTTTTCTTTCCTTATACAGCTATTGTCTCCTGTTTGAAACTAAATGGTGAAAGATCACTTTCGATGGCGGTATATGACGTAAAGAAGCGTATGCCTTATCTCAATCATTCCTTCCCTTCATTAGTTGTATGGGATTAAATATTCTCTGGGATTGTATTTCCAGTGATGAGCCTTATCTTATGATTCCTATCCATAAATGACGTACTTGTAGTTTCGCAGTGTAAATGCCTGCTAAAAAAAAAGGTCGAAAGACTGTAGTGCATTATAGGTGTCATAGAAAGGAATGTTGACTATCGCTTGGGTTTTTATCTATCATCAGAGTGATTATTGAATCCAGACAAGGCCTTCATGAAAGTGAGATCTTTTATCCGTCGAGGCTCGCACTAGTCTCTCTCTTTCTCTCTCAATGTGCTAAGAAAGACACTAAGAAATTCATGATTTTTTGCAAGAACTAGAATACAAGCAAAACATGTGGTTATTTTATACCAACACATCAATATATTTCCATATCTATTCTGACTCACTTTATTCACACGTCATTTATAGTCTAGGAAACGCGCATGCTTCCCAATCGACCAAGCTTGGTATTCCCATACTTTGATCGTGGCTTTTCTTTCCTAGGAACACAGCATTAAAACTACCCAATCAGAATTAAACTTCCCTAAAACAGAAAAACTTTTTTGACGCTATTCCAAAGCCATCCTCTTTTTTTTTTCTCGAAAACTTTTTTCAAAAAGAAAGAAGGCTGTTGAACGTATATTCGTCACAGTTTACAAGCCCAACATCTCTCTAGAAGCCGTTTTTTACCAGATAGTAGTACGCAAATTCTCGTCTATTTACGTACAGTATTATAGACCTTTTCGACCACCCTAGTACACAACATAAACAACTTAAATATGGTAAACTCTTATGCACCTGGTGAAAACTATTCAGCTCAAGAAGGCAGCTTTGAAGGTCCTGAAAAACTGCTCGAAATTTGGTTTTCACCCTCCCCCGAAGGTATCATTGCGCATCAAAACCTGTCTACAGTCGAAGAACCTAAAGGATTGAGAATTATTCCTCGTCCTTGCTTGGACAAGATGTTGTCATTGGTTAAATGCACTGTATTAAACGTCATTACCAACAGTGATGTCGATGCCTATTTATTAAGGTAAGTTTGCTTTGGGAGTCTAAAGTGAATGGACCCTTGACTGTCTTTCTTCCAGTGAATCATCTATGTTTGTGTACCCTCACAAGGTCATTTTGAAAACATGTGGTACAACAACCCTTCTTTATGCTGTCCCAAAGTTGTTGGAACTTGCCAAAGAATACTGTGGATTCGAAAAAGTATGGCGTGTCTTTTATTCACGTAAGGCATTCATGTTTCCTGAACGCCAAGTAGGACCCCATCGGTCATGGGAGGACGAGGTTGAGTTTTTGGACAAGTATTTTGATGGTGGATCAAGCTATAAGATTGGCAGCGGACTTCATGACCAATGGCATTTGTATTTGACCAAACCCTTGGATGACGTCTTGCATCACCAAAACATTCTGAACCCCTACTTCAAAGGTGTAATGAGGGAGCATGAAATCCGAAGCGGAGAAAGCACACCGGCCGCTTCGGACAGTGACGAGGAAGATCCTTCTCCTTTTGGAAACGCTGGTCATTCGTATCCCGATCAAACGGTCGAGATCCATATGACAGGATTGAGCCAAGAAAAGATGAAGCAGTACTTTTATCATGATGCTAGCAAGACAGCGTCTGGGCTCGAAGGAGGTGTCTGGGTTGACCAACAGACGGGGATTGATCAGCTCTACCCTTCAGCCAAGATTGACTCTTATCTCTTTGAACCTTGCGGATACTCTAGCAATGGTCTATGGCAAGATAGATACTTTACATTCCACGTAACTCCTGAACCCGAATGCTCGTATGCATCCTTTGAAACCAATATACCCGTTGAAAGATCGCATGGCCACGAACATCGACCTATTGAAGCCTTGATCAGTCAAGTCTTGGCCATTTTTGACCCTAGCTCATTTACTGTGACCTATTTTACTTCTCATCATGAAGAACATCACAGCCAACGCCATATGGTTCATTCGATGGCAGCAATCGATGGATATAGGCGTACAAACCGCATTTTGTATGAATTTGACGGATATGACTTAGTTTATGGCCATTATGAAAAGTGAAAATAAACACATGTTCTTGTAATTCTGTCTGTTTATTTGTGTTACACTTTTGTATTACGGTTTATCTCCTTTCAAAAAAGGATTTAATTTCTCCCTAATTTTTCTTTCTTTCTTCTTTTCTTCTTTATATATAAAAAAAATGCGATTGGAGCCAACGCTTAAAGTATCAAGATTAGCTAAATATGCTATATTTGCCTATGTAGTCTTATCGTTCATTTATGCATCTCATCATTACTTTTCTATTCATTCACAACATCGATCTTCATTATCTTCTTCTTCAGCATCTATAACGATCAATACTACATCCGATAAAAAGACATGGGCTAGAAAGCAAGAGATTTTACACAGGTTGGAAAATATTGAAAGACAAAGAGAGCGTAGGCCTATGATGTGGTCAATTAAAGGTAATAAAATAGAGTATTTCTTAAACTGGATTAGAACTAATTCACAAAAATAGGTGGCAAATCACAGCATACGTTATCTCACAACTTTATGTCATCCAAAATATTTTCAAGTAGTATGGGATTAGACCACATTACTCCTTATTACTTTAAGGCAACCAAAATAAATAATCAAGAAGATATTACCTTGGCAACCCTCGTTACCCGCAACAGATTTGCTGTTTTAAGTAGACTAGCAACAAATTACAAAGGTAACACAAATTAGGCAAATATTTGACTAGTCCATCTAAATCCATCCGTAGGTCCTATCTCAGCTGCCATTCATATCAATGATGATCAAGAAAAGACCAAGACGATTCAAGAGCTCAATAAGATTTATCGATCAAACCCAGACATGCAGGCTTATGTGGATATCCATTTGATCATTGACAAATATGATCGACAGTTTAACATGTGGAGGAATATTGCCAAATTATTTACACGCACCGAATATTTAATGATGTTGGACGTCGATTTCCATTTATGTACTGACTTTAGGAAATCTATCTGGCAAAATGCGGAACTGGCCACTATGCTTCGGTCGGGAAAAGTTGCGTTTGTGGTACCTGCCTTTGAGTACCTTGATCAAAAGGACGGTCTGGACTGGCGCACGTTTCCTACTAAAAAAAGCCAGCTGGTTGATCAAGTCAACAACCTGAAGCTCGACTCGTTTCATTCTACATGGGTCTCTGGACACGGGGCCACTAATTACTCTTACTGGTACACAGCTGATCAAACTTATCCTGTCACTCAATATGAGTACTCGTACGAGCCTTATATCATCTACAAAAAGGAAGGAACCCCTTGGTGCGATGAACGTTTTATTGGATACGGTGCTAATAAGGCTGCCTGTCTTTACGAAATCTATATCTCTGGTGTTGATTTTTGGGTATTGCCGAATGATTTCCTTATTCACCAATCACACCAATATGCTAATCATGACCGTACACGCGAGGTAAATGATTTTATTACAAAATAATACATGGCTTATCCTTTTCTATAGAGAGTTCATAATAAAGAACTCTATGCCAATTTTAGAAAAGAAGTGTGTTTAAGGTATTCAAGAAAGTATGTCATTGAAAATACTTGGTATACTCCAGCAGCCGATAATATGAAGAAAGTGTGCACGGATATACCTAAATGGAAGTACTTGTCTGGCATTCCAAAAGCTCAACGTGAGGCAGATAAACTGGCAGAAGAAGCAGCCAAACAAGAGCAACTATTAAAAAATCAATCTCACTATGACGAAGAAGAAGCTGAAGAGTAATAAAAAGAAGAGTGCATTATACCCCCTCCTTCATGTTTTCACGTGTCAATAAAATAGAAATCAAAAAGCCCACATTAAAGATTATCTCTTTGTCCTTTTTTTTTTTCCCTTTTTCTTCTTTTTCATTAATGACAATTGAAGCTTCAGTAGAAACGAACTTATTTCCTTTTTGTGCTTCTGTGAGTGGGATTACAACAACTGGCTGACTTGTATTTATTTTTATAATAGAAACTATACAACAAACTTGTCAACAGTAATCAAAAGGCGTACTATGAACATCTTTTAAAGACAGCTACTACCTATGACGAGTGGGCAGAAGCTGCAACTAAATTAGACGAACTAGAAGGTAATGCAGCCCAATGTTTAACTATAGTAGCTCACTTTTATTATAGGTTTAAATGAGTGGAAGGAACAATTGGAATCTCCTGATTACGATTGGGAACTCGTCAAGGCTAGATTAGACCAACTACGAGAAATAAGAAAATTAAACAAAGGACAGTCCGCGATGATATTTGCCCTGAGAACAAGTTTGGCAAGAAACCTGGGAGATATGGGCAATCTCAAGGTAAGGTCCTATAACTTCACGTGCAAGAATGCCCATTTTTTTTTTTT